CACATGAAGGACTACTTTTTTTTATGGATAATAATAGAATGGTGCAACCACCTGCGCTAACGGTTTACGTTGGTGGGGCACCAGTGGAGGATGATAAGATGTGCATGAGGTTGTGCAGTTAGCCCATTGTGATAAAATCGTCAGGAATTTATCACGATGGTTTCCAGGGGGCACCGCGTGGAGGTTAACCTGGCATGGTACATTGCTGGTAATGGGGTCATGAGTCCACATTATTAACAATCCCCTTCCCCCTGAAGGAGGTCTACTGGCCGAAGGGGGTGGTCTATCGGCGCTACCGTGGCAGATTGCCGTCGTCAGTGCCGTGACCATAGAGACAATTTTTATTTATATTTCTCATGTACATATGTTAATCTATAAGGTATTTACAATATGGGTCATATAACTTGAATTAAATCAAATAAATCCATTAGGTAAAGAAAATACATACATAACTTGCAAATAAAACGTAATTTTACACAAAAATAAAATGCTCACTTACTATGTAGATACTTAGATATATTTTCTATAAGAATTGATTAAAATATGTTTTTATGACAACTGCTTTAGAATATCATATTGTCACCTTTAGAATACTCGTGACCATTGCCTGCCAATTACCTCCACTGTCACAGCATTATGTCCAATTTACACTCAGCCCGAGTGGGCAGGGAAGTGAGCAGCGCGATAGTGTAAACACGAGTAGAAACACTTCCCATGCCATTGGCGCTGCCACTCGCGCTGCCTGGCGCTCCCTCGATTGTCGGTCTTTCAAGCGCGAGTCAAAGGACTGGCAGCGCGAGTGGCAGCGTGTTTTTACATTCAGCCCACTCGCTCAGTTGTCGCCCGGCAATATTTCCGGCAGCACGAGTGGCAGGGGGAGCGGCTGAATGTAAACGTAGCATTAGGTTAGCTGGAAGAGATCTCTTTCAGTGACAAGCTTACATTTTATAACAATATTAGGTTTTGAAATACAAGTGCAATAAAGAGGGTACGGTATATAAATAATTGTTCCTTCCGTATCATTTTCGTAATACACAAATAACAATCACCATGTTTATTGTTTGGTTCACGCCAGATCATTTATATTTCTCAGATCAGTTATACTTAAAAGTAAGTCTTTTTATTTGACCATAATCGCAAAGACTTCACACATATTTTACATACTATACCTAGCAATTGTCATCAATGAAACCCAAAGTAGTCCAACTACAATCAAACGGAATATTTTGTACATACATTTTCCACAAATAACACAAAAACAGTCAGAACTCTTTAAACAAAACCTTCTTGAGTATGACATGACGAAATGTATACAGAAACTAGTTTGGTTACACCGCTACTGATAGATTTTTTTTACCATTAACGGGTTTGCTCTTGGTTGGTTTGGCTCATCTGATGGGAAATGATGGTTAAACCTAGGATGTAACGCGCTTACCCAGAAGATATCTATTCACCATAGACTTGAAGAATCCGGGATTGTATTTCCCCGGGAACACGAATGCTGGAAGTGTGTTCCACTCTCACAGACTACTCATGTAAATCAAGACGCCACTTGTATCAGAATAAAAAATCTGAGGGTAGATTCGAAATCAGCGCACCCAAATTACTAAACATCAGTAGAAAAACTTCATGCAACAAAAAACAAGGTAAACTTGATTATCCTGGATAGATCTGATTGTTGATTACATAAAAAAATCATACCATCTTAATAGGTATTCGGGAATGTTGGCCTTTCCCATAAGAGACATAATATGTATTAACATATAGGTATCATAAGATAACGTGATATCCGTAGTGGTATGTATCATATGTGGCGAATCTACTATCATCGTGCGGCAACACCGTTGCCTAGTTACGATGGGGCAAGCAGAATAACAAGCTTGTCATTCCAGACCGAATCACCTTATATATATATCATACCGTATATACCGTACATACCGTATATATATCAATTGTAAATATTTTGTTAATATAGATAATGTAAATAGCAATCACTGGACTTATCACTTCATCTCCTTTCCTGCTGCTGCTACATTACAAACACAAACATAAATAGTAACAATATAGATGCTACACATATATGCAACGGTCACCACTGACCATCAGGACCGTCAGCCAGTTTGTTAAGTCATTTACGTAAAAAAAGCATTATTGTAGCAATATTCACTCTTTATTGCAACTAGTATCTTAAAACATAAATTGTTTCAATAACAAATCTTCGATTGTATCGTTTTTTATAGAGAATAAACGTAATGATGTTACAACGTCATGTTGTGGTACAATCGAAGATTTAATAAAGCAAAAAGTTTTTAAAATCTTACGCTACCTGCTTAATATTATAATTATTAACTAGATTAATTACTTGAATTCTTTTTTCGCACACAGATTTTTAGATATTTAACTGATTCATATTACATTATAATTTGCATATATTAATACATTAATTATAGAGATATAGATTCATTTGAGACCAGTAGGCCAATCATTAGGTACATCCATAATTACGTCACACAAATATCATTGCTGTACCTTGTCAAATTGAGGCACATTTGTTATATCCTGTGGTTGTTACCCACTCATGTATAACCAAAATATCTTTGGAAAGTGCACACTCTATCCTGAAGATATTATGTTATCTGTGTCTGAGGAGATAAAAACCATCGCAGGTAACGTAAACTCCCAGTAAGAACCCAAACACCTCAATAAAAAAATTGACACAAAAATTAATGACAATTTCCGCCACTTCTGTTACAGTGTAGCTTCCCTCCTGCCTCCTCGCCTCTGATTAGATTAGGCTGTATGGTCTCGTACCTTTGCATATCCACTTGTGGATAAAATATACCACTACTACTACTACTCCTCGCCTCTAAATATATATTTTTAATGTATTATCTGTGCAGTTAATAATATATACAATATATGGCGTAATTTATAGATGACCCGTTATGGGTGACGTTGTTTCTGACTAACCATCGATACAATGTATATTTTTGGGAAAAGTCTTCAGACGTTTTAAAAGTCATAGCATCCGAAATATTTTTTCGTTGCTCAATAGAGCTGAATGCCCAATTAGAAAATACAAACTAGTTTATTTAATGAAAAATCTTTTCCATCTTTAAACACTAAAACTAAACCTACTGACAATATTCAAAATGATGACTTTTTAAAACTATACAGATTTTACGAAAACCATTACAGATTTTACGTTACTGGAATAGCAAACCACCTGATCAATGGTGACCGTCTATACACAGCACGGACATCACGGGGTCAGATGGTGGTCATGGTACCACTCCTGTGTTGCTATTTCAGAGGTTAAGGTGTCAGGGCTGTTCTTGTAATTTTACTACCATTTCTCACCCTTTAACCGACACATTGACAGATTTTTAGTAGCTAAAATAGGTGGCATAAAGTTGACTCACGTTGACAACTAACGATTTTGTTGAAAAATCTTGGTTAATTATTTATAGCATTTCTTCGGTCGCTTATAAAATAATTTACGTCAATAGTAATTCTTGTCCAAACAAATACAAATTATATCTATTACAGAAATACAATAAAAATATGACACTTGGTGAACTGAGGAACTGTGTTATAAACTAAAAATGTCATCTTGTATGAGTAAACTTTTCGAACAAATGATTAAACAAAGGTTAGAATTTTATATAGAACAAATGATTAAACAAATAGAATTTTATATTCAAATGTACTTTCATTGAATTGCACTGAACACGTTTGCTTGGAGAATATAGAGTTAAAATATTTGCTAAAACTAACTAAAATTATAACTAGATTGTCACTTGTTACCTTAACAGATCTACTAAGCCTCACAAAATTTGGAGTATCAAGCCTCACTCAAGGGGAGGCTCTTGATCGATCCCCTGTCCATTTCAAAGGGTAATCGAAATTACGAGGCCCTGAGGTGAGGTTCGAACTCCTAGCGATGCCCTCAGACTAAACTCGTATCTATCAGGTTGAAGTTAACCTGATAGATACGAGTATAAGTTCCGCGGGTTTGGAGTGACATCTGCACTCGCCCCCTATAGTTCGGTTAAGTTAATAAATAAACCGTTAGCGCAAGACGGGTGCACCATTCCATTAACCTTAGAAAACTACCGGCCAACAGTTTAAGAATAGTTGAAAAAACAAACGTACGGCAGGACAGTTTCATATCAATAATTTAAAGCAAAAAATTACAAATATTGGCAAAAAACCCTGGTTTATTCAGGGAAAAATATTTTTAGAGAGAAGATTTTATACTCAAATTTGTGTCGACATTGCAATGCACATTTACACCGAATGAAGATCATTAATTCTCCGATTTGTCTTTTATGCTCTAGTAACGAAAATCAAACATTAGAACAATACATTTATTGCCAAAATTCAATACAAGATAAACGAAGGTAGGTAACTACTTTTGATGAAAGAAGGAATTGTTAATATTATGTAGTTCGTGAAACAAAAATACTAAAACTGCTTTTTGAAGTCGGGTAGAAATTAAAAAAATATTACAACAGTAGTTACTTCTCTTATGTCCCGTTTCTATTAAGAACTTTATAGACACAAGTAGTTTCTGTAATAGCATCCATTTAACCTATATAAGATTATACTTTTATTAGATATACGGTTCCCAAATTCCACCAAGTGCCAACAAACATCAAACATCAACTTAAAAGACTAGACATTAACAAGAAGTAAAAACTCATATATTGTAACTATTGGTATGCTTTGTCACTTTCTATTAAATACAGAAAATAACTTGTTAGAATAGAATAGAATAGAATAGAAAATCATTTATTCAAATAAACTTACATTGAAGCACTTTTGAATAGTCATCAACTTGTTAGAATAGAATAGAATAGAATAGAAAATTAATCTACAAGAAGTAAAAATACTATTGGTATGCTTTACAGAAAATAACTTGTTAGAATAGAATAGAATAGAATAGCTCTTTTGAATAGTCATTTTTTTTAATTCATTCGGAATGCAGTCTCATCACAAGAAGAACAAGCAAGAAACTTGTGTGTTGCTCTTTTAAATAATGTATTCTTACTTACAATTTAAGTTTAAGTGTGTGAATACAAACCACCGATTAGCACTAATTCAATGAAATAATAAAATAGAAAAAACATTCAATATACAACAACTGGTTAAACAATTAATAAGAGAAAATAAGTCATAGTGATTAGAGCAGACAGAACATAGAAAATGACAAAACAGTTTAGTATCTAAAACACGTTTATGAAACGTTTGTAGTTTATGAATAAGAGGGAAATAAGTAAATTAAATTAAAAAGTAGGAAAAAATATATCCATAGTAGATTCAGTATTTTCACCATACTGCATGTATGTGTCGTCGTTTTGTGTGTATGTAAACGGAGGTGTGTGTATGAGTGCGTCCGTGTGCGCCGGGAGGGGGGCGCGCTATGGTGGCGTCATACTACCACCATACTCAGGGGATGCTCCACGACCTGCACAGGAAGGAACCTTTAGTACTGTAGGATCAAATTCAAAGATCATTTATTCATGTAGGACAATGTAGCCGCTTATGAACGTTAAATTTTTATATTATAATTTTTCCCTAACGTCAAGTTCAGTATATAGATCCAACTGAAAAGAACTGGCAAGAAACTCAATCCCATGCATGAACAACTATAGTCGTATTTTTAATTAGACGAAGCTAGCTGACAGTAGCTAATGTCACATTGTAAAATAATGTTGCCATATTTAAAGTAATAGTGATGCGTTCAGTTCTCAGTTAGATGAATGAACAATGAGTGTGAATAGTTAATCATTACAAACTACAAAAGAAAATTGTATAAAAGTGCTCTGATATAAGTTACTAGTAACTACAATCAGTTTTTTGACGGCTTATTACAAAGCGCGCGGCTACTAGTGCCAACACAAATCAACGTCGCGAGCGTCTGTCGCCATTTTGTTCGTAATTCGGCTTCTAACCTCTGGTCTGAGAGCACGAATGTTTTTTTTGCGCTCACGCTGTTTTGTTAAGTTTTTCCTCATGTTGTGTTTGTGGTAATTGTTGGGTATATTGTATATTTACTATATTGTTTCATACAAACAATATGGATCCTCAACCAAGCACGTCAAGCCAAAGCTTGTCTCCAAGAAAGACGTTACCGAAAAACTTATGATACAAAACGTCTACAAATACGTATTTGAGAAAGCTGCTTCACTATTACCTATTGAGGCTCCCAAAAAAACAAATGTATTTCGAAAACAGCTGACATTTTGGGAATTGGTGTGACCTCAGTCTACAATGTATTAAAATAATACAAAGTGAACAATTTAAGTCTCCGGAGAAACGTGGAGCGAAACACTGTTTCAAAGATTATTTATTATCAATTTTTAGACAGATTTATAATTAATGTCACTGAAAGCGACAATGATTTTTTTATCTGATGATGAATAAAAACAAATTTTGTAATAAGCGCAGTTTTTTATTTTTATTACCTAACTATATTATGTTATATATTGTTATATTTTGTACATCTATAGTTTCAATTTCATTATGAATTGTAATTAGGACAGTCTTAAAAGTTTCCACGCAATTTTTTCTTTACGTTTAAAATACTCGGTATTCAGTATAGGTAGATACAATAGGAACATAATCGTCGTAAACTCGTTGGTATGTATAAAGCACGGCTAAAATTCAAACCCCGTACCCGATATCGGCAGTTCGGCACACTAACTATTCACTAGACAATCGAGGCAATTCCATTAATTCAGGAGTTTTTTCAACGATTCACTTTGTCACAACACTATTTTTATTTCATCAAATACTGACAACACAGTAAACGTCAGTTGACTTCGTCTAATTAAAAATATGACTATATTGCCATGCACGCTCGTCATTCAAGTAATTGTTTAGTGAGTAATAGGCTTTGCTCAGTAAATATGATTTGAAAGATGTTTTGAATTTATTTAAGAGTAATACTAGTATATCCTTTGGCATCTTATTGTAAATTTGTATACCAATTCCCATAAAAGACTTATTGACTCTATACTTGGGAACAGCAAGTTTGTCTTTAAATGTAGAATTATGAATATTGCTGTTTTGTGGAAATAAGTGAGGATTTTTTGAACATATAGAATATTTGAGTATATAAACTGAGAAGCAACGGTGATCGATGCACTATTTCTAAAACATATTTTAGTGTACTCACCTCGACCTCTGCCGCGGCCCCGACCCCTGCCCCTCCCGCGGCCGCGTCACCTTCGTCCATCGCCCAATCCCACCATGTCTGTTTAAAGAGATACATTATATACATGTCTAACCTAACCTAAACCGTTAGCGCTTGCATTCTAGCTGGCACATTTCATTATCATCAATATAAAAAATTGAATTTATTTTATATATAACAAGCTTTTATCTGCAGCTTCGTTCGCATTTTTTTTTAATAAAAAGCATCCTACGTTCATTCAAATACCTCCAAGAACATGTGTAAACTATCATGATGATCGGTTCAGTAGTTTTTGCCTACTTTCACATTTAGAAGTTCTGAATATATTTGACCTTTTCAAAGATAACAAAACAACCACTAACATCCTACAACTACAAGTCTTTCAGAGTGCTAGTAGCATTATGACATCCTATCTCTTATATATCATCTTCTTAGTCACATAGATTTCTTAATTTGAGTCGGCATGTTTTTCTCTTCAATTCATCCCTGTTCGCAGTCATCTCGTTATTCACTCCCTTTCTTTCAAGTTATAATATCTTTCACACGGTCCATCCATCTCTTTTTCGACCTACCTCATCAATGGGTTCAGTGGTCTAGTCTAACACACCGTCTTACTTCCGGCGGTCGCGGGTTCGATTCAGTGTCAGATTTATATTTTTTTATGAGTTTAAGCCACTTCATTTCCGCCGCCCCATGTAGGTATATTACATTTCTAAAATAATAATTTTCTCTAATTTAATTAAATCTGCCGCCCCTAGGCCGCGGCCTATATGACCTATTTATAAAACCGGGACAGGTTCGATTCTTTGCACCATATCAACATTTGTGTTCATTTCCCAGACCAATACTTGTTTTCAATCTATATTATCGGTAGTCTAGTATCCATAACAGAAGCTCTGCTTAGCTTGGGACTAGATGGCGTTATGTAGATTGTCCCGGATTATTATTCCTCTACACTTATAATCATCCACATTCATATATAACAACGTTTAAAATATTAACTTCATTCCTGCTCCCTTACGTATCTCTTATTTGCTTACCTATATTAGTGGCAGTCTTCTCTAAATAAGCGAGGGGGCCTTGTAACGCTGCACCCGCGTACGCTCCGCGACCTCCAGCCAGGAACATGCCCTGGGCGAGACTGCTCTGCATCTGTGGACACCCCATGGCTGTTACACCCTGGGTTAATGGATTAGATGGAGGGGTTTGTTAGTAAGGAGGACTTTTGACCTCGTTGCCATAAATTATGTAAATATATAATACGCATCGCCTAGTCCCCGAACTAGAGCCAATCACTGCCTCTCGGGCTGAAACGTCTAGAATGGTTATGACTGTCGTATTATGACGCCTAGTGAAGGTCAGAAGGTCGGGTCTGAAGATGGGATGACAACTTATACCTACACTTGTACAACTCGGGAGGAAATTGGTCACATTAACCTGTTGCTAGCTCGCGGGCCAATACAGCTGATTATAAATTTCGTCACGCATTAAAGGGCGGGAAGAGTGTTGGTGATAGAATGGGATGTAATGGTGCACCTTGCACTAACGGTTTACGCTGGTACCACCAGTGGAAGATGTTGCATGAGGACGAGGTCAGGTAAGTTAGTTCATCGTAACAAATTCACCAGGAACTTATCATTACATGGTAAGTCAACGTAACATAGTACATTTTTTTAATATAACACAAGGGACTAACGAGCTTGCGGCTCACCTGATGGTAAGCGATTACCGCCGCCCATGAGCTACCGCAAAACCAGATGAGGGGATTAGCAAGTGCGTTGTCGGCCTTTTAAAAAGGAATTAGCTCTTTTTTTGAAGATTCTGGCAAACCGCACTGTGGAGGATCGCCATTCATCCAGATGATCAGGTTGGTATTTTAGTTTCTGGCGGGTACGATGGTGAAAAGCAGCTAGTATTAATACGAACAATTCTTTAGAACACACCCCATGATATATGCGGTAGAAGATGCACAGAGATGCAATATCTCGCCGCAGAGCCACAAAGACATTGATTACCAATGATTCTTGCTACTCTGTTCTGAATGCTGTTAAATAGAAAGTAAGCTGGTATTGTGGTGGGAGAGACCAGAGAGGAGACCAGTATTCCATATGCGGCCGGATCTGCGCCATACTGTGAAATACCATCCCACTCTACTGAGAACATCTAACATTTTTGAGGCTATTTTAGCCTTGTCTTCCAAACGACCGCATAACTGAACGCTGACAAGTTCATTGATCCTTGGCGGATTATTTTTTATTTAATTGATTATCATCAATCATCGAAAGTTGACGAAATTTAACATTATGTGACAAGAGAAGACGTATTTTGTCACGTCACTTTCAAATTTTTTTTTCGTTATAAAAAGGCTTCATTAAATCTAAATAGAACGTTCCTAATAGAAAAATATTTGAAATGGAACGAATATTAATTTATGTCATTTCTATATGTTAAATTCACATTCCCACAGTCGCTCTCTAGTGTAATGTTAGATACATTACACTTTTTTTATTTATTAATATTTTACGGCTCTGGATACAAGTCCTTTAGCCCAACATAAAGTACAATGTAAGAGGGCGAATGTGACTAGAAATAAAAAGAAAAATTATATTTATTCAAATGAACTTAATTTTTTTTCTACCGCTCATTCGGAACACAGACTCGTAATAAAAAGAATGAGCAAGAAACTTGCCTATTGTTTTTTTAAATAAATGTTCAGAATTACACAAGGATGAGTAAGTTCCAAAAGATTATTATATTTATAGAATAGAATAGAAAATCATAACAATTTTTTTTATCTACCGTTTTTACGGAAAGGTGTCTCATCAGCTGTGTGATGAGGTACCGCAAACATAAAGAAACCAATTGAATGTAGTGAAACCCTGTTCTATGTTAAATTCATTTACCATTCATGATATATTGATTCAGTGCTATATAAGGTGTAAATAGTACCTATTAATAAAGACCCATACTGTTTGCAATTATTATAAGGAAAAAAATAAAAGCAAATTAATTTAAATCTTCTTTCTAGCGATAGTTGGGTGAATAAGGGAGGTTTAAAAAAATAAATAAAACAAAAAATAATAATGGAAAATAAAAATATATTTATAATTTTTAGAAAGAACACAAATGAACTTAAAATAAAGGAAAATTATAATTCTAACTTACAAGCAAACGTAACTTAAAAGAAAACGAAAAAAAAAGGTATTTAATCACATTACAAGGCAATTGGTGAGAGATCAATTATTATAATGAGAAATTGAAACTTCCTACACACACATAAGTTCTAATTCCGATTGCTGAACCTGTGTTGAAACAATTAACAATACTACATATACAAGAGACAATAACAAATTTACTTTAAATCAAAATCAACTCTCCATCAAACATCGAATACAGTACATTTTTCGTTCTCACTCACGCGTTTACTCTTACCATATACCGTATTAATCTTCCAGGGGCTTAATTACGTAACACCGTTGCTAACAAGTCTCAATTGAAATCGATACATTAGCGACTTTATACGAACACATTAAAAGTTGCAATTGCAATGCACCCCTGACTTTGTAGATTCAAAGTCACGAAATTGTAGATTTTATAGTTGGTTACAATAATAATCATTCTTGGTCCTTCCAAGTACTTATTTAAACCACAGTACAATAAACTGCTTCGAGGCGAATAGCTGATCCTTCGAGCCGGATACGATCTAACCCATCCTAACCCTACCGCCTGGGCACTGTTGCGGGGTACGCGGGCGGGTGCGGGGGCCGCTGTACCTGTTGTTGTTGTAAGGCTGCCTGTTGTTGTAATGCCGCCTGTTGCGCGGCGGCGGCAGCAGCCATTTGTTGTGCCTGTGAATATATATTAATATAAATATCCAAGTGCCGTCATGGTTTAGTGGTTACCCCCGACTTAGTCCCGAAAAGTTATAAGTTTGAATCCAGCCAACACAAACGATATTCACATTTATATTACTGATGGATCTATCTTTGTGTGATGAGACCGCACTGTCTGAACTCTACTAGGTCGCAGTGCTACAGGTCTTCACACCTGACAATAGCACAAAACACGCAACAAAAAAAAACAATATTACCTGCACGCTTTGCTGGACGATGGGTGGCTGCTGCCGCGGTGACGGCGCCTGCTGGATCCCGGGCTGCGAGTTCTGCTGTTGACATTTATTGTACACCGTATGGCCCTGTACACAGACGTACATTTGACAATACTAGGCCCATATTATTAGGTCCTATCCGGACCAGTGACGGACTAAGACTAAAGCGAGGCTTAAGCAACAATTTTCTAATAAATAAATTAAATTTTATTCTAATAATTAAATTTTTGGGCCTCAATAATTACGGGCCTAGGTCTTAGTCCGTCCCCTGATGGTGTAACACAACGATTTATCTCATAAAAATATCTACAAAACTCCAGTAAAATTCAAACGGGGATCGAAATTACAACGGTCTGAGTCGAGGTTCGAACCTCTAGCAGTGCCCTCAGAACAAGTCGTATCCATCAGGCGGGAGTTGGCCTTCAGCCGATCCATAAGTCCTTCCGAGGGTTTGGCACTTCACACACTGGCAACGAACGATGTGCACTAGGCCCCTATCGTTCGGAGAAGCTATAAAGGCCAAGTACGTCTAACTGCATTAGAATAGTTAAAAAAACCTATTTAGTTCCATATTTTAGTTTTAAATTCGCACGCCTGTATGCAGGCTGAATATAATCACCATAATCTTAATATATTACAAAGTCTGTAAGTGTAAATATAATAGATAATAATTAATATATTATATTCTTTCACGCAAAGACTATTAATATAGCTTATACATAACAATAATAAATGTTCATCAATTTGAAATTACATATATTTTTAAATTATGACCAATTAAAAAATATATGTAAATTGAAATATAATGATAAGGGGCTCTTCAAGTTTTACGTAAGCATTATGGGGGGGAGGGGGGGGGCTTTGCATGGCTTATGTTGGATGACATGGGGGGGTAGGGGAGTCTATATGATGATTACGTCGTCACTAGTTATTTACTTTTTTACACGAATGGCAATCTTCACATTTTCTTTGCTAAAAAAAAACAATACATTAATTGAAAAATATTAATGTAAGACTGGAGGGAGGGGGTACGAGCTTGGCTTACTTTTCCTGACAAAGGGTATTGGGGGGGGGGGGGGGGGATTATAATAAATCTGCTTACGTAATAGTTGAACGGCCCCTAAATGATGCAAATGAAGTTGCGCGGATCAGCTAATATACACACATACATATAACAATTGTACCCTGCGAGGAATCGAACCCGTAGCCTACTACGTGTCCATTAGCCTACATCTCGTTACCTGGAGATCAGCGAGTAGGTTCTGCCATTGGGTGATCTTGTCGTAGTGACGTCGCAGTAACTCCTCCTTGCGTTGAAGCTCACACTTCAGCTCGTTGTTGTCTTCCTTGACGAGAAGTTCCGGCTTCATGGCGGATAACAGGAATCTGGTGATGTTAAAATAATAATAATAATAATAATCTCAGGCCAATTCACACAGAGCCATCTAGACCCAAGTTAAGCTAGCTAGAGCTTGTGTTATGGGTACTAGATAACTGATACATATACATAGATATTTTTTTTTGTAAATACATAACAAACGTGAGAGGAATCGAACCCCCGACCATCGGTCGTAAAGCGGTGTGCTTGACCGCTAGACCACCGAGGTCGTCATACAAGTAATAAACTTGCTGTTCCCAAGTATCGTTTAGAAAAAGCCAATAGATCTTTTATGGGCATAAGTATAAAAATTTACAATAAGATACCAAAGGATATATTGGAAATACCCTTAAATAAATTCAAAGCAGCTGTTAAATTATATTTACATATCAAAGCCTATTACTCACTAAATGATTACTTGAATGACGACCGTGCATGGCAATAGTTGTTCATGCACTGGATTTTCATTTAATGTTAGACATAGATACCTATATAGATTACATTGCAAATAAACTGGCTTTTAAAAAAAAAGTAATTCAATTAAGTTTCTTGCTAGTTCTTCTCAATTGTATCTATATACTGAACTTGACGTTAGGGTATAATTATAATATAAAAAATTTGACGTTCATAAGCGGCTAAATTGTCCTACATGAGTAAATTCTCAATTGGATCTATATACTGAACTGGACGGTAGGGAAAATTTTTTAATTATAGTGTAAAAAAATTGATGTTTAAAAAAATTGATGTTTATAACGACTAAATTGTCCTACATGAATATATTCTCAATTGGATCTATATACTGAACTGGACGGTAGGGAAATTTTTTTTTTAAATTATAATGTAAAAAAATTGATGTTTATAACGACTAAATTGTCCTACATGAATAAATTCTCAATTGGATCTATATACTGAACTGGACGGTAGGGAAAATTTTTTAATTATAGTGTAAAAAAATTGATGTTTATAACGGCTAAATTGTCCTACATGAATATATTCTCAATTGGATCTATATACTGAACTGGACGGTAGGGAAATTTTTTAAATTATAATGTAAAAAAATTGATGTTTATAACGACTAAATTGTCCTACATGAATAAATTCTCAATTGGATCTATATACTGAACTGGACGGTAGGGAAATTTTTTAAATTATAATGTAAAAAAATTGATGTTTATAACGACTAAATTGTCCTACATGAATAAATTCTCAATTGGATCTATATACTGAACTGGACGGTTGGGAAAAAATTAAAATTATAATGTAAATAATTTGATGTTTATAACGACTAAATTGTCCTACATGAATAAATTCTCAATTGGATCTATATACTGAACTGGACGGTAGGGAAAAAATTAAAATTATAGTGTAAATAATTTGATGTTTATAACGACTAAATTGTCCTACATGAATAAATTCTCAATTGGATCTATATACTGAACTGGACGGTAGGGAAAAATTTAAAATTATAGTGTAAAAAAATTGATGTTTATAACGGCTAAAATGTCCTACATGAATAAATATTTTTGAATTTGAATCACTAGTGGTCTAAATTTAACCATAATTAAATCCATTCAGTAACAAATAATATTAAAGACAATATTAATATATTCTGAATTTGACCATAGAGTTTAACAATAAACAAAAGAGTATATATGCCTGCGTTTTTATTTTTATATTTGTATTGTGATTGTGTTTTAATACTAGCTGTACCCGCGACTTCGTCCGCGTGGAATTTAACTTTATTTTTCTAAAATAAAAGTAGCCTAAGTTACTCCTTATTACAACAGCTATCTGCCAAAAAAGTCCCGTTAAAATCGGTCCAGCCGGAGATTAGCCGGTACAAACAGACAGACAAAAATCGTAAAAAATGTTATTTTGGTGTATGTGGGTCATTCTTTTTTTTAACCTACATAATCTTAAAATTTTTACTCAAATTTCCAAAAAAAAATATAACGCTTTTTAGTCAACTCTTGTATGTTTTGTGATAGCCGAATGTCTGTTCTATCTGAAAAAGTTGTTGGCCGCGAAGTTTACAAATATTTGTACGATTTTCGAGGCCTTAAAGCAGGATTGGGCGAATAATTGTACACCTTCGTCACAATATCTTTTATTTTTTTGTATCAAATAGTTTAACTGAGATAGCTTGCAAATTACTTTTTACAATAATAATCAAATGGTCCTTCTGGAAAACTTACAAGGCAAGACTTCTGTATATAACAATAAATATATATTTTTAATCTTATACCACTCTGTCACAATTGCAGTTTTTTAGAAGTATATTTTTGCTATAATTCAATTTTAACCACTTCTAGCACAGAAATATTAATGTCGTAGACTATATTATAGTTAACTATTTTTAATATAATTTTTCCGAAATTGTACTATTCATAAGAAAATATTAAAATGGCTATATAAATTTTAAAACCAGGAGACATATCGTGACAGAGTGGTAGAGTATGTGACAGAGTTGTTATTCTATATAATATCCGGTTATATTTTGGAATAAAACTAGTTTTAAATGAATATTTTATTTAGAATCATTTATTACTTCTTTAGAATAATTAAATATTTGACAGTCTTACATTCTTACAACTGAAATACTCTCATACTAATAAAATAACATTGCAGAACCTTTGGAATGAGATCCGTATTAGTATAATTAAATTATAAGACTTCTAACTTGTCTCAAATAAAAAAAATGTCTAACTTGACTGAAAAATTAAAATAAAATAATAATCATCATCAACAAATTACTTTCTTCAGTCATACTTGTCCTAATCAGTCTTACTTTTCGAACACTGGCAAAAGCTCATTAAATTCAAAAAACCTTCTCTTTCCTTTTTTAACGTCTTTTGGATTTGATAGAATTTTAATCAAATCCTCATACGGAACATCTGATAAGTCATTCTCCACTAATAAATAATCTTCCACAATCATCGACTGTTTTCAAGAACATCACCAGAACATCGCCTATGTGACGTATGTATATTGATCATTTAATTCACTTTTTACTTTAACGAGTACATGTACACCGTCTTCTATATTCCTATGATGAAAGGCCTTGAGGTGAAGTGTTTCTTAAGAAATATTAGAAAAGGCCGTTGGATTAGAGGAATCTTTGCTTGCATATATGTGTGCAATGGCTGATCTTCCTCAGATAATTCATACAGAATATCATAAAATCTTTTTCGAGGTATCCCAATTTTGTTCGTAATATCGTGAGCGACAAATCCTCCACTTCATGAATTGCAACATCTTCTTTTTCGTTAGGAAACAACTAGTCCAAAATATTGTCAACATTGGATTCTGTTTCAGGCAGAGGCCAATAAGTTTTAGAAACGACGAACAGAATTGTTCACAAAAACAACTCAGAACCCTAAAGTTTAAGATTCCACGAGTTTCTGAGAACAGTTGGTGGATTTGCATGGTTCCTTTCAGGGGTAAAATACTGCTTGGAATAGTCGATACTCCATTGTCTATGTTTTCGTCTGCCACCAAAAACCATTTAATTTTGCTGGTATCTTGAATGGAGAAAAAGAATTCTAACACGTCTCCGAAATATTTTCCTATTGCTACAATAGCATCAGTTTGGCGTTTCAAAGTTCCACCAACACCATTAGCAATTCCCTTTCCATGTCCTGATTAAAAAAAAGTTTGGTATCATTCTTTAATGACATTGGAAAGGACACTATATTTGTTTTCATTCTTACTGTTCTTTTCATCTTTGCTATTGCTATATTTTTTGGATTTTCTGTGCAAGCTTTTCTTGTGTTTTTGAACTTTCCTCTCTAATTCTTCTATTTTATCTTGTAAACTAATATTCTCTCCGTATAACTTCTCTGTGTTCTATCTCTTTTCACTCTCTTCCTCCCTCTTAAGCTAGACACTTCTGAATTAGTTGGTGTTGCAGAATGAGGACGTATTTCTGGATGGCGATGGAGCCGGCGTGTTCAACAGTATGTTTTCAAGCGTTTGTTTTTTTTTCTTTTCATGTCGCTATTTTCTCTTCATCATACGATGTTCTCTCACAGTCATGTCAGCCACAAGCTTCTTACGAGTATGATATCTCTCGAAATGTTTGCGTTTTACTTCAGCTACCTTTTCTGTATAACTTTTTCGTATCTTACGGCAACGCCGCTGTTTTTCTGCTGTTAATGACTTCTTTTTCGTCATAATAATATCTTGAGAAAGAAAATATGTAAATAAATCCGTAAACATTAGAAAAACACTAGATAAACTTTATATCGAAATAGTTGCCATAATAAGTACTGGCCCTGTTTCGACAGATTCTTATATTTTTTGAGATAAAATAAATATTATATTCTTTGCGAGTATTTTTTACCCATCCGTCACGTACTTTACCACTCCGTCACAATTTTATTGTGACGAAGTAGTAGCGTGACGGAGGGGTAAATCTTACTTACAAAATTAATCATATTTAAACGTTACCACAAAATACAAACTTAACAGGTTGGCATGAAAGTGTTTCTTATTACGCAAAAGCTGAATAATAAGAAGTAACTGTAATTGATATGTTATTGTCCAATACTTACGTGACGAAGTTGTCGCCGAATAAACACACGCACCTCCATCCACAGATTCCGGGCGACTTACGCGCAATCTCTAAGTCCTAGAGAGCTTATCTCAGCAAGGGATAGGAAGGACTAAATATCCAATCGACGGCAACAAAAGCTACCCGCGTATACGCGTCGCTCGAATTAAAAAACATGTGACCGAATATACCTATTAAAACAGTCTGTAGTGAAAGACAAGACTTTAAGATTTTTCTATTTTTTTATTAAAAATGTCAAAAAATTTTAGTCAGTACAACAAAATGAACTATATCTTGTAGAATTAAAAAATACTTTTATATTTGCTACTGTCTTTATATTTTTTCGTACCATTATAAATTAAACACAAGCTCAGGTAGCGGGAGACAACTATGATTTGTATGAAATACACCTCTGTCACGCGGATTGACGACTCTGTAACGTATTTTTTATTATAAAAATATAAATGTTTATTTATTGTGAACGTGTATAGCCGTTACATTTTTAGTACAGTACATATTGAAACATAAATAATAAAATAATACGGATAATTTTCGATTATATATTTTTTTTAACTGATGAAGACACCTTTATGTAGGTTAAAAAGAAGAACGACCCATGTACCGTATTTATATTCATATGCATATAGTAAAAACGATTATTTCAATATTACAAACAGACACTCCAATTTTATTTATATGCATAGATGTATAGATTATATGTAGATATAATAAAATTGGAGTGTCTGTTTGTAATATTGAAAGAACCGATTTCAATATTACAAACAGACACTCCAATTTTATTTATATGTATAGATTAATTATAGTCTAATTTCGACTATTAAGCGACGACTACTACTTAACAATTCCGTAAAACCGTACCTCTTCTGCAAGAAGAAGGCCTCCATCTGCCTGGCGAGATCTATGAACCGTTCCACCTCCACCCTGACTTCCTCCTTCTCCACGCTGGGCGAGGCATCCTGCTTGGTCAACACGTTGAGACATGCCTATGGATAAGAAGTACATAAATAATCCAGAAGGCACATGTTATACATAAGGGTGATGCAGCTGGAGTCGAGTCACAATGCGAGTTTCAAGGCGATCGTGGTCCGGGTCCTTATCAACATGCTGCCCACCTTCAAGAAGGAGGACTACTGGCTGAAGGGAGTGGTGTATCGGCGCTACCGTGGCAGATTGCCATCGTCAGTGCCGTGAGCACACAGTTTCAATATATAATATCAATTCATACGTTGAACAAATAATATTAAAGATTACATACTAAACTAATTATATCATTTACATAACTTAATTATACAACTACAACCTAAAATTAAAAAGCTTAAGAAATATAATACAATAACGACTGACGGCTTCGGTGGTCTAGCGGTCTAGCACACCGCTTTACGTCCGATGGTCGCGGGTTCGATTCCTCGCGCGGCACAAACATTTGTATTCATGAGTATGATTGTTTGTATCGGTCTGGGTATTTTCTATAGAATAGAAAAGAAAGAATAGAAAATCATTTATTCAAATAAACTTACATTGAAGCACTTTTTAATAGTCATAACATTTTTTTTTAATCTACCGCTCATTCGGAATGCTGTCTCATCACAAGAAGAACAAGCAAGAAACTTGTGTGTTGCTCCTTTAAATAATTTGTTCTTACTTACAATTTAAGTTTAAGTGTGTGAATACAAACTACCGATTAGCACTAATTCAATTAAATAATAAAATAGAAAAAACATTCAATACACAACAACTGGTTAAACAATTAATAAGAGAAAATAAATCATAGTGATTAGAGCAGACCAGTCCGCACAAGCAGCATCCGTTCACGAGTATGACGGATGAGCCAGCCACCACTGCGCTCGACCATATTTTAGGGAGCCCAATGACCCGGCCCACCACGCCGCTACAAGTCTGGACATTTTAGTGAGCATGACTACTCAAAACACCAGACCACGTCATAGCTACTCACAATTGCCATCTGATGGTTATAGTATTCACATTTCACATAAGAATGCATGCGGCAATCAATACAAAAACCGCTACGCTTTCATATTTCTAAAATAATTAAATCAAGAAAGCAATGAGATAAACAAATTATAACGTTGTATGCTATGTATAATATGCATGTATTTACGAAAAAAAATTATCTATGTATTTTTATCAGTTGTCTAGGACCCATAACACAAGCTTTAGCTAGCTTAACTTGGGTCTAGATGGCGCTGTGTGAATTGTCCTGGGATTATTATTATAACTAAAATATATTATTTATTATTAAAAGGGGTCCCTTTAGGCAAATTTCCGAAGATACTGGATACGTATGTTAGTCTATAAGGTATTTATAATATGAGCTTAGTAGCCTGAAATAAATAAATAATATACTTTGAATGATGTATATGTAGATTCATCTGTTTAAATAAAAGAAGGGTATTGTTAGTAATGTGGACTAATAACCCTATTGCTAGCAATGTACCATGTCAGGTTGACCTCCACGTGGAGGAACAACCTGGAAAGCATCGTGATAAATTCATGGTGAATTTACCACGATGGGCTAGCTGACCCGACTTCATGGTCATCTTATCGTCTTCCACTAGTGCCTCGCCAGGTCTTGTGGTTGGTATAAAATACTTTTTTTTTTTGTAAACACATACATAATATACATAGAAGACAACTAAAAAGATACAAACAAATCTATAAATACAAATGTTTGTATTGTATGAGGAATCAAACCCGAGACCATTGGAAGTAATGGCTAAATCGGTAGACTACCGAGGACATAAACTAAATCAGCAACCATAACCTAAACACATTGTTATGGATGATAATGGAATGGTCTAGGACCCCATAGCTAGCAATGTACCATGTCAGATTAACTTCCACGCGGTTCCTCCTGGAAACCAAGTGATTCATCACGATAGGCTACGGCCCGAATGGACCTGACCTCATCATCATGTTCTTCTTATCATCCACCACTGGTGACCCACCAGCGAAAAAATACCCTATTTGTGCTGAACACCGTGAGGTATTATAAAAATTATGGAAACAACTTACCTTTGAAATTGATTGTATTTCTATATTTCGAGAAATAAAACTATACGGAGTCATATAAATAAAAAAATATATCATTAAACATTTTATTTATGAATTCCATTTAAAACAGTTTTAAATTACTATAATGTAATCTACAATAAACTATGTAGGTATTATAGACTCTTAACCATTTGTTTTCTTAACTACTTATACATTACTCTTAAGAAAAGGACAACAAATGTAACAAACATCTCTTTCTGTTGTATATAATCTGAAAGGAACAGCACTACATCTAGCTTTGTAAAACGGAAACAAAAAATGTCATTGTATCTATGTAATTTTATATACAAACTATGAAAAATCACTGTCGATATTGCTTTAAATTTTCAATTGTCGTGTCTAAACACATTATACTAATCTTAGCAAATCGGTTAAGAGCCTAATAGGATTTGCATTTACTAATGACTTTTTACAGCTGTGCACGTGACACCAAATCAAAACTTCATTTCCACATGCCATAATCCAAGTAAAAAATATAACACCTTACAATTAAGTATAGATGAACAATTATATTCTTTTGCCTCGACAAAATAAGAAACAAAGTCAAACATGGCGGCAACACGAAAAATAGCGCGAAACAATGCCACCACTGGCGTCACCACACTAAGTTAAATATAAATAAGCTACATTATTAATTTTAAATAATTAAATCTCAATTTTAAAAATAAACCACTCTGTAAATACACATTCACACATAGAATTCTTTATATTAGCTGCAATATTCGACGATTGAGTGAAATGTGACTGACAAAAAAATCAATCAATAATTAAGAGCCCCACATATATCAGGTTAAACCGGACGGTTCTGATATCGCCATTTGATTGGCACATTCATTGTTACGCCCCGCACACTGTTTGGAAATTTGTTGCGTTTAGTTTTGTACCGTCAATACGCTACATAACAGTAAAAACAAAAATATTCTCTCTGAAAATCCTTAAAACATATACATGTAACATATGTTATAGGTCAGTCAGGTTCCTCGAATACAAAACATTCCGTTAGACTCCGATCCGGCGGGACAGACCAATAAATGTGTTGCTTGCATTCAGACAACTTGAAGTATGTAATGTAACTTCTTAATTTTAAACTTTATTATGCGTAAAACAAGAAATAAATAAACAAATGTGTGATGTACGGTTACAATCAGTTTGGATTTCCTCAGAATAATACCGATCTAGAGATCATCCGGGAATATATACATATTACAAACCTATCACATATTTTCTTAGTATAATTTTTTATTGGTATTTACAAAATAATACAAAATAGTCAGAAGATATATGTTAATAATGAGACTTAGTGACCCCACTGCTATAAGTATATCGGGCCGACCTCCTCTTGAAAACCATCATGATTAATTTCTCGGGCTGAAATTTGACATGCAGGTAGATGTTATGACGTAGACAAAAGGATTTTGATTAATTCTACCCCTAAGGAGATAAATTAACGCAACCGAATCCGCGGGCAAAAGCTAGTACTAAAATAATCTTCAAACCATATTCTACAATTATTCATTATATTTGATAAATAAACCATAGCCTTGAATTTATCATTTTAATCAATAATTTATTGTCAACCACATTTCACTATAAAAGATAAATAATAATTAATTTTCCATACATTTAATCATACAACCAAACATATATAACACACAATTTAGTATCACACGGCAATTTATTCAAATAAGACTAGGCTCACATTAGGTTCAGTCAGAACGACCTCGCCGGTGCCGTTCGATTGGCGAATTCCCAAAGATCAGCAATACGCCAATCGAATAGCGTCAGTGGTACGATTCGTCCGATTCTTACCGGACGTGTGTGGCCGGCCTAAATATATATTTTATTGCACTATTAGCCGTAAAGAGCTCACCAAGCCGAAAATAACAAATATCCATGAAATTAAATACGTCAATATACAAAGTAGAATCAGTATATATAATAAAAAATGTACTAATGCCTCATCTGATTCTTCCGTATCCCATTCATTTGTGGTCGGTGTAATATATTCTTCTCTTCCATTCATCCCTGTTCGCAGTTATCTCGTTATTTACTCCCTTTATTACTATATCATCTTTCACACAGTCCATCCATCTCTTTTTCGGCCTTCTTATGCCCTTATAACCATCCCATTCATATGTAATAAACACCTTCCTTAAAATATATTCATTCCCACTCATTAAATGCCCATACCATTAAGAATGATATAGAACAAAAAAAAAATATTACTACAATTCTTGTCTGTACGTTTAATCTCAGAATCGGCTTTATCGATAAATAGCCTCATAGACTTAAGTTTTTACAGTCTACCTCTGGGCGATCTTTCGGGAATTTATTCAATTTCATCCATTTCGACACAGACTTTCGACTCAGCTCTCTTTACAGCTAACCCTGTACTTATTATTTAATACAAAAGTAATAAGTAGGTTACACATCAAATTTTACCGAACCGATCGATTTTGTACAAAAATCAATTTTTTTAATACAAATAAGGTTGCAAATTAGAATTTATGTTAAATTTCCTGAGCCTTAGAACATAATTTATAAGTCCGTGATCTTTAATCTATGAAAAAACATAACATTCTCAATTTAAATTTCTCGACGTTCCGTAGTCGTTATTCGTATAGATTATTTATTTAAAATCTTAAACTAACTAATATATAGTAAAGCTTCCTACAATTACCTAAAATGTTGTGGAAATATTACTTACAAATCATAAAAAACGTGATTAAAACGAAATTAATTACAATCAGTCGTAAAATTGATAAAATTATAATACAGCGACAGTATGGGGGATATGACGACGTATTGCGTAAACTATAGCCTTGATAATTTTTAATATATAATATAGAAACCGCATTTTACTATTGGTATATTTTATCACTTTCTTGCAAATAAAGAAAGTAGCTTGCAAGAAAGAGATGAAAGCATTCAATATCCAAAAATAGGTTTTGTAAACTGTAACATATAAGCCTAATTATATAAACTATATATTAATTTATAAAAAAAAAAAAATCTAGTCATAAAATAGTTTTCGTTATTCCTTTGCTCATATGCTATATATATGCTATATATATGTGTGTTATATAAAATATAAATATCGAAACACGTCACGTCACTCATTTATAATAAAATGGTGCATAAAAATATCATTTGACTATAGTTTACGCAGAACAAAAACATAGTCTCTCACAAGAACATAAAATATTATTATTTTTTTATTATAACGTTTTTCTTTAAAAATTCAAACCACATTTGCAATAAGAATGTATAGTAACATAGTAATTGTACAAAAAATAAAACCTATTTTATTATTCGTCATATATTTTTTTCTATGGCATAGTTACAATATAAAACAGGCATATCTGTATATATACATACAGTGGACAGTCGATTACCCGTACAAATTATAGTAAGGCATTCGGCTAAGAAAAACAATTTTTTTCTAAATTATTTTAAATTTTATTGGCATGGCAACCAGTCCTTCGGCCCACCTGATGTTAAGTGGAAACAGTTTCTTATATACATGAACAGCACTACGGACATCACGTTATCATGTAACGCCCGTGATATCGCTCATGTGTTGCCATTCTAGAGGACTAAATTATGTAGTAATAGGTTATTTTTCGTACCTGTTCAAGCGGAAACGGTAGGCAGAAGCTAGTACATATAAAGTTTAATTAATTGTTAGAATGCGTAACTCCTGGATAAAAATTTTTATGCACGAGAATTATTTCAAATCTATTTTATACTACGTACGTGGCTAACAAGATGGCCAATCTGATGGTAAAATTTATTAAATTATTAAAATTACCGTAGCATAACTTTGAAATGCATGGTTTATTTACTTCATAACAAATTAGCTATATTTTAGAATAGAATAAATAATAATTTATTCAAATAAACTTACATTGAAACACTTTTGAATAGTCATCTCTTATTTTTTTTTAATCTACCGCTCATTCGGATAGCTGTCTCATCACAAGCAAGAAACTTGCGTGTTGCTCTTTTTATATTAATATCTTAATAATATTGTTTAAATATTATTAAGATATTAATATAAAAAGAGCAATCGTCGTCTGGGCGATGTAACTTTGAGCTGACGTACAATTTACGGCAAAAAAAAGTCAAATCACATCAAACTGCGCTGTTTTAAGGTTATGTTTTTGTTTTTGTAATGATGTGACCATTTAACCTTGAAAATATTATAAACGCGAAAGTTTGTAAGTATGGATGTTTGTTACTCTTTCCCGCAGAGACTACTGAACGGATTTTGTTGAAATTTTATAGTGACAAAGCTTATACATCAGAATAACACATAGGCCTAACTGACCTGTCCTCATGTTCATCTTATCATCCTTCACTGGTGCCCCGCCAGCGTATACCGTTAGCGCAGGTTACACCATACAATTACCATACATAAAACAAAATACCCATCACCAGGGCAGAGGTGTTATGACTGACAGTGTTATGATGAACGCAACACTTGACAAAGTTGGCGAGACTACCGCCGGCAATAGAATTTATTTGTTATCAGCATTTCCATCGCCGGAGAGTTAGTTATAAATTTCAGGCTATTTCACTATTGAATACTAGCTGTGCCCGCGGTTTTTACCCGGGCACAGCTAGTATTTAATATAGCTCTTACGAAGTAACAAAAAGGCTTCAAAATACTCCATTAGATGGCATTAAAAGTTTTATTTAATACATAATTTTTGCAGACACGTATTGTGGAGTTACGCATTCTGACAATTAGGTCAACTCACTAAACAATTACTGAAAAATTTCAAACTTTCGGAATTAAACTTTAAAGTTATTACATTAGAGAGGATTTTTCATAATTTGTAATTTTTGAGTTAAGCCTATTTATTAAACCCCTATAGTAAGGAGGGCATTTATCTATTTGAGTTAGTTTTGAAGGGTGAACCAAACCGAAATTATAATTACTAGCACGGGTGAATATGTATTATTATATATATATATATAAACCTTCCTCTAGAATCACTATTTTTTACATAGGGACGGACTGACAGCGACTTTGTAATGATTTTCTTTTTTTTCTATCTTTCAAATTAGGTCATAGATCGAAATTATAAACTATTTTCTTTATTTCAAATTAAATCAATTTAAATCTATACATATAAAAAAAAGTGTCTGTTTGTAACATTGAAATAACAGTTTTTTACTACATACATATATAAATACGGTACATACACCAAAATTACATTTTTACTGACTCTTATTGGCAGGTAGATGTACATCATCTACCTGCCAATAAGAGTCAGTAAAAAATGTTATAAGGAGTAACTTAGGCTACTTTTATTTTCTAAGAAGAAATTTCTTAGAAAAAATCTTTTAATTTTGTAAAACATGAATAACTAGCTACTCGCCCCGGCTTCGTACGTGTGTACATGTATTATATATACAAACCTTCCTCTAGAATCACTATCTATTAAAAAAAATAGGTACAACATCCGTTGCGTAGTTTTAAAGATTTAAGCATACATAGGGACGGACAGATAGCGATAGCGACTTTGTTTTATACTATGTAATGATAAAAAGACCCCTTTGGTGGTCTAGAGGTTTAACACTGCATGACTTGCGATGGTCGGAATTAGTTTCCTTATATTTATTAGTATGAGTGTATTCTATTTATATTATGAATGAATGAATGAAACTCTTTATTGTTCCTCTCACAGAAAATACAATTACTGTTCGCGACTATTGTAAATATTTGATTATTGTTAGCTTAATAAAATTTAAAATTGTAGTAGTTTCAATTCCCTAATAGATAGAATTAAATATAATTGTATTGTAAAGTTTAAATTAATAAATAAAGGAGCGAGTAGAGGTGGTCTTTTCGCGCTATCCGTCCCGCTCGCACCTATGTGCGTAACACAATCGTTACCTAGTACGTGACACGGTGCGAGCGGGCGGAGTATAAATATAGGTGCCGAACGCGGCACGATTCATTCCGCTTCCATCGCTAGTACAGACCACCGAACTCTGCTCGAGAGGATAATTACACTTGTCTTTCTTGTTTCCACCTGCACCCGCAACCTTACAAACAAGTACGGGGAATAGATACCCGTACATCTGGTCCTTCGAGCCGGATTGTTGGAAGAAGAAAGCAAGACCATCTGGTCCTTCGAGAAGCCGGATTGTTGGAGGAAGAAAGCAAGACTGCACAGAGATCAAGATCACAGATGCCAACAACAAGAAGCCAAAGAACAGCCATGGAAGCTCAATCAAACGAAGAAAACACCGCCGCCGTCACGTCGCCTGTCGCCGCTACGCCGACCGTCGCCGCCACTACGTCGCCTGCTGCCGCCACTACGTCGACCACCACGACGTACACGTCCTCGGAACCTACTGCTACCACGGAGACTTCCGCGGAGACTACCACAACAATTCCAAGGGCGCCGCGCACCACAGCTTCAAAAAAGAAGAAAGAATTGGCTAAAGCCCGAGAAGAATTGCTACGCAAGGAGGTAGAACTGGCCGCCGCACGCGTCGCAGCATTGGAGGCAGACACGGACGACGAAGAGGAGGACGAAAATGAAGAGGACGCCGCCACATTAAGAAGAGAGAGGACTACGGACTGGATTCGCCGGACGAGCACATTGGCACTCACAATGGAGCCACACACAGAGAGGACGACCGCCGACTTGCATCAGGGGATTAATATCTCATCGATACCCGCCGGAGAGGGAACGAAAGCGCCGCAGCCGCAGCCGTGCAGCGACGCATTCCGACGGGACCATGCAAGCCACAACGGTCCGAGGGAAGACTCCATAGCACCGATGATGCCAACGAAGAAAGAAGAGGATTCACTGAAAGGGGGCATCGACTATAAGGAATTGGCGACTGCTATGACTATGGCAGCTCGCGCAATTCAGCCCTCCACAGTGCCGCGAGTCACAGAACTACCACCCTTCAACGGCGCGTCAAGCGAATGGCTGCCCTGGAAGATGGCCTATGAAGAGTCTGCGGGGCAGCTGACCGAGCAAGAAAACTTGGGTAGATTACGTCGGTGTTTAAAGGGTGCGGCCAAAGAGGCTGCACACTGTCTTTTCGTCGGGGATACGTCTGCAGCAGAAGTAATACAATTACTTGCTACGAGGTTCGGCCGTCCAGGAGCACTCGTAATGGCCGAGATGAATAAACTTCGTGCGCTGCCGCGGCTGTCAGACAACCCCAAGGACATCTGTCTATTCGCATCCAGAATAGCCAATGTCACTGCAACAATTCAAGCCCTGAAGAAGAACCACTATTTGTACAACGAAGAAGTGACAAGATCCATCACGGAGAAGATGCCTTCTGCGCTACGATTCAAATACTACGACTTCGTAGCAGAACAGCCAGCTGATCAACCGGACCTGATAACGCTCTCCAAGTTCCTGCAAATCACCGCAGCCAGGTGCGGTGACTTCGCACCCGCCGAAATAATAGTAAATGAAGACCGGCGGGAGCCAGCAACGAAGAGAAGCGTGAAAACATACATCACGCAGGAGAAACCGACTTCACCGCCGTGTCCGACGTGCAACAGGGAGGGACACGCACCACCCGATTGCATCACTGTGAAGAACGCCGAGCCACAAGCAAGATGGGAGATAGCAAAAAAACACAGGCTATGTTTCCGTTGCCTGAGGATAAAAAGATTTCGTCACAACTGCAAGACGAAGAGATGCAACGTTGGTGGGTGTACACACCTACATCACCCACTCCTGCACGTCGACACCATAGAGAAGGACAGCGAGCCCTCCGATGATAAAGCAGCCGCAGTCGTCGCGTCTGCGAGAGAAGATAAGAAGATCGCATTCCTCAAGATAGTGCCGATACAAGTGATCGGTCCCAAAGGAACGTGCGATACATACGCACTCCTGGACGACGGCGCAACGTGCACCATCATCGAAGAAGCAACAGCGAAGCAAATCGGCGCCACTGGCCCTCCCGCACCCTTCTACATAGAGGCCGTGGCCGGGACACGCATAAACGCCGATGAATCGAAGCTTGTCCACTTCACAATACGGGGACGAAGATCGGAAGATCATGCCGTGTCTGCGCGAACCATGAAGAAACTACTGTTATCTCCACAAACAGTATCACGCAGCGCAATAGAAGACTGTCCACACTTGTACGATATAATAGATCAGCTGACATATGAAGAAGGTCAACCGACGGTTCTGCTGGGTCAAGACAACTGGCATTTGCTGCTCGCACATGAAGTCAGAAGAGGCAATAAGACACAACCGGTCGCATCACTCACCGACCTGGGTTGGGTGTTGCACGGCACGGGAGCGGCGAGAGCGAGACAGCAAGTGCACAGAATCAGTCACTTAGTCGACGGGCAAGAAAATGAAGAATCCATAGAGCGATTAATGAAAGAACACTTCGCTCTCGAATCACTGGGCGTCACACCGAAGCGCTCATACAATGAAGAGGAACAACGCGCGCTGAAAATATTGCAAGAAAAAACTCGCCCGTTACCGGCGGGAGGCTACGAGACCGCGTTGCTATGGAAACGCGACAACGCAACGCCGCCGGCTAACTACGACTCAGCAATGCGACGCCTCGAGTTAATTGAGAAAAAACTCGACAAGAATGAAGACATGAAGAACAGATATAAACAGCAAATTACCACGCTGTTAGAAAGGGGATATGCAGAAATCGCCCCACCGGTGAAGACTGAACGAGTATGGTACCTGCCACACTTCGCTGTCATCAACCCACAGAAACCGGACAAGCTGCGCATCGTGCACGACGCCGCCGCCAAGACAAGGGGCATTAGTCTCAACGACATGCTGCTGTCGGGACCCGACCTACTCCAATCACTACCTGGGGTCCTCATGAGGTTCCGACAGCGCCGTGTGGCGGTCACAGCGGACATCAAGGATATGTTCATGCGTGTCACAATACGAGAAGAAGACCGAGACATGCAACGGTTTCTATGGAGAGGAGATCGACGCCAGGGTCCAGCTGTCGAATATAGGATGAAGAGCGTCATCTTCGGGGCCACTTCGTCACCATGCACGGCGATATACGTGAAGAACAAGAACGCCGAACTACATAAAGAAGAGTTCCCGGAGGCGGCTGCAGCGGTGGTTGTCAATCACTATGTTGACGACTACCTCGCTAGCTTCGACACTGAAGAGCAAGCCGTACGAGTCTCAAGCGAGGTCGCCTACATCCACAGCCGGGCGAACTACTATCTTCAGCGCTGGGCATCGAACTCGCGCCATGTACGAGAAGAGTTCTCACATAGAAATGAAGAGAACATGGTGCAACTCGACGCTGAGAAGATACTGGGAATGGTGTGGCGGCCTGAGGAAGACAGTCTCGGGTTCAACTTCAACGGGAACAAACTTCCGTTACACATCATACGAGGCGAACGCACACCAACGAAGAGAGAAGCCCTCCGCGCCGTTATGTCGCTGTTCGACCCATTGGGCCTGGCCACACCCGTCACAATACAAGCCAAGAAGATATTACAAGAAACGTGGCGCACGGGTATCGGCTGGGACATCGAACTGCAAGAACGGGAAGCAGCAGCGTGGCGGAGCTGGATATCGCACGCACAGCAGTTACCCCACTTGGTAATACCACGGTGTTACCCCGGTGTGGCGACGGCACATACGACGGAGCTTCACACATTCGTCGACGCGAGCTCAGATGCATACGCCTGTGTCGTATACTGGCGGGCCGTATGCGTGACCGGCGAGGTACGTGTGTCACTCATCGCAGCCAAGGGAAGAGTGGCCCCTTTGAACAAGGTCACCACTATACCACGTCTGGAGCTGCAAGCGGCCGTACTAGGGAGCCGCCTGTCACGCACAGCTGTCGAAGAACACGATCTGAAACCTGCCCGTCGTGTCTACTGGTCGGATTCGCGTACCGTACTGTCTTGGTTACGCACCGGGCCGCGTGCATTCAAGCCCTTCGTCGCTCACCGAGTCGCTGAAATTATGGAAGATACGAAAACGAACGAGTGGAGATGGGTGCCGACGGCCGACAACGTCGCGGATGATGCCACACGCGACGTACCACACCACTTCACTTCAACACACAGATGGTTCCGTGGGCCGCAGTTTCTATATCGACCAGAAGAAGAGTGGCCTCATGAAGACGATTCCCACCAGACGGAAAATACAAGCGAAGAGCGCGCCCACACAATACAAGATGCAACACGATTATCTCGAGCGTTGCCCGATCCCGCGCGATTCTCCGACTGGATGAAGATCGTCCGCAGTACGGCCCGCGTATTGCAATTTATAAATAAATTGCGACCACTCAAGCAACACTGCGCCGTCGCTACCCACAAGAGAAACAAAAAACATGAAGACGATCCCACGTGGCGAAGCAACAAGATAAGAAAACCAGAACCGTCGAAAAGAAAAAACGTACGTGCGCCTGTGTGTTATATACCCATAGACACACACTACTTAGAACGCGCCCGTCGGCTATGGATCCGCTCAATACAGGAAGAGGCATTCAGCATCGATATAGCGGCGTTGCGACGCAATAAACAACTGTCGTCGAGTAGTCGACTTAAACAGTTGTCCATTTTCATCGACGAAGACAATGTGCTGCGACTCCGCTCAAGGGTGTCGGCTGCCGCCAATCTGTCCGCGGAGCAACGGGAACCACCCATAGTCGACGGTCAACATGTATGGGTACGCCTGTACATAGCATGGGTGCACAGAAAACTTCATCACGGGGGCTTCGAAACTACTGCGAACGAGGTGCGTCAACACATGTGGGTGTTGCGCCTACGACATGCCGTTCGTAGTGAATTGAAGAGATGCCAAACGTGCCGCATCAGGAAAGCAGCACCAGCACAACCATCAACGGGCAACCACCCACGCAGCAGGCTGGCACATCATCAGCGGCCGTTCACCTTCACCGGCCTAGACTACTTCGGGCCGATGACAGTGACGGTGGGTCGCACGCATCAGAAGCGGTACGGCGTGCTGTTCACATGTCTCACCACGAGGGCTGTGCACCTGGAGATCGCCGGCAGCCTCAGCACCGACTCCGCAGTAATGGCTCTGCGGCGCTTTATAAGCCGCCGCGGGTGCCCCACGGAGCTGTGGTCGGACCAAGGCACCAACCTCAAGGGTGCCGACCTCGAGATGAAGAAAGCAGCCGCTGAAGCCATGGAAGAAGAGTCGTCGGTGCGCTTTATACGCTGGCGCTACATACCACCGAGCGCTCCCTTCATGGGCGGCGCCTGGGAACGACTAGTGCGCAGCGTGAAAACCGCGCTGGCCGCAACGCTGCATGAACGAGCCCCGAAAGAAGAAGTCCTTCTCACCCTGCTGGTGGAAGTAGAACACACGCTCAACAGTCGACCTCTCACCCACGTGTCGACATCAGCAGACGACGAGGACGCACTCACCCCCAACCACTTCCTATTGGGAGGTCCGTCCCGCGTACCACTGCCGGGAGCTTTCGCTGAGGGCGATACGGCGGGCAGGAAGGAGTGGCGCGCCAGTCAGTGGCTCGCTGACTGCTTCTGGAGGCGCTGGGTAACCGAATATTTACCCCAGCTACAACACCGGCGGGAGCCCCGAGCTACACACGGAGTCATCAAGTTAGAAGACTTGGTGCTGGTGGCGGACGGCAACTTGCCTCGGAACTCCTGGCCGCGCGGCGTGGTGGTGGCTACGTATCCGGGACCGGATGGTGAAATACGGGCGGTCGACGTGCGCACTAACAAGGGGATACTTCGGCGGCCTACGAAGAAATTAGTAATCCTGCCAATCGAACAACGCGAACTCGAATTAAATACAGCTTAGCTGCGGCGGGAGATATGTTCGCGACTATTGTAAATATTTGATTATTGTTAGCTTAATAAAATTTAAAATTGTAGTAGTTTCAATTCCCTAATAGATAGAATTAAATATAATTGTATTGTAAAGTTTAAATTAATAAATAAAGGAGCGAGTAGAGGTGGTCTTTTCGCGCTATCCGTCCCGCTCGCACCTATGTGCGTAACACAATCGTTACCTAGTACGTGACACGGTGCGAGCGGGCGGAGTATAAATATAGGTGCCGAACGCGGCACGATTCATTCCGCTTCCATCGCTAGTACAGACCACCGAACTCTGCTCGAGAGGATAATTACACTTGTCTTTCTTGTTTCCACCTGCACCCGCAACCTTACAAACAAGTACGGGGAATAGATACCCGTACAATTACATATACAATTATGTATAAAATGATAAAAAAAAATAACATAAATACTTTTTTTTTATAAATTATGTTGTTATTTATAAAAAAAAAAGTATTTATATCAGTTGTCTAGTACCCATAACACATGTATTTGCTTAGCTTGAGACTCTCTATGAATTCAACACTGCATTATTTGCGATGATCGTAATTAGTTTCCTATGTATATCTGGGTGTTTTCTATATATATTATGTATGTATTTATAAAAAAAAAAGTATATCAGTTGTCTAGTACCCATAACACGTGTACTGCTTAGCTTGAGACTAGATGGCTCTGTATGAATTGTTCTAAACAATTATTATAATTTAGTAATTGATATAAAATTTACTTAAAGTCAATACTAAATTTAAGTTCAAAATTTAAATATTTGTTTATTAAAATAAGTATTTCTTGTCTTCTTATTTGCCACTAGCTGTTATTTGTTACTTTGCAACAAAATTTTTGTTAAAGAAATTTTTTTTTTAAATATAAGTAGCCTAAGTCACTCCTTATAACATTAGCTATCTCATGTGAGTGTACCGTCAAAATAGGGCTAGTCGTTTCAGAAATTAACAATAACAAACAGCAGACAGATATTTTTAAAATATTTTTTTGATAAAATTACCTTAAGTATATACTTTCAAAGCTGTTAATTTAAAATTAGAAATGGAACAAAAAATTTTATGTTTTTTTCTAGGATGGTTTCAAAGAAGCATTGCTATAGAGGCAAAGGTATCTGGTAAAATTAATTCAAATTCGTTAATTTAGGCTTGGCACACCCTTTTCAACTAATCCTGTAATAAGTTTATACATTTTGCTAATCAGAATATACAAATATTGTAATTTTATTTTGCTAATATAGTACAGAGTAATATTTACAATTACAGAATAACAAACTGCTCCTGCTTTATCTATAGTTGAGACAAAACATCTTTAACGTGCTGCCTCGTCATACCTATCCCATACCTTAAAAGCTAACTTAATACTGCACTAAGTTATTTCTGGAAACCATACCAAGGTGGTTGGTATGGATTTCTGTAGTAGTCCATATTTGCAGAGTTGAATATTGGTGGGTTTTGATAAGGTTGACCGTATACTTGATTGGGCCTCCACTGTCGCTCGTCTAAAGCACTGTGCGTCACTTGATTAAGTATTCTCTCGTTTTGTGTATAAGTACTATAATCTAATGGATTATTGTCAAGGAATATACTATCATTGTACTGTCCAATCGGCATAGGCCATTCCTGCGTCCTCGTGTTTGCTGCCACAGATTCAGGAGGTTGTATAACAGTTTTATCATTTTGTTTTGGAGGTTTATCAATTTTTGGTGGTCTCTCAACCTTCTGTGGCTTGTTAATCCTCGGTTGACTATGCTGTCTTGCGTTTATAATAACAGTGGAGTCTGTATTCTGTTTAGTAGTCATGAATTTATGGAATTCCCCTTGGAAGGCGCTAGGGTCCTTATTTATAGGAGGTACAATGGTAGGTACTCGTAAACTCGCATCAAGAAGCAGGTTCGAGTATGGTTTTGTGGATGATTTTATTTCTGTTGATGGATACACTGGTTTTGGTGGAGATATAGCTGGTTTGTGTTGGGAGACTGTGTGTAGTGGTTTATGTGCTTGAGTTGAAGTAGCTGTGCTTGGTGCTTTAGGTTTTAGTATTGGAACAAGTCTAGCTTTGCCTAACTTAGCAGTATTAGATGGGTAAGGTTGGGGTTTAAACAGATCTGATTGTGGGCTGCTGTATGAATTGTGCACGCTAGCCATCACAGGCTGTAATGGAGAATTGTATTCAAAATTGCTTATTTTCTTAGGTGTGCGAGGCTTTCGTGGTTTCTTCTCTGGTTTACTTTCGTCACCTTCTTTTTTTACTTTTGGCTCCTTCTTCACTTTTTCTTTTTTAGGCTTATCTTTTTTCTCACTCTCTGGTTTTGGTGTTCGTTTCTTTCTCTCTTTTTTTACTTGTACCTCTGGTGTAGTACCTTCTAATTGTGGTTTCTCAATAGGTGGAACACTGGTTGTAGTAGATAATGGATCAGTTAAATCATCATGTTCTACTTTGGGACTCATTTCCTCAACATGTGGTGGTGACTCCCAGTTAGATACCACAGCTTCCATGCTTTCTATTTCCTTTTCAGATAGCTTTTTAGCTCTCCTTTTACGGATTTTAGGAACCTTTTTCTTAGTTTCAGCATCTTCAGGATCTGATTCACTTTCTTTCTTTACCTTCTCCTTTTTGATACTTTCTTTTCTCTTTTTCCTGGTCTTGGAACTCTTTTTCGACTTTGGTGCGCCATAGTCTGAGTCTTTGTCAGAGTCCATATACCCAACGTCAGGTAACTGTGCTTCTGATGGTTCCATTTCATCACCTTTCAGCCAAATATCCTCGAGAGCATCCAGTTGGGTATCATCAGGGTCCATGGGCATGTTTGGCCGTTTCATAGACGTCATCATGTCTAAATCTCCTTCAGCCATTGTCATTTCATCATCATCCATTACATCATGTCCGAGGATAGACACAGCAATCGCACCTTCCGAAATGCTCTTACTAGCCATAGCTCTCTTCAGATGAAGAGGATGGCGTTTCTTCTTTTTAGTACCCTCTTCTTCGGCTGCGATGAATGATTCTGGTAATTCTGTATTGTTTTTATTACACAGAATGTCTTGGCCAGACGGATGGGGTGCGGGAACCATTTTCTCTGGCTGTTCAGGGTGACAGCCTATATCCTGGCCCTTTAGCCAAAGGTCATAGCGATCTGGCTGGAACCTTTTAACAAAAGTATCCATAGATATCTTCACCATATCATTGCTGCAGGTACACTGTGTAGCCCGTTTACCATATTCAACCCACCGAGGTGCAGCAAAGTTAGTTGACTCCGCACAATTGAAGCCATGGTTGAAACCGGCATGGTAACCATATGGGAAGGTTATCATTATCTCCCCCGCCTCTTGTGTTATTTTGTTAATCGGGACCGAATATTGTTTGAGAATTTGTGGTGAAATCAATGTCATCTTGTGCCGTAAAAACGCTTGGCAGGTCTTCGCAGATGTTGGGAAAAAACCGGCTGCTATTCTTTCAAACCTCTTTCCATGTTCAGGTGGTATTGCATACCAAGTTTTAGGATCACCGAAATGTAAATAATTTATAGAGTACAAATCCATATCTTCGGTGTGCCATGCAAATGTGGTCTTCCACATTCCAAAATACAGATATGCTGTGTTCACACCATCAATTTCTATGCCATAGTCAGAGTTGACGAAGTCTAGAATAGTACCTAAACTATTTATGTTCCATTCTTTAACATTAGGATCTGTGATGCTGCCATTCACATCAGCCCCATAAATAGGAGCCACATACGTCACATTCTTCCAATATTTCCTTTCCAAGTCATCAAAACTGCTGTGCCGTGGCGTACAATACTTGGCAGAGTTTGCGAGCACTGCAAACTGTTTTACTGTCATAGATTTCTTTTGAATGTTAATTTGTTGAAACAAACCTTGCTTGCCGGTGACGACCTGGCATATAGGCGATGGAATAGTCACGTTCAACTGGTCCAGGTCATACCCAGACTTCCGTGGCACCCATTCCGGCGGCGGAATCACTTTAGCGAGGCCTGCCTTATGTGCACCTTTAGATTCCATATACTGTATGTATTTGTTGAAATCCTTGAATTCCTCCCATGTGGGACGGAACACCTGTATGGCTACGGCACCTGAGGAGCCAGCCGTATCATCTCCGACCGTAGACATTGTCTTTTTACGAAATCACGATGCACAAAATCAACAATAAAATTTTACGATACTATTTCTCCGTATTACACCATTTTGTCTCACACTGCAATCCTTTATTTTGCACTAATTTATTAAAACACAACAAGTTAGCGTCTCGTGTTCATTGATTAAGTTAAAAACCACGCGATTACACTTTCGTAACAATCAGAAACATTACCACTAAAATGGCCGACATGAATGAGTTTGAGATGCGCTGAGCTTGCAACAAAATACCCGAAAACAAATCGAATTGTAGTTGAAGCCGCATATCCGAAAAGAGGTCACGTAGACACGACAAATGATAGAATTTTCGATGTTTGTTTTTTAATTTCGCCTATGAAGCTTCTACTAACAGCAACACTGGCCACGGCATGCTTAAATTCGTTAGGTTGGTACCGGAATTTGACAGTTGTCAACATATACATGGAGGTTATTAAAATATATTTCTATCTTTTTAGCAATATAATTGTATAAATTTTAAAGGACATACCTCGAAAGACTCTTCGAATTCTTCAACTAAATTTCCACTGCCGTTTGTAGGCGCCGCCATAATTAAATTTAATAAGCGGCAACACGCTTTTGTTATTCAGGGACGTCAGTGATAACAACACAAGACGAACTCACAATTCAGAATCGGAATTCTGTATGTCTACTCTATTATGTACATTTATGTATATATACATACGTCAGTTTCACTTACTCGTTTCTCAGTTGCTATCTGTCTCATTTCCACAATCGATACATCAGGGTTGTCACAAGAGTTAAAACCTAAATAGGCACGTTTATATACGTTTTTGTTTATAATTATAACTTATTTAATAAAACTAATTTTGTTTATGTTAGTTTGCTGGATTAAAACTTTTAATCGAGATTTTAATGATGTAACACCGTTATGTTATTAAAAATTATCAACTGTATCTATTTAAAATTGGATTTGTGATTTTCTATTTTCTATAAAGAATTTGAGGGTTGGTTAGAAAGTGAGCTAAGTTGTACGGTCCGAAATTGCAACTTTTGGTTCTTGCATGACTGTAGAATTTGATTTTAATATTTTCTTTTTATTGAAAATCATTATTTACTAAGTTAAGATTGTTACTTTATATACTATACATTTATTAAATGTTGTCATATTATGATATAAAGAAGCAAGAAAAATATAATATATTAAATTTTTTAGGACATTTTTTGAAATCTAATTATTATAAATAAATAGATTTATTAGTATTTTGAATATAGGTATTACGCATTGACCTACAGTAAATAATTTTTTTTAGTTTACATTGGTTTATAATTATTATTAATTACAATATAAATATTGGATCCAATTTTTTTTATTTTCTAACGAATTTATTGAAGAAAATATTACTCGATAAAAAAAAATTGCTCTTGGATAGTTAGATATAATATTTATTTATGTACGTGTGATAATAATAACGTAATACACTAGAACTCAACCTGATTTCGCGTGGGTCGAAACGCTCCGGAAGGCTGTTTAACAATAATATGGCAAAATATTTAGGGACACGACACTGATTCGATTGATATTAAAAAATAGTAATAATCAGATGTATGATGAATGAATGAATTGAATTATTATTTTAATACAAAGTATATAATAAACACCGTCGAAATCAGTCAACCGGCTTTTTTTTCGGACTACCTACTCTTAATGTTATTGGCTGCAGTTGGCTTTTACAGTCAACGATTCGGGGCGAGTGCAGGTTACACTCCAAAACAAAGGAAGGACTTATGGAGCGGCTGAATACCAACTGCCGCCTGGAAGTTTGTCTCTGGTTTCCCTTCAAAACGCATAAAAATTTCACCTTTTATCGTAAGGCTTACAGCGACCGCGTGTTTTATATCGACACACCCGGTCGCAATTCTGATGCATTCCCTGTCCCTTTCTGTCGGAGTTCGTAATTACATGTCTTGCTTTAATCGCTAGAAGTGTCCTCTGATTAAAATCGTAACGGACAAGCAGAAGTTAGCCTTCAGAGTTCAGGGAAGTGAGCAGCGAAGGTGTAAAAACGAGTGGAAACACTTCTCATGCCATTGGCGCTGCCACTCGCGCTGCCCGGTGCTCCCTCGATTGTCGGTTTTTCGTGCGCGAGTCAAAGAACTGGCACGAGTGGCAGCGTGTTTTTACATTCAGCCCTCTCGCTAGTTGTCGCCCGGCAATATTTCTGGCAGCGCGAGTGGCAGGGGAAGCGGCTGAATGTAAACGTAGCATAAGTCCTTCCACTCTAGAATCGCTGCCATAATTTGTCTGCTGTAAAATCTACGGCTAGAAGTAATAGAATACTTCAAAAAAGGCCAATGTTAGCAATGTAAATAATATATAATATTATTACCAGTAGTGTACTTATTGGAGCAATGACCTTGCGAGGCAACGCTAGGTATGAATTCTGCGAATGACTCAGTCATTCAATTCTCTCACTCTGTTTTTTTATGGATGATAATGGAATTGTGCACCCGCGTTTACGTTAGCGAGGCACCAGTGGAGGATGATAAGATGACCATGAGATCAGGTCAGTTAGCCCATCTTGGTAAATATCATTTTGCCACGATGAACCAGTTCCAGGGGGAACAAGAAAGACAGCAAGGAATTACTAATAATTCCCTTAATTTTATAGATATATCTTACTAGTTGACCAGGCAAACGTTGTTTTGCCATATTATTAAATTAAAATCGCTTAAAAAATAGGGGTTGGTGATAGAAGTGTGAAAATTTAAGATTGTATGTACCTATTTTTAATGCCACGTCATAAAAATAGTTACTTTACCGAGGTTTACTCGAGAAATTGCTAGTCTCTCGAGTAAACCTCGGCATGTGGCATATTATATAGAGTTTTTCAAGAATAGTATATTAAGGTTTCTTAAGGATCGGCAATGCCCACTTGTCAGCTCTGGTATTTCAGGCTACGGTAACTACGGTACGGTGGGCCATATGCTAGTTTCCCACTATTGTAGTACAAAAAAAACATTTTGCCTAAAATGCAAATTCAATATTACAATAGAAAAAGTAATTATTTTCTATAAAAAGAATATATCATGTCGGTGGCAAACAAGCATTAGGCCCATCTGGTGGTAAACGGTTACCGGAGCCTATGGACGCCTGGAACACCACATGGTGTATCACATGCGCGTTGCCGAATAGTGAATAATAGTGAATCTTAAATACGTCAAGTTGAAAACATGTCAAGTGGTTCCTGGTGAATTTGTCACGATGTGCTAACTGATCTGACCTCATATTCATCCTATCATCCTCTGCTGGTGCCCCGCCAGCGTAAACTGTTGCGCCGGCGGGTGCAGCATTCCGTTCTCATCCACTAAAAAAATGTCAAATGGTAAACTAAATAAAATAGTTTGAGAACCTCTGTCTAAAACAATCAATGAATCGACTCGCTCAAGTAGCGAGCATGTTAAAGCGCTTACACACAGCTTAAAAATCGGTGGCAATATCGGAAATGCGAAAGGAAGTAGGCACTTCGTAATCATAATTATTCTCCTTCATCATTTCTTACACAGAAAACGATTTATGGCATTCCCAAATCTGCACCAATATTGCCACAAATTTCGGGTTCATGTGTAGTAGCTTTTACATTGCGAAGAGAAAATCAAAAGGTAAATAATTTTTACTCTAATAGACGTGTTTGAAATGTTCGGCATACCTGCTATTTTGTAGTTGGTAGAGTAAAATATAACTTAACCTAATAGTAACTAAACGTATACTGCTGTCACATTTTTACTCAAGAAGACTCAAATAGATGAGAAGAGATCGGATATACAAATGTTCTCTACTCAAATCTTTGTTTTAGTTCTCTCCTAAGGTGAAAGCGCCTAATGTCAGCCAACGCTAAGTCGGCCAGTTTGTATTAAAATTTGAAAACTTATCTAATATTAATATTTTATTATGGACATCTTTATATAGGAAATTGTGGGCACTTTTCTTGATAACATACATAATGAAGATTTTGACTGAAAACCAAAATAAAAAAGGTTTTAGTTAGATATAATTTTGCTTATTTATATTTGTATTATAAAATTTCAATAACGAAAATAACGTTGAGTACATTCACCTTACATTCTTACATTCAATAGCACGTAGTACCAACCTACAAATAAAGTGGGTACATTATAATTTACTGAATATATATTTGTCAAAAGACGAAAATATAAATATACCTTCTTGTAAAAATAATCATATAACATTTTTTGTAAGTTTTTGTATTTAAGAGATATATTTTTTAAACATACCTAATTAGCATTACATTACTCTGAATAAATAATCAAAGTAATGTAAAGGTAATTATTTTCGAATTACATAACATCTAGTTTTTTTTATATTTGGACAGACACTAAGTGCTTTGACATCTATGCTATTTCTTGCTGCAATAATTATTTTTTCTATAATTATCAGTTCTATCCAAATTCATATGATCTAATAAAACTTAATCCCTAACCAAACTTCGAGTTCCAGTTTGCCATACTTGTCTTTGGCGAATGTACTTTATTCCAAGCCATAATATATAAAAAAGTACTGCTGACATTGACATTACAAAAATATTTCTATCATGGCGTCTTTTCGAGCGGCATAACCTTTCGTGAAGTTTCGTGTTAATCATATTTGTTTTTATTATACATGCTTCATAAAATATTATTGTATAAACTGTAATTGTGTTATTGTGGATTTAGAATAAGTGATCGCCATGGCGGACGCGGCGGCCAGACAGCTGCAATATGAATATAAAGCTGTAAGTATTGTTTTCCTATCATCCAATTTTATTTTGTTCAAATAATCTGTTTCATTGCAAATATTATTGATACTGAGTATTCTACACAAGCCTCTTTATTTACTTAACATGTACACATTGTGTTGTGTATACTAATTTGTACGTATTGCTTCATTATTTACTATTGTTACTCAATGACATGAAAATGTTAATTTTTAATTATTAACTATTACCACAGAGATTTATTCTAGTTTATTTGGAGACCTATTGTAATAGTGGTGAAGCTCTTTATGTATTATTAAATTGAATTAGAATTATAAACAATAAAGAAGTATAAAGAATTTTAAATTAAAATTATTCATACATAGAATAGCATTTCAACCAAATTTCAGACTGCAAAAAGTTTTGCGCTTTACCACTATATGATGAACGTGGTGATTCAACTGAATCACAGACTTTCCAAAACGTCTGCTTGTGTATTACATGAACAAAGTAGTGTTTTCCTTGTATATAGGTGACGGTTACCACTCACATGTAAATGAGCCGTCAGTGTGTTTACTATTCATTCATCAATCATCTCAGTCTGTAAAACATCTACCACTGAATACAGGCCTCCCCAAACATCTCCATGATGACCGGTCCTGCGTTGCTTCATCCAACACCTTCCAGTGATCTTAACTAGATTGTCGGTCCAGATTTCCATTCAGCTTCATTGTTAGAAGCCTTCCCATACTGCATCTTCCGGGCACAGTCGCCACTCAAGGACTTTATTGCCCTAACAGCCATCTGTCCTATAAGCTATGTGCCCTGCCCCTTCAGTTTCGCTATTCAATTACATAAAAAATATGTCTTTCACAGAACTCCAATCTTGTGTTACAAGCTGATGTGAGATTAATAGAGCGTCGGGGCCGTGATGAAGCTACCGGTGAGGTGCTGTCTCTCTCAGGGAAACTTAGTGGTACTCGCATGGGAGACAGAGCACAAAGAACAAAGCCAGATAAAGCTGAAGAAAGGAAAGCAAAGTAAGAATTTTGGTAATCTTTAGATGCTGTAAATTCATAATTAGGTGTAAGCTGTGGTTAGAGAATATTAGTAATCTTTAGATATTAAAAAAATCATGATGAGGCGAAATTCTCTCTGGTCTGGTTTAGCATACCATCTTACTTCAAATGGTTATGGTTTCAATTCCTCCTACAGTACATTTATATTCATGAGTCTTATGTATGTAAACTATGGGTAGTTTTATTATTGTTTGTAAATTGATTTATGTGAGGGTACTTATGTAATTATGATTAATATTTATTAATGAGTATAATAGTTTGTTTCTTGCTTGCTCTGCATGCGATGAGTTTATGTTCTGAATGAATGGTGGAATAAATAAAATATGACTATTCAAAAGTGCAACTATAAGAATTGCATATATGAATTGCAATGTGAGCTCGAACAAAGATTATTTCTATTTATACTACTCAGCATGTTAATTTGTTTAACAGAATTTTACATTTGGATATTTTTGATAATATGAAATACATACATGCATTCACACACAGCACCATCTAGACCAAAGTTAAGGGGGTCTTCCTATGTGATGGGTTGAAAAAATCGATTTTTTTTTTTTTCATAAATTGCTCCCTTAACATGTCTAGAATACGGTAGTAAAGCGATTTTAGAAAATTCGAAGTCGTTTTAAAGATACAGCAGGTAAAAGAAAGAGCGGTTCGGAGCGGTGAGTTGGCAGTTAGAGACCGGGCCTATTGTGTACCGTCGGCTTTATACCTGGCCTCCCTTTTATTAATATATTTGTTTATACAAGTTTAGACACGTTTCTACAGACTTAAACAGAAATTTCTATTGTTATAATATTCTACGGATTAGCAATTCGACGCCATCCAGATTCGCTTGAAGATATGAGAAAGGAAGTTTGGGCAACGTACTATCACAAATGTTCTTCTGATGAAAACCCTCAGCATCAATTTTGTCCAGAAGGCGAAGACAGTTGGTGTAAATGGCGTAAGGCTGAAGCTAATAATGAACTGGACCAATTTCATCACGATAAACCACCTCTAATTCCGCAAGTCCAAGAAGCTATCAAACCGGTTTTCGAAGATTTATCGAAAGACGAATTATTAATTCGTTGTTTAGGAGCAGAGACACAAAACAATAACGAATCTTTGAATTCTTTGATTTGGACTTTCGCTCCTAAACATCTTCATTCTGGTCCCAAAGTTGTTGAAATTGCTAGCTACTTAGCAGTTATTATCTTTAATGAAGGTTTTCAAGGTATTTTAAAAGTTATGTCGATTATGGGATGCCCTGTTGGTCGTGAAGCCCAAGCGTATGTTGAGAAACGGGATGAAAAGCGAATCTTACGCTCTGAGCGGCGCGTAAGTGATGTCGTTAAACAAGCCAGGATTGACTCAAGAGCTGAACAATCTGCTTTAAAAGAGTTTCACGAGGAAGAGGAAGGAATACTCTATGGACCAGGCATCGCCGATTGAGAGTAAGTTGATATTTTAATAGTTTTTAACGGACTTGAAACTTTAAACGCGTTTTTCTCAAAACTGTGTTTTTCAAACTTTCCTCCATTGTATCTCAGAAACGGCTGGACCGAATTACTTGAAATTTACAGGGCACACTCAATATATGTAAACGCATGGAATGAACTATTATCAATCGAAAATTTTCAAAACTTCGATTTTTTTATAGCAAAAAAAAAAAAAAAAAAACGCCTAATTTGCAACTTTTATTTCAAATGTCTATCAAAAATCCAATTTTTTTTATATTCATTTGATTATATATAGGTCATTCCGTGCTTTTAAGCCTACAAATTAAAACGCCGTTTTTTTTTTTTTTTTTCAGATAAGCCGATCAGCCGGAATCGTGGAGGAAGTGGGAGCTCTTTTTTTCGAGGCGGGGGTGTTCAGAGCGCTGTAACTCTAGATTGACTGAATATTTTTAGCTGAAATTTTATATTTATACTGTCCAAATATGTGTTAATAAATGATAAAAAACTTGAAGCTCTAAATATTTACTGGTCGTAGAAAAAAAATCCTAAAATATCCCTAAAAAACAGGCCGTCACATAGGAAGACCCCCTTAAGCCAGCTAAAGCTTGTGTTATGGGTACTACATGACTGATGCAAATATGACTTACATTTTATTTTCGTAAATACTTACATACATATTATACATAGAAAACAAGCAGACTGACACAAACAATCATACTCATGAATACAAATGTTTGTGCCGTGCGAGGAATCTAACCCGCGACCATTGGAAGTAAGACCGCTAGACCACAGAGGCAGGCCAAATGCTAATATTATAAAATAATTAATACATTATATGTGCTCTAAATTCCTACAAATATTGAAACGATCTGCAACCATTAGTTATAACTTTATTTTAAAAGAAAATCTACATATATATTTTTTCATACATTCAGGCGACAGAAACGCGACGAAGCCTCCTACGAGTTGTCCAAATCGAAGACAGCGCGTGTAGCGTGGGCTGATGACACCCCGGGGGTGCTGTATCGCCCTCGGGCGCAGCACACGCGCCACGCTTACGAATTGTTGCTGTCGTTCATGCAGAGCGCTTTAGGGGACCAGCCAAGGGATATATTGTGTGGTGCATGTGATGAGGTGAGTGATCCATTTAAATTCAAATTAAAAAAGAATTTAATCATGTAGGACATTTTAGCCGCTTATGAACGTATATTATAATTTTTCCCTACCGTCCAGTTCAGTATATAGATCCAATTGAGAAGAACCGGTAATAAACTCAATTGAATTACCTTTTTTTTAAATCCAGTTTATTTACAATGTATATTTATACATGTGTCTATATCTAACATTAAATGAAAATTCCGTGCATGAACAACTATTGCCCTCTACGCTTGTCATTCAAGTAATCATTTAGTGAATAATAGGCCTTGCTCAATAAATATGATTTAACAGAAGTTTTGAATTTATTTAAGGGTAATTCCAATATATCCTTTGGTATGTTATTGTAATTTACCTTACTATTACCTACCTTTCCCTGCATTCTTCAATGGTGCTTACTTTAGCGGCATTTTGTAATAATTATCATTGCGAAATAACAGACAAGTGACTATAGAACTAAGACATAATTATAGAGGTATTGGTTATTTATAAATATTAAACGTGTTTGGAGAAAAAAAAATTTAAAAGAAAATGAAATGACTTGAAACATACGCGTTTTCACGCGCATAAAATGAACACAAAATATAGTCAAAGACATTCACGATTGTGCTGCCTTTCCAAAGCTATTCATGACTCTTATACTATAATTACACTGCCTAATCTGCACTCTACAATCGAAAGTCAGAGAACTTAGGTTGAACTAAGAGAGAATCCACAGAGAAACCCACGCTTACGGCTTCTGAACAAATATACCTCAGTATACATTTATTTTATTATTATATATATTTTATATCCGTCCTAGCTTCACCCAAATGCTTTACAAATATTTTAATTTCGCATTTTGATTTATGCTATAACATCCATGTAATATACATATAAACCTTCTTCTTCGTCTTGAATCATTCTATATATTGCTGAAAACTACTTTAAAATTCATTATTTAAATGATGAACCGGGTTTTATTTTTAAACTTTCGTGTTTAATAAACATTATTTATATTATTTACCGGGACTTAACACGAATAATTTTATGGCAAATAAAGGTATTTACCGTGAATATTAATAGTAATTTACCGTGGTCCAGTCAGCTCGAGACCACGGCTAGTGCAACCTAGTCGAAACGTCAAGAGAGGTAAATACCTTTATTTGCCATAAAATTATTCGTGTTAAGACCCGGTTAATAATATAAATAATGTATATTAAACACGAAAGTTTAAAAATAACTACATTAAAATCCGTTGCGTAATTTAAAACATTTATAACAGACAGTGGCGGCAACTTTGTTTTATACTATGTAAAGATTAATTAATTTGAATATCTAATTTTCAGGTTTTGGTGGTGCTGAAAAATGATAAGCTGAAAGATCTTGAAAAGAAAAAAGAAATAGAACTATTATTAGGACCTATAGCTGACGAGAGATTTGCATTGCTAGTCAATTTAGGTAAGAATTTTGTTTCCTATTGCTATTAACTTCAAATTCAAAATATCTTTATTCATGTAGGTCACATGAATAAAGATATTTTGAATTTGAATTCTTCTATTACAGACTCTTACGATATGTCAGATCTACCGTCAGTTCCAAGTGCTTTCGAGATGAAAGGACTGACAAGAAAATCAGCTCGTATTTTTTATAATAAATGTACATAGTTACAATAATACAGATTCATTTAAATTTGGGAGAATAGAGTGACCACCAACATATTCTTAAAAGTTGTACAATGGCAGACTTATCCCAAATGAGGGATTTCTTCCAGTCACCCTTTGAATGACTGAAAGGAATTGTGGAGTGGTGGAAATATATATATATATATACATGACAATAACAACAAAGGAAAAAGAAACAAACGCATTATATCTAACTATAATATATAAATATACCTACATATAAATAAAATAATAATAATAATAATTAAATGAAAAATGTATAAATAGTAACAGCAGAAATATATAAAAGACAATACTACTATATAAAAAAAATATGACGAATACTAAAACAGCGCATTCGCAAAGGATGAGTGTTGACATACGTTGCAAAGAGCGGTGTCCCCTTAAACCTACACTAAGGTCACAAGTCCCGGGAACTGCTCGGAGTATCGCTCTCTACCACACCCATTTAGTGCTAGAGAAGTACAGAAAGATATATAAACTAAAAAAATTATAAAATGTAAAATATCTCTTTACAGGTAAGAAGATAACAGATTTCAATATAAATACAGCATCTGAAGGCAACACTGAGATCGACGAGACGTACGGAATTAATGTACAGTTTGAGGAGTCCTCGGAGGAAGACGATGAAGATGCATATGGAGAGGTAATCTAAAACTATAATAAAAAATCTACTTAATATATATTTAACCAACTTAGGTGATATTTTGCGGAAGCAATTAGCATATGTGAGATCACAAATATTCAGAGAGGAAACTAAGTATTATGGATTAAAACACGTTTCGATTTTAGAAAAATGTTTTTTAATATGAATGTTTGTATTGAGGCTTACATAGTGTTCACGCCGTATAGACGGCAGAGCGGGTGGAGGGGGCGGCACACATCAGTGCGAACATAGCACCGAGCACCGCGCTCGGTGAATTAGGTAAAGGTAATACGATCAGTGAATTCAATTGCCACAACGGCTCCTAAGACGATACATATACATTCTCGAAGATACGCCCTTGTACGCGTCAACAATAATAATATATATCATTTTCACAATAAACGTTTGAAACAATAAACTCTTTGGAATTACAAGAAACAATTTGGTGACCCCTGATCTGATTGTCTGATGTGAGTCGATCAGGGGTCACATACAATGATTATATTTAAGTACCCTACATATTTGACATCTTTGAAAAAAGTTATATTGAGGGTGACCATAAAAGACATACACAATTATTGTTATACAACACCAAGCTATATCCGAACTCTATTCAATGTCTAATAATGCCTCGTTGAGAGGCGAAACACGTATCGCAATATGGATGGTAGTCTCAATAACAGTCAGAATTTGATCACCAATAGAGAAGGTCGTAACGGTAGTCAAGTTTCTGCACCGAATGTTTGTGATCTCACACATGGCAATGGTAGCGAAATTAAACAAAATAAAATAATATAAATAGTAATGAAATGAGTAATGAAATGGACTTCCTCAAAATAATATCCAATTCGAAGAAATATAACTCCAATGTTGACATAGGTCCGTGAAGAAGATAAAGAAGATGGAGAGGGAACTGATAATGAGAAGGAGAAAGACAGTACAGCAGACGAGGACAGTGACGGGGAGGGGAAGAGGAACGCCATACACACAAATGTGAGTTTACACATGTACTCTTTTTTATGTATGAGTAAGATGGTAAGTCATAATTTTTAAGTGAGATATCTGTTTTTCCTTTACCTTCACGGAGAGTCAGGCAGAAATATAATAATAATCTCAGGACAATTCACACAGCCTTATCTAGACCCAAATTAAGCTAGCCATAGCTCGTGTTATAGGTACTAGATAACTGCTACAATTACATAGTTTTTTTTTTCGTAAATACATACTGTATATTATACATAGAAAACACCCAGACCGACACAAACAATTATACTCATGAATACAAATGTTTGTACCGTGCGAGGAATCGAACCCGCGACTATTAGAAGTAAGGTCAAGTTTTAAACCACTAGACCACCAAGGCCGTCAAACATAAATTGACATGCAAAGTTTGTGTCGACCAGATTTGAACTCACGAACTCTTGATCTTAATTTATTTATTTATTTATTTATTTACATGCTCTCGGTGAGTATTACAGTATAATACCAATACACTCATCAAGGATTAAACTTACGCAATACATACATTAATAGTAATAATAATTATAGTAACAATAGCTGTTTTACAACTACAGAAATTACAATAACAATAATAATTTAGACAAGAATAATACCTATTCTAATATTGTGACTCCACAAAACTTGTTACCGCTCTGTGAAACTCTGGGGCAGTACAGTTAAATATGTCAAGTTGACAAATTACAGATACCTCATTAAGCAGACGAAGTGCTCTTGGGATTGGTGCATGATCAGCACCTGAGGTTCTGCACCGGGGCAGAGCAAATATTATATGTTTACGATCGCGTTTATTAATTTCTGGGACCTGAAAGCTGATCAGACCCAAGATATTTGGATCATATCTAATTCCCTTGATTATTTTATATATGAACTCCAGAAGTGATATGTTTCGTCTTACCTCAAGGGCATTATATCTCAACATACCTAACAAGAAGGTGCTCGGATATATATGAGGATAACCTACGCGATAACCATATTGTTTATGATATAACCATCTCATAAACTTTTTTTGTAATTGTTCAATCATCATTGAATATTTTGCCTCGTGTGGATTCCATATGATAGCATTACTTTCTAAAATACTCCTAACGTAAGCATTATACAAAATTTTGATAGCGTCAATACTATTCAGGTTTTGGGCCTGCCTCAGCACAAATCCTAGAGATCTGTATGCTCTGCGACACATCCCTACGATATGTTTACTAAAGGATAAATCCTCACTCATTAACACCCCTAAATCGCTAACAGAGTTAACTCTTGGTAAGCACGTGGAGCCTAGACAATAATTGAAATTAATAGGCTTTTTTAGTCTACTAAATGTTAATACTGAACATTTGTTAGTATTAAACATTAAGTTATTCTTCTCACTCCATTGTTTGACGCAATCAATATCTCGTTGGAGACGAATGCAGTCAGAGTAACTATCAATTTTTAAAAATAATTTGAGATCATCAGCAAATAATAGGCATCTTGCTGAAGTAACGGTCTCAGGCAAATCATTTATCATGATAAGAAACTCTAACGGTCCAAGGTTGGAGCCTTGGCTGACCCCAGAATGTGTGTAATAAGAATGAGAAATATGGCCACCATACTGAACATATTGTTTTCGATTTTATAAATAGGACGCAAAAAATTTAAGTAAGTGATGGGGTAAAACCGACAGATGCTAACTTTCTCAGAAGTATATCGTTATTTACCATATCAAATGCTTTTTTGTAATCTAAATAAATTGCATCAACTTGTGAGCCAAAATCAACAGCTGCAGTTGTATAGGTCCAGAATGACATCAAATTACTGGTAGTGGAACGTCCCTCCCTGAATCCGTGTTGAACGTCGGTGATTACACTCTTTGTTTGTTGAGCGATATAACGGTGTAAAATAGATTCAAACAACTTGCCAAACACTGACAAGATAGCTACTGGCCTATGGTCATTAACATTAGAAGCCGGTTGTTTTTTAGGAATGGGAACTACACGTGATATTTTCCATTCATCAGGATAGTAATTATTTTTTAAACATAAATTAAATATATGCAGCATTGGCATGCATTTGGCAACTCCTTTAGAGTTGCCAAAACCGAACCGCAATCCTTCAATATATAAGGAGGAATACCATCCGGCCCAGCAGATCTTTTTGGTTTAAGCGTTTTGAGGGCTATGTTAATGTCCTGCGACAATATGCACTGTATGTGAATCCGATTATTACTATTTTCACTTGCTGCCGCCATCGCTTCATCTACATTCAATTTTGGTGGACTCTGAGCATATATTGAAAAAAAATAGTTTGCAAATAATTGAGCACATTCATGTATCGGTACCGATCGTTCATTATGTAGAATACTGCTCACATTATCCCTATATCTACGTTTCGCCTTTATATATCGCCAAAACGCCGATGGGTCTTGTTTTATGTCGTTTTCAATTTTATACCTATAATTATCAAAATCCCTTTTTATATTAAGCTTAACTATTGCCCTAAAGTGTGAAAATAAGGCACGATAATTTTGTAATATTGTAATTAGTGTGATAAAACGACTTAGTTTTAATGTTGCGCTTAGTTTCAGTCGTATACCACACAGGATAAGAATATCGAGATGGTACAGTCTGGCGCTTTTTTCTTGGGACACAATCATCGACACAAGCATTAATAATATTGTAAAAAATATTCAATGCAAGTTGTGGATCACCTGTTTGTAACAAAGACCACCAGTCTATATTACATAATTTTGAATATAAAGTTATAAAATCAGCTTTGTTAAAATCCCAGTCATTTACAGTACTCAACTTATCACAACATTGATTTTCACCATAATATTTAGTTTTTATGAAGAAACTAAGTGGCGGGTGATATTTGTCCATTGGCACTAAGCTGTCAATTTCATGAATCACTGTCACCTGCCCCAATGATTTGCTAACTAAAACGAGGTCTAATGTACTTCCGTAGCTATTTTGTATACAATTTACTTGATCGAGATCACAGAGCGATAACAAATATTCATATCTATGATGCACCGCAAGGGATGCCGAATTAAAATTAAAAATCTCCACATATTAAAATATTGGAGTACTTAAAACCAATACATTCAATCACCTCAAAGACTGCAAAATACTGAGCTTCAGACGCAGTCGGTGGTATGTATACGCACACAACCACAAATAATAAATTGTTATTACGATATAGGCCGCCACACACTAACTCACAATCGCAACCGGTTTTATTGTCTAGTTCGATGTCTATTCCGCGAAGATCATATAAAGCTGGGGTCACAATAGCTACTCCGCCTCCGCGACTCTTTCCACTTCTGTCACATCGAAGTAAATTATATCCAGGTGCCACGACCTCCTTGTCCAAGATTCCGGGAAGTAACCACGTTTCAGTTATGAAAAACAGTTGAAATGTAGATGCTGCCATAGCCGACGAAAATTCATGAAGCTTGGTCCGCAACCCCCGAACGTTTTGGTAGTAGATTTTTAATAATCTATTACGCTCGCTATTCTTAGTTGTACTAGCCTTTATCTCCTCTTTTTTGGTTTCGTCTTTGAAACCACTCATTAAAGTTTGTGTTCGGCGGCCAATTAGTAGCAGTCATGAAGAAGTTGAACAGACTTTCGGGAACTGTTACTACAAATGATGCATAATGAGTTAGTGCAAGTTTTTCGACTGTATATGGAGCCTGTTCCGGATTTTGCTGGAGCCTGAACCTGTTCAGCAGAAATATCATTTTTCAATGACCATATATGAATTTTCCTACGTTTTTCCACTGCACGTAAGTCATCATCCACCTCTCCAGTACCATGGTTCGCCGGCCTCCTATATTTTCTAGATCGTACCGTTGTCCATTCCGCTTCCGCTTGTGGACCATCGTTTGTGGACCATCGTTTGTCAGTGGAGCCGCATCTTTTGGTCTAATAGTAGATGCGCTGATACCCGCCGAGTGGGGCGCTTGCATTGGCGGGGATGTATGCGTTGAAGTAGGGGCATGCATGACGTCAGAGTAATTGACACGAGTATTGTCGGATGGTTTGGAGCGGGGGGTATTGGTTGCTCGTTGTCTGCGAGTTTGTACCTGTACAGGTGGTTGCGGTGGATGCTGCGGGGCGGGGGCGGTTGTCACTGCGTTGTTAGGTGATGGTATACGTTGCTGTGACGCATCAGCTGATACAAATCGAAATGAATGCTTACCCTCTTCCTGAGAAAGTTGGCGTTCTTGTAATCCATCTATTTTAGCCTCTAAACTCCTTAAAATTTCGCCCAAGGAGTTTAATTTTAACTCCAAAGGGAGAATAAATCCTTGGAGCACTTTCGTCACTTGTTCTATGGTTTTTTTATCCATTGTACTATTTATTAACTTAAAACAAAGCTTAAGCGCAGATCTACACGTCTTTCGGCTATGCTAGCTGCCTACCCTTTAATAAAAAACATTTACGTCATAATTGTCAAGAAATGTTGTATATGAATGAATTTAGGGTCATCAACGCGCACGTGACGCCCCTGGTGTTTCAGGCGTCCATAGGCTTCGGTAACCATTTACCACGAGATGGGCCGTATGCGTTTTTTAAATCCAGTTTATTGGGAGGAAAGGGGATTGTTAGCAATGGGGATTGATGATCTTATTGCTAGCAATAAGATCAGTCAGGTTAACCTCCATGCTCCATCCAATGGATCCCCCTGGAAACCATTGTGATAAATTCTTAGTGAATTTGTCACGATGGGTTATCTGATTTGACCTCACCTATCATCCTCCATTGGTACCCCGCCAGCGTTGTTTCCACCGTGTTTAAAGAAATTGACTTGACCTTGACCTTTCAGCTATCAGAGGAACAGACCCAGAAAAGAAGGGATACAATACTCCATCCTATGGACATCGACGCGTACTGGCTCCAGCGTCGTCTCTCACGCCACTTCCCCGACGCTATGGTCTCCCAGGCCAAGTCCAGTGAGGTCCTGAAGGCGCTGGCTGATGCTGCAGACGACAGGGACCTGGAGAACAGGCTGGTCCTCTTGCTGGGATACGACTGTTTCGATTTTGTTAAAGTTTTAAACAAATACAGACATACGAGTGAGTACAGATGGTAATTTTGTTATCTGTAGAGTTGATAGTAGTTTAATTTATTCAATTTATTTACAGCCTTTAATATATTAAGAAAAATGTGTTTTATTGTACCAATTTTAACATGTTGAATACCACATAGAAAAATCTTATTTCTCACATAAGGACCGGAATTTTTTTAATTACTTTTAAAATATGTTTTTAGTGTACAATAATCTGAGGTAGACATTATTTGACACCTAGAATTATTTCAATTGATGTGCCCATGGGTCATCTCCCGGTCCCAATGTGTAAATTTACTTTCGTTGCGGAATAACCCACCGGTGGGCATGCGGTCTATAACGTGTTAAGAATGCTCTAATAATATAATGTATCCTTAACACTATTATAACGCATCTGAATCATCATCAGGGGGTTGGGCTATTGCTTGAATCTGTAGCTGTGAAGGATGGAGACCAAGATGACGAGCAAAAGTTAAACGGCACCATTGTTGTTGTAGAATATTTGTATTAAATTGACTTATGTCATATAAAAACAATATAATATTATAAAAAATATAGACAATAAAAAAGGTATATAAAATAGTTTCCAACAGTAGCACTGCGACCTACATAGATCTATTGTGCTCGCCCTTTTTCAAAGTTCATAACGCACTACGTTAGCGAACTTTGAATAAGGGCGAGCAGAATAGATCTATACAGGTCGCAGTGTTACAGGTCTTAGCACCTGACAGTAGTCCAAACATAATAAAAAAAATATATCAATCCTGATTGTAGGCGACGCACTACGTTATCAAAATATTGTATATCTTTTTTTTATATAGTCAATTTTATTATTATATGTACATATATATACATAAACTGCCCACCTTCATGAAAGAGGACTACTGGCCGAAAGGTGTGGTGTATCGGCGCTACCGTGGCAGATTGCCGTCTTCAGTGCAGTGATCACACAGACAATATCGTTGTATTGGTTTTTAAATATTATATTATATGTATGTTAGTCTATAAGGTATTTATAATATGGGCCTAGTTGCCTGAAATAAATGAATAAATAAATATACATAAATATACACGATACGTCATTCTTTGTCATTTTTTTATATGAGAATACATATGAGGGTGCGCATAATGTAATTAATATAATTCTACCCGTTCTCTACACAATATTGTAGTCGGATTCAGACGATCGCGGTCACGCTCGGTGTCACATATAAAATAAGTGCGTGCTCTCAGTTTGGGAAAATAAGTCGGTGTTTTAGTTCCATCCTTTACACTGATATTAGACTACCCAAAAGAAAATAATACACTGTAATACGGACTGTAATCTCCACATATAGCCACTCATCTGGATCGTAATATATAATAATAACAATGTAATTTTGTCCACAGTTTTGTACTGCACTAAGCTAGCGTCGTCGCAGTCTGAGAGCGAACGGACGGCCATCAGAGAGGAAATGTCTCGACAACCACACCTGCAGAAGATATTAGCGCAGTTGGACACTGGCAAAGGGGATGAAGAGGTCAGTGTTCTCAATCGTGGTACAGATACAGCAGCCTTGATTTTCCTTCAATCAAATATGCAAAAGAAGAAGTTTATTCCAAGCGAACGGAGTCGCGGGCCACAGCTAGTCTATACATCTATACATATAAATAAAATTGTAGTGTCTGGTTGTAATATTGAAATAACCATTTTTAACTACATGAATATAAATACGGTACATACACCAAAATAACATTTTTACAATTTATGTCTGTCTGTCTGTCTGTTTGTTTCGGCTAATCTCTGAAATGGCTGGACCTATATTGACGGGACTTTTTATTGGCAGGTAGCTTATGTAATAAGGAGTAACTTAGGGTACCTTTATTTTAGAAAAATAAAGTTAAATTCCACGCGAACGAATTCGCGTGATAACCGCTAGTTATAAATAAAAAAGCTAATTGTTAATGTATTAACAGATGGACAAGCAATCAGAAGCTCCTCGTAAACGTCACAAGTCAGAAGTGGAGACTGGCGAGGGTGCAGGTCAAGTGACCGGCTCCAGGAAGGTGCTGCAGCTCGAGGACCTGGTGTTCGCAGCTGGAGCACACTTCATGGCCAACAAGAGATGCCAACTGCCACCGGGCTCGTTCAGGAAACAGCGGAAAGGTGAGTTGTGGTGCACATTGTGGTTGTTCGACAGATGCGGTGGTGTAGCGGTTTAACACTCCATCGTACTTTGGATGGTCGGGGGGTAGATTCCTTGGATGGTAAAAACATTTGTATTCATGAGTACGATTGTTTATAATGGTCTGATATTTAAATTAAACACACTCTTGCCCATGTGTCCCAAAATTGCCAGGAGAGCCCTAATAGGGCTCCCAAAATAAGTCGCCGTTTAGGGCTCCGCAGGGAAGGTAATAATTATAATTTCAGGACAATTCACAGCGCCATCTAGATCTAAGCTAAGCTAGGTAAAGCTTCAGTTATGGGTACTAGATAACTGACACGTTTGTATTCACTTTAAAAGAGCATTTTTCATTATTTAAATGAGCCACACACAAGTTTCTTTCTCGTTCTTCTTGTGATGAGACAGCTTTCCGAATGAGCGGTAGATTAAAAATAATGTTATGACTATTCAAAAGTGCTTAAATTAAGTTTATCTGAATGAATGATTATCTATTCTATTCTATTTTGATTGATTGATATTTTTCTATTCTATTGTACAGGTTACGAAGAGGTGCATGTGCCAGCACTAAAACCGAAGCCGTATGAAGAGAACGAGACAAATGTGGCCATTGAGAAGCTACCCAAGTATGTGCAGCCGGCTTTCGACGGTTTCAAGACCCTCAACCGGATACAGGTGACACTTACATACTATACAATAAATAAAATTAGAGTGCCTGTTTGTAATATTAAAATAACCGTATTTTTCTACATGCATATGAATATAAATACGGTACATACACCAAAATAACATTTCTTATAATTTTTGTTTGTCTGCCTGTTTGTTCCGACTAATCTCTGAAATGACAGGACTTTTTAGGCAGGTAGGTGATGCAATAAGGAGTAACTTACGCTACGTTTACTCAGAAAAAATCTTTTATTTTAAAGTTAAATTCCCGCGGACGAAATCGCGGGAATAGCTAGTTTATAATAATCATTAAATGTATAAGTTCTTTTTTCATATGGGCCCGTTCAAGTATTAAGTAAGCACTATGGGGGTTCCGGAGGATCTTTACTTTGCTTATTTTGGAAGACAAGGGGGTTAGGGGGATCTATATTACGTCATCGGTAATTTATAACTTTTTTAACACGAATGGCAACCCTCATATTGTCTTTGCTAAAAAACAATACATTAATTGAAAAATGTTTACGTAAGAATGGAGGAAGGGGTAAGAGTTTTGCTTACTTTGGCTGACATAGCGGATGGGGGGAGGTAAATAATTGTAATAAATTATTTACTAGCGGTTTAAACCACCGCCTTACCTTCAATGGTCGCGGGTTCAATTCTTCGCACGGTACAAACATTTGTATTCATGAGTATGATTGTTTGTCTGTCTGGGTGTTTTCTGTGTATAATATGTATGTATTTACGAAACGAATTTTTATCTGTTATCCAGTACCCATAACACAAGCTCTAAATGGCGCTGTGTGAATGGTCCTGAGATTATTATTATTATTATTATATCCACAGAGTCGAATATCGAAGGCAGCGCTGGAGACGGATGAGAATCTACTAGTGTGCGCGCCCACCGGTGCTGGTAAGACCAACGTGGCACTGCTGTGTATACTGCGGGAGGTCGGGAAACACGTCAACGATGATGGCACAGTCAACGTCAGCGACTTCAAGATGATCTATGTGGCTCCCATGCGCTCGCTCGTGCAGGAGATGGTGAGCTGGTTTCATTATTCAATATGTTAAGATCCCGTTAAGCGTTAAGCGACGTCAAGATGATCTACATCGCACCCATACGCTCGCTCGTGCAGGAGATGGTGAGTTAGATTAATTAAATTATATAAGACCTGCAACATCCTAGGAGTGAAGGTTAGGGCTTCGAGGCGATCTCTTTGCCCCGACATCAACTCCGAGGGCGACAACTCATTCTCTCAGTAGCCCACTCATGCATAAATGAAATATCTCCTTTGGAAAGTATACACTCCATCCTGAAGAAATATAAACCATCGCTCCTAAGAAAATACTTTAATTCTTGTCCCTAACGGGTCTATATAGCGTACTTTGAAAAAGGCCGAGCACAATAAATCCTTTTTTTTTTGGACTACTCTAATGCTGTAGACCGCAGTTGGCCTTTACAGCTTCACCGGACGTTAGGGGGCGAGTGTAGATTGGACTCTAAACCCGCGGAAGGACTTATGTGGCGGTTGAAAGCCAACTCCTGCCTGACGGATACGACTTTAGTCTGAGGGCACCACTAGGGGTTCGAACCTCGGCTCAGGCCGTTGTAATATAGATCCCCGTTTGAATTGGACGGGGGATCGATCGGAGGGGAAGACAATAAATCCATGCGGGTCATAGTGCTACAGGTCTTAGCACCTGACAATAGCCGAAATATATGAATAAAAAAAAATAGAAGTCACTTAGGGCGGGTGACCTAAAACTAATTTATACTGACGGTAGATTTGACATATCATAATAGTCTGTTATAGACCTACATGAATAAAGATATTTTGAATTTTGAATTATTAAGCTAGGGATTATTAAAAAACAAAGACATTTACAGTCTAGTGCCATAATTGGGGACTGGTAATTTAATTTGTTTTAATGGTCATACACACTAGACCAAGGGTCTCCAACCCGCGGCCCGCTGGTGTGTTTTCTGCGGCCCGCCAACAGCATAGGAACACTCAATAACGACAACAATTAAGTAATAAAAAGTGCATTTAATATAAAATAAAAAAGTCCTTATAAAAATATCTATGGTACTGCCCACTGTGCAGAATAAAAATGTTTTTGGCCCTTGATTTATAAAATGTTGAAAACCGCTGCACTAGACTATAGTTAACAATCTTCCATATCTTTAACCCTTTCCACTCCAAGCCTTTGTTTCTTATTCCACCAGCTCCACGCTAAAAAGTATTACATTATGTAGAGTGTCACTCGACGGTGTAGCTGGTGGAACAAAATCAATGTCGAGTGACATTCGACTTTGGAGTGGAAAGCGTTAAATAATCTCTTGCAGATTTATTAATGTGCTCATGACCGTCTCTCATTGGTCAGGTCGGTAACTTCAGTAAACGGTTGTCAGCGTACAACATGAAGGTCTCCGAGCTGACTGGAGACCACCAGCTGACCAGGGAGCAGATTGAAGCCACACAGCTGATTGTGTGCACACCGGAGAAGTGGGATATCATCACCAGGAAAGGTTGGTATCCGTAATAGAATCTATACATATAAATAAAATTGGAGTGTCTGTTTGTAATATTGAAATAAGTTTTTTACTACATGCATATGAGTATAAATACGGTACATACACCAAAATCACATTTTTTACAACTTTTGTCTGTCTGGCTGTCTGTTTGTTCCGACTAATCTCTGAAATGGTTGACAAGACTTTTATTCGCAGTTAGCTGATGTAATAAGGAGTAACTTAGGCTACTTTTATTTTAGAAAAATAAAGTTAAATTCCATGCGGACGAAGTCGCGGGTGCAGTTATTATAAATAAACTAGCATAAAATAATATTACCTATTAATTGAGATGTAAGCTATCCTATGTTTCAAGTTGGATCAAATTACACACAATGTACAAATCAAGTTTGCAATCGGTTCAGTAGTTTAGAAGTTCATCGCGGACAAACAACTTTATCCGAGGTTCGAATCTCTAGCGGTGCCCTCAGACTAAAGTCGTATCCGTCAGGCGGTAGTTGGCCTTCAGCCGCTCCATAAGTCCTTCCTTTAGTTTGGAATGCCATCTGCACTCGCCCCCTATCGTCCGGTTATTTAAATAATATTCTATTCACTTCTAACATCCCCCTGACTCGGTTTATTGTTTTTTTTTCTATGTACGTACATTTGAAATACAGTTTTATTATATGTATATATATTTTGATTTGTAGGTGGCGAACGCTCGTTCACAAACCTGGTGCGGCTGATCATCATCGACGAGATCCACTTGCTGCATGATGAACGCGGGCCCGTGCTGGAGGCGCTGGTGGCCAGGACTCTGCGTACTGTGGAGCAGACACAGGAGGAGGTAAGAACACGTCTCTGTGTGGACCAGATAACTTTGCCTTTTTTTCGAATTATTCCACGTTTGGCAGCCACAGCTGGCGTTTACAGCTTTTTTATATTCATCTGTCGGTGCTATTTTATGGCGATATTTAAAAAAAAAATCACCTGGATAATTTACACAGCGCCATCTAGACCCACCGTCAGCAGAGCTTCTGTTGTGGGTATATATTTGTTTTTAATAAACAGCCAGACCAATACAAACAATCATACTCAGAATACAAATGTTTGCACGGTGCGAGAAATCGAACCCGCGGCCATCGGAAGTAAAATGGTGTGCTAAACCGCTAGACCACCAAGGCCGTCAAAATACAAAAAAGTAATAACATCCCCTGGATATTAGAATAGTAACGGCGCTAAAGCCTGATATGATATATGACTCAATATTACCGACAGATATCACCTATCAGACGGGCCGTCTGCTTGACTGCCACCTGCGTGGTATAAAAAAAAGATCGGTTAACAGCACATTTGCCATTCCAAATACTAGAAATCTAGCAGAAATGTGGAAATATTTCAATGGTTTATCCATTGAAAAATTTCACAGAAATTCATCAGAAATGTGAAATTTGTCAATGGATAAAAACTTGATACCTCAATGTATCTTAATAATATTATAAACGCGAAAGTTTGTAAGTATGGATGTTTGTTACTCTTTACGCTACTGAATAGATTTTGATAAAACTTTACAGCTATAGCTTATGCATCAGATTAACACATAGGCTATATTTTTATTGATTTAACGCTGGTAAAATCGCGGGCACAGATAGTATATAATAATATCATGTCTATTTATCTTAGGTCCGCCTCGTGGGTTTGTCTGCGACTCTGCCAAATTACAGCGACGTGGCTGCCTTCCTAAGAGTGAAGCCCGAGCAGGGGCTTTTCTACTTCGACAATTCGTTCAGGTGACTGCACGGTTCTTATAGTATTTGTGACTTGTTTTTGGTCGTTTTAAACTTTGTTGTCTATGGTTATAACGTACTCTGTGCATTCTACAGAATGTGAGTCTGTATTATGAAATGGCTTTTTATTTAAATCAAGACAGTAATTAAAACAGGTTTTAGTGAAAATTCATTCAGATAACTTGGATGACTCTTATAATATTTGTGGCTATTGTCTTTGGTCGAGTTTATGTATAATATGTGTAGTCTATGGTTCTAGTGTACTCTGTACATTTAACTTTGTTCTGCGTTTCTACATTTTCTGTGAATTCGTTTTTTATTTAAATTAACTCAATAGAACCGGAATAAACCAGTTAATATTAGAAAAATAATCTCTATAATTACCCAATTCAACAGAGATGCTATTGTTCTAAAAGGTTATTAATGTTGCCAGATAAATAAATTATAGAACTTATGTTTTCTCTCTCTCAGGCCCGTAGCACTGGAACAGCAGTACATAGGTGTGACAGAGAAGAAAGCACTGAAAAGGTTTCAAGTAATGAACGATATAGTGTATGAGAAGACTATGGAGCATGCCGGTAGAAATCAGGTAAGCAGAGTATCTATTAAAATTAATTCAATTTCTATGTTTATTATCGCTTTTTTTTTCGGACTACTCTAATGCTTGGTTGGCCGTAGCTGGCCTTTACAGCTTCACCGGACGTTAGGGGGCGAGTGCAGATGGCACTCCAAACCCGCGGAAGGACTTATGGAGCGGCTGAAGGCCAACTCCTGCCTGACGGATACGACTTTAGTCTGAGGGCACCACTAGGGGTTCGATCCTCGGCTCAGGCCGTCGTAATTTCGATCCCCGTTTGAATTGGACGGGGGATCGATCGGAGGGGTTGATTATCGCATGCCTCTTGTTATTGTGTAATTATTTATTTAAAATTTCATACATACATTCATTAAAAGAGCAGCAGCTTACACTATTTCCTGAGGAGATAAAAACCGTCGCTCCTAAGAATATCCTTTCATTCGTGTCTCTGACGGGTAGATAGCGAAAAAGGGTGAGCACAATAGATCTATGTAGGTCAAACAACCCAAGAAAAAAAAATATCAAAAGAGCAACACGCAAGTTTCTTGTTGTTCATTCTTCTTGTGATGAGTCTGTGTCCGAATCATAAAAGAATGAAAAAATATGACTATTCAGAGAGATTATTTGTATTTTTGAGTTTTCATTATGCTACATTTACATCGTCACAAAATCAACAAGAAAATCAACCGTTGTTTTTATACATTTTAGATTCTCGTGTTCGTGCATTCGCGGAAGGAGACCGGTAAAACAGCTCGAGCCATACGAGACATGTGTTTGGAGAAGGACACGCTGGGGCAGTTTCTTAGGTGAGTTGCATGTTGAGTTTCAAATATATGACATAACATCAGGAGAGAGTTTGAAAATGTGACCATCTGTGACAAAGAGTTTCTAAAATGTGACTAACTGTGACAGGGATGGGAGAGTCTCGACAATGTGACCAACCGTGACATGGACGGAGGAGTCTCGTAAATGTGACCAACCATTACAGGGATGGGTGAGTCTCGAAAATGAGACCTACAGTAACAGGGACGGGATTTTTAAAATGTGACCAACTGTGACAGGGTTGGGAGTCTAAAATGTGACCAACTGTGACATGGACGGGGGACTCTCCAAAATGTGACCAACCGTGACATGGACGTGGGAGTCTTGAAAGTGTGACCAAATATGACATGGACGGGGAGTCTCTAAAATGTGACCAACTGTGACAGGGACGGAGAGTCTCGAAAATGAGACCGACAGTAACAGGGACGGGATTTTTAAAATGTGACCAACTGTGACAGAGTTGGGAGTCTAAAATGTGACCAACTGTGACATGGACGGGGACTCTCGAAAATGTGACCAACGGTGAAAAAGAACTAAAATGTGACCAACTGTGACAAGAATGACGGATTCTCGTAAATTGACAAACCGTAACAGAGATAGGAATGGTACAGGAGGAGTTAAGAGTAATGAAAATTGTGTGATTATAATTTATAGATAGCTCCATATCAACGGGAGCAATTATACCATGATGTTCTAAAGAAATGGTAATAATAATAAGCGGTTTAGCATATCGCCTTACCGCCAATGGTCGCAAGCTCGATTCCTCGCAAGGTGCAAACATTTGTATTCATGAGTATGATTTTTTGTATCGGTCTGGGTGTTTGCTATAATTATTATGTATGTGTTTACAAAATTGTATTTATATCAGTTGTCTAGTACCCATAACACAAGCCCTGGATAGCATGGTACTAGATGAAGGTGTGTGAATTGTCCTAAGATAAAAAAAATGTTATCACAGGGAGGGTTCAGCCAGTATGGAGGTTCTCCGCACTGAAGCGGAGCAGGTGAAGAACCCTGAACTCCGTGAGTTGCTGCCGTACGGGTTCGCGATACATCACGCCGGCATGAGCAGGGTGGACAGAACACTCGTCGAGGATCTGTTCGCTGATAGGCACATACAGGTAAGGTTTTGTATATGAACTAGCTGTCCTGGCAAACATATTGCCATATAAAAGACATAGACACCTATATAAGTACATAATAAATAAACTGACTATCAAAAATGAAATTCAGTTGAGTGTCTGTATACTGAACTAAACGATAATAAATGTTAATAAAAAAACTTGATGTTCATAAGTGGCTAAAATCTACATCAATAAATGATTTTTTTATTTTGAAGGGTAAAATTTTAGGGTTGTTTGGTAAAATCATACAACATTATTATGGTAATCATACAACGTTATGTCAAAAATTAAAGACATAATTTTTGGGTTGGGACACCTTTATCACTTAGGGAAAAAAGTAGATAAAATTCAATAAAAATCGGTTCAGTAGTTTTCGATTCCATCGCGGACAAACAACGTGACACGGGATTTTTATAAATTAAAATAACTAGAGGTAGACTGTAAAAACTAGTTTGCGTGTATACCTCAGTCTCACCCATTTCAGCTGCCAAGCAGCTTGCTTTGTAAGACGTGTTTCCGTCGTAGGGTGCAGGTTAGGCAGTGAAATTACAGTACAGTATTAAATTAGAGCGTTCGATAAAAATAACTATAATTGTTGCAGGTGTTGGTATCGACGGCGACGCTGGCGTGGGGCGTGAACCTGCCGGCGCACACGGTGATCGTGAAGGGCACGCAGGTGTACTCGCCCGAGAAGGGAAGGTGGAGCGAGCTCGGCGCGCTCGACGTGCTGCAGATGCTGGGGAGGGCCGGCCGGCCCCAGTACGATACCAAGGGAGAAGGTTACCACAATATTACATTCTTTTTTATTACTTTGAAAATTAGGGACTATTGTACAAATATACTAAGGGCCGACGTAAAGTGGCTTGTCTAGCGGTCTTCTATTGGCTCCATTTTGGTAAATGTGCTCAAGAACTGCACAACCTCATTCCTCCAGCACCGTTCCATCAACATACAACAAGATAGATAGATAGAATATACTTTATTTGCAACATACAGTAAAGAAGAAGCACAAACAATATAACAAAGGACACATGTACCGTTACAATAAGGCGGTCTTATTGCTAAAAGCAATCTTATTATTTTAAAAACATATTTCATCTTAGGACAGAAATAATCATTATTTAAATAAACTTAATATAAGCACTTTTGAAGAGCAATTTTTTTTTATTGTACATTTCATTCGGAACGCAGACTCATTATAGGAAGAATGAGCAAGAAACTTGTGAATATTAATTGAAATTTTGTGTGTATATTTGAGATAATCTCGAAACTATTGAACTGAAAACTATTTACTTTTTGTCTACCAACATAGTGATTTCTGAGGAACCAAGTAGTTTAGTAGTATGATTTATTAAGATATTGAAGAGTAGATTCTATTCTATTCTATTCTATTCTATATATAAAATACATGTACACCCGTGAGAAGCCGGGGCGAGTAACTAGTAATTTTATAAAATGATCTCTCTTTCCTGCAGGTATCCTGATTACGAACCACTCAGAGCTGCAGTACTACCTCTCGCTTCTGAACCAACAGCTGCCGATCGAGTCTCAGCTGGTGGGGCGGCTCCCTGACATGCTGAATGCGGAGGTGGTGCTCGGGTCCGTGCAGAGTCTGCGGGATGCTGTCACATGGCTCGGTCAGTACTATACCCCTGCCTTGAAATATAACCACCAAATTAAGTAAAATATAATGGAGATATTCAGTGGATACATATCCAGCAGTAAATATAATTTATTCTCGTTCCGATCAGTTGCACGTTACATATAAACTGTTACTTAGCAACATGATTACTTATTTTAAATGTGATTGATTACACTTTTTCATCTAAGATCAATGTGCCTAATGAAATAACCCCTGACGTAACAAGAACTATAAAATCTTTAAGAAGTAAATGCCCATCATCCGTCCAAAATCTCTATCGCTTCTAATAAAAGACGTTGACTTCATAAATTGTATCTCAGAACCATCTCGATCACCTCAGCTTTCAAAATAAAAAAACCGCATCATAATCGGTTGTTTAGAAGGTGGGAGAGAATTCCACGGACACACAGTCAAATTTTTTAATATACAAATTTAGTCGTCTAAAGTTAATAATAATAATCAGTTGTTTCATGTGCTGGTACACATTATAATTTTTTATAAAGAAAATGAATATGTGTTCATATGTAAATGTGTATTTATTTAGGTTCGTTAAAGCAATGCAGTGTTCCCTTATAGTACCAATCATATGTTAGTGTAAGAAGGGGCTCCAGCAGTTTTTAAAAGCCAATTTACACAAAACGGCATATTTGCTTATACAAGAGATTCTACTATAAAAAGGAATGTTGATAACTTTTAACAACCTGTATAAATAGTTTAATAACACCCCATATATGTTATACGACAGGCTACACGTACCTGTACATCCGTATGCTGCGTCAGCCCGCTCTGTACGGCATCACACCGGAGAAACTGCAGGAGGACCCACTCCTGGAGCTGCACCGAGCTGATCTTATACACACGGCTGCCAACTTGCTGGACAAGTGAGTAGTAATTTATTTTATAACCTGTGGTATAACTATAGGCTGGTTAAATCTGTATAATACTACGGGCCCCCCGAGGTCCCATGTTATGAGGCTGTGGGTGAGGAAGAATCTATTTCTGAAATGAACTATGTTATCTCAGTTTTAAAGTCCAAATTCGCCTGTTTAATTCAGAGCGGGTCTGATCAATTACGAGCGCAAGTCCGGCCACTTCCAACAAACTGAATTCGGCCGCTAACTGAAATAAATTATATAATCTCTGTCATAAAGTATAAATCGCCTTGTCCCATGCAGAGTCGGCCTGATCATTTACCAATTTAACTGAACTATATGCCCTTAGTTTTAAAGATCAAATTCGCCTGTTCTAGCTGATTGAGCTCGGCCGCTAACTGAAATGATTTCTATAATTCCGTCATAAAATGTAAATTCCAATTATTTACCAATTTAATTGAAATGAACTATATTGCTTTAATTATAAAGTCCAAATTCGCCTGTTTAATTATAAGCGGGCCTGATCAAGTACGAGCGCATGTCCGGCCACTTCCAAACAACTGAACTCGGCCGCTAACTGAAATGAGTGAGAATGAATGATTTTCTGTCATAAAGTGTAAATTTCCTTATTATATCATCTAGAATTTAACTGAAATAGATTATATTGCCTTCGTTTTAAAGTCCAAATTTGCCTGTTTAATTCAGAGCGGGTCTGATCAAGTACGAGCGCAAGTCTGGCCACTTCCAACCGACTGAACTCGGCCGTATCGCGTCCCACTTCTACTGTACATACGAGACGATGCAGTCGTACAACCAGCTGCTGCGGCCGACCCTCGGCGAGATCGAGCTGTTCAGGGTGTTCTCCCTGTCGGCCGAGTTCAGAAACATCACGGTCAGGGAGGAGGAGAAGCTGGAGCTCCACAAGCTAATGGAGAGGGTGAGTTGAGAAATTGTGAGAAATGAGCTAATGGCCCACCACAGGGCTAGAAGCTAAAGCTGGTAAAGAATACATGAAATCATTAAAAAAACATTGCATACACTACCATGTATATCACTCAAAGCAATCTCTTATAGAGATACTCTTTTATTTATTGTAAGTCTGGTCAAATTGAGAATAGACTAAAATTATTTGTCTATAGTTTTACTGAATGTCAGACATAATCATAATAAATTCATTTATTATTTATTACAATATATTGGTTATTAATGAAATACTGCTCGCTCAATATACAAATATAAAAAGAATATTGTGTACAGGGACCTAGATATATGTAACACTTGTACTTAATTATGGGCTAGTAAGACAAACTCAATATTGTCTAAGCACTGCCGTGTCTAAACTGTGTCACCCCTTACATTTTATAGTATATAGTATATAAGATCAATATTTTTAAGTACATTTTATCAGTACATTATCATCTGTAATATACATCGTCTCAACGGACAACATCGCATTATTACCTCGCAACATAGCAGTAATCTGAATTAGAATAGAATAGAAAAACCTTTATTCAAATAAACTTAATTTAAGCACTTTTGAATAGTCATTCGGTTCTTTTAAATAATCCATGTAAGTTCACATTTTTCAAGTCGAAACGTGTGAATATAAACTACCAACTAGCACTAATTTGTTAAGGTCAAATATAAATACACAATAAGATTAAATCAGTTGTAGTGATTAGGACAGACCAGTCCCTACAAACAGCACACGTTCACGAGTATGACAGATGAGCCAGCCATCACTGCGCTCGACCATATTTTAGAGAGCCCAATGATCTTAATACTGTTCAAATTATGGTCGAATTTCGATCACTGGGCGACTAGTATAAATATATATACGTTTTAGGTACCAATACCAATCAAGGAGAGCATTGAAGAGCCGTCAGCCAAAATAAACGTACTCCTACAAGCGTACATATCACAGTTGAAGCTGGAAGGGTTCGCTCTGATGGCGGATATGGTGTACGTAACGCAGTCTGCATGTCGACTTCTACGGGCGATATTCGAGATCGTCTTACACAGAGGTGAGTGTAATTATGTAGTATTTATACGTACCGCTCGGTTAATGTCAAGGATGGTACTACGGGCCCACTGGTATCCCCGGGGACTAGAATGGCATTCAAGTTGGATGGCAATGGCGTGTAGGACGTGTCACGTTGTTTGTCCGCGATGGACTCCCTGAACTACTGAACCGATTGCAAATTTAATTTGCTCATTGTGTGCAATTTGATCTAACTTGAAAGATAGAATAGCTTACATCTCAATTTGTGGTCGCAATATTATTTTAGCCACAGCAACGCGTGGTCGGGTCTTCTAGTAATTATATGTATATTTGAAATATATGTATGTTTTATTTATAAGCAGCAACAAGGGAATATACAAAAACTTTGTTACTATTATTATTACGAAACTATACGTACCACCAGTTCCAGGTTCCAAAGTGCAACATAAATTAAAAAAATGTAGGTATTCATATTATTCGGTTAAGGTCATGAATGGGACTACGGACTCCCTGGGGTTCCAGAGGTCTGGAATGCCATTCAAGCTGGATGGCAATAGCGTGTATAGCAACTATTTGTTTTATAAGGATGATACTACGGGCCCCCTGGGTCCCAGGTAGTTGGAATTGCATCCAAGCTGTATTGTAATGGTGCACCCGGCATCGGTTTAGGCCCCGGTTTGCCCCATTCCATTTTAATCCATCTTCACGTAGTATAAAACAAAGTTACCACCGCTGTTGTCCACTTATAAAATATTTTTAAATTACTCAACGGATTTTAATTATTCCGAACTGACGGTAGATTCGACACATTGTCGATTAAATAGAAAAATGTCATTTTTAAAATTAGAAGTTTGATTGTCTTTATATAAGTCAATTAAATTAACCACACCGTCTTAATCATTATCTAAATACTTTTAAAATGATATATGATACTTCTGTGTAAATTTAAAACTTTAAAGGGAAAAATAATTTAAATAAATTTATAAACTTTAAATGCTTATCAAATTCAAATTCAAATTCAAATTCAAAATATCTTTATTCATGTAGGTCTATTACAGACTCTTATGATATGTCAAATCTACCGTCAATTCGGAATGATTTCGAGATGAGAAGAACTGACAAGAAACTCAGCTCGTATTTTTTTTTTTTAATGTTGTACATATTTATAATAATACTATTTCATTTAAATTCAAATTTGGGAGAATAGAGTGACCACCAGCATATGCTATATAAAAAAAAATCAAAAAAATCAAAAAATCTAATCAGTGTTCGCAACCTGAACAGACCAGTCCCCACAAGCAGCACCCGTACACGAGTATGACGGATGAGCCAGCCATCATTGCACTCAACCATATTAGAGGGAGCACATCGACCCGGCCCTCCACGCCGCCACAAGTTTGAACTTTATAGCGAGCATGACTGTTTCAAGTTACTCCACTACGTCATTTATATTATTTACAGCATAAACTGTACCAATCACAGTTTTCACCCATTACAATATTTAAATTACAATATGTCATTACTAAATTTAGGATAAGTTTCTTTAGTGTTTATTACATATCTATCTATGTCAATGAGAAAGTTATATACCTCATAACAAATGTTAAAATAATTAAGTTCAAAGTTAAAATAAGTAAGTAATTAAGTCCACGCATTGTAGTCATTCAAGTAGTCGTTTATTTTATAATAAGCTTTAGCGCAAAGTGTATTTTTTACATGTATCTTAAATTTCCCTTCATTTAAATTCAAAACATTATCGGGCAATTTATTATAAAAACGTATACAATGTCCCATGAAAGATGTACTTACTTTTTTGAGACGAAAACTAGGCATATTTAATTTATTTTTATTCCTTGTATTAAAACCGTGTAAGTGACTATTCTTTGTAAATAAATTTAAGTTTTTACGTACGTACATTATATTTTCATATATATATTGAGAGGGAACAGTAAGGATACCTGTTTCTTTAAAGCGTTCTCTAAGGGATTCGCGACACGGTAAATTATATATTGAACGAACTGCTCTTTTTTATATATATAAAAATATATATTCTATATAGCCGCCCTGCCCCACAATATAATACCATACGACATTATACTATGGAAGTAACTAAAATACACTAGCTTCGCTGTTGCAGTATCAGTTAACTGTCTAATTTTTCTGATAGCAAAAGCAGCCGAGCTAAGTCTTTTGGCCAGTGTGAATATATGTGGTCCCCACTGCAATTTATTATCTATTACAATACCAAGAAAAGAAGTCTCATCAACAAAGTCCAAAACATGATCATTCAAACTAACATTTGTCATTACTTGTTTTACATTTGGTAAAGAGAATTTAACACATTTTGTTTTCATTGAATTAAGCGCTAGATTATTTGATGTAAACCAGTTAAGAATATCTTCAAGAGCATTATTTATATTACTAAAATCCTTATTATTTCTTTTCACTTTGAAAATAAGTGATGTGTCATCAGCAAACAATACAATGTCAAGTATATTTTGAAACTGGTATGGTAAGTCGTTTATGTAAACAAGAAAAAGAAATGGGCCGAAGATTAAACAGAACCCTGGGGCCTCCTTTTATACACCCATTTTTATATATGACCCCTTAGATTTGCTTCCTTTAATGTCTACTACTTGAATTCTATCGCACAGATATGATCCAATGAGTTCTAAGGACTTTTCTCTAATTCCGTAATGTTCTAGTTTAAGCAATAAGGTCCTATGGTCGACGCAATCAAACGCTTTTGAGAGATCACAGAAGACACCAATGGCATCCTGTGAATCTTCCCAGGCACCGAAAATACTTTGTACTAAGTTAATGCTTGCATCAGTGGTAGACCGTCCGCTCGTAAATCCAAATTGCTGTTTATGAAGTAAATTATGTGTATTAAAATGAGCTAACATTTGTGTAAGTAATATCTTTTCAAAAATCTTACTAAATACTGGCAAAATTGAAATAGGTCTAAAATTTGATATATTGTCTTTGTCACCAGATTTAAATAGCGGTATTATTTTACTCACTTTCATTAGATCTGGAAAGATACCTTGATCAATGCTCATATTAAATATTTCAGTTAAATGTGAAGCAATTTCGTTTATTACTGTTTTTATTACTCTAACTGACATACCCCAGATATCCTCAGTGCCCTTTAGATTGAGAGAGTTGAATGTTTTTATTATACAGGAGCAGCTGATATGGTGAAAATGAAAGTCATAAACGCTTGGACTTACAGTATTTTATATAATGTTTCTGCGGTTAGACTAGGTGACGAGTTTAACCTTTCCGTAGCTTTGAGAGGTATTGTGGAAAAGAAATTGTCAAAAGTTTGAGCAACAAGTTCATTTTTATCAATAACGACGCCATTTTCTGCTTTTACCTCATATTCTAACTGTCGCGACTTAGTGTTACCTGTTTCCGTATTTATATATATTCCAGGTAGCTTTTATTTTAGTTTTTTAGAAGACTTTATTTTATTTTTTAAATGAAGTGTTATTGCAGCCATACATACTTTTTTGAATATCTTTGAATAGTTTTTAACATATTCGTCGAATATAGGATCACGCAAATAGGACCTAATATCATATAGTTGATACATATTTTTCCTACTTATATAAATACCTAACGTTGACCATTCAGCATACTTAGAATTATGGAGTTTAAATTTCTTTACTGTAAAATTTTTATCAAAATGATTTTTTATTATATCGAAAAAACGACTATATGATATATTTGGATCAATATTGTCAAATTTTAAATACTGTAAACTTTCATTTAATTTGATTTTAAATTTCTGTAATTTAAATGCTGTTGTTGGTCTGTAGAGATTATATATAATCTCGACTTTTTTTTTTTTCATTACATGCGAATGTTGCTATTTGTCCGCAATGGTCTGACGGCAATGTATTTATTATAGATTTATTTAAAATACTAAAATTACAATATATATTATCAATACATGTTGCTGTAGTGGACGTAATCCTTGTAGGTTCAAAGAAAATATGATCAAGATCAAAACTTTTAAAAAGGTTTCTAATTTTATTAGTTATAGGACTATCAACAAGAAGATCTATATTGAAATCCCCACATACCAAAATAAATTTGTTACTTTTGAATGCTAACTTCAGTACATCTTCCATGGTAGACTCAAATTTTTCATAGTCTGAGTTAGTGAGGCCTATACACACATATAATTATGTGTTTCTCTAGTTCTGCACATGATAATTCTATAATGCATTCATTTGAAAGTGCTACAATATCTTTACGTTCTTTCCCTTTAATGTTATTTTTTAATAAAATAATTGAACAACCTCTAATTGAAATTTGCCGAGTAAATGTACTCAATATTTCATAATTTGGTAACTGAAATATCATATTGGACTGTTTTAAGACAATGTTCTGCAGAGGCTATACAATGTACCAATATTAAATTTACAAGTTATAAATAATTCTATCTCTAATTCTTTGCCAAGAAAGCCTTGAATATTTTGATGTACTAAATTTAGTTGTGATGGCTTGATTCTCTTATATTGTATTTTACTTAAGTTTAAAGATTGTTGCACTGGAAACATTAGTAAAACTACTAAAAACTGTGCAGTCATAGATAAGTACCCGTATTATACTACTTATAACAGGATTATGTATATTATAAGCTAACAAAGTAGCTATATGTCTTTTATCAAAATATGACAAATACAAAGTATTTTTAGTCATATGTAAATTTTTTTACAAATTTATTTGTATCAAAACAATGAATGTTGTCATTATAACAGCTCATGATTATATATATATGAGTGTTAAGTTTAAAGATATAATTATTTCTATTCTTTGATAATGATTTTGAGTATGGAAATGTACATATTACAAATTTTTTAATTTTCATATTTAAGACAGATTCAAATAAGTTCATCAACTCATTTTGAGTGATACCTAAACTATTTTTATAATAACACAATAGTTGTGTATTATTTATATATATATATATATATATTTTTAACATTTTATCAACTATATAACTAAATGGGGCATTCGGCATACAATTGTTTTGGATATGTTCGCTCAAACAGTTATTCATGAGTGATCCTAGATTTATTCCTATACTATCTGAATATATTACAGTGTTATTCTTACATGTGTGGTGACTACTAACAACATTGGGTAGTATATTTGTTTGAATTCCAAAAGTGACAATGGATGTTGATGTACGTGATGTGTAATTGCCCGACATAGTGTTGCAGTCTGCATGTTGCTGTGACAGTTGTTCTGATGTTCCACATTCTATTCATTCATATCTACAAGACAAGACAAAAATGTACATTTTGAATACTGATTTTTCTGTTTAACCGACGATATCACAAGAGTCTGTAATAGACCTACATGAATAAAGATATTTTGAATTTGAATTTGAATGTAGTTTTCAGCAATAGATAGAGTTGTTCAAGAGGAAGGTTTATATGTATAGACGTATTTTTAATTAGACGAAGCTAACGGACAGTAGCTAATGTCACTTTGTAAAATAATGTTGCCATATTGAAAGTAATAGTGATGCGTTCAGTTCTCGGTCAGATGAATGATCAATGAGTGTGAATAGTTAATCATTTCAAACTACAAAAGAATATTATTTCTATTTTACAATAAAATTGTATAAAAGTGCTCTGATATAAGTTACTAGTGGTATGTAACTACAATCAGTTTTTTGACGGCTTATTACATATATATTGTTATATTGTATACATCTATAGTTTCAACTACATGATGTATTGTAAATAGGACAGTCTTAAAAGTTACCTCGCAATTTTTTTCTTTATGTTTTAAATACTCGGTATTCATTATAGGTAGATACTATAGCAACATAGTCGGCGAAAACTCGTTGGTATGTATAAAGCATGGCTAAAATTCGAACCCCGTACCCGATATCCGTAGTTCGGCACACTAACTATTCACTAGACTAGACAATCGAGGCAATTCCATTAATTCAAGAGTTTTTTAAATTATTCACTTTGTCAAAACACTATTTTTATTTCATCAAATACTGACAACACAGTAAACGTCAGTTGACTTCGTCTAATTAAAAATTCGACTATATAATACATGCGTGTTATAATATAGAACAAGACGAGAAATTCAAAGATTTGTATAGCATGCGTGCGAAGCCGGGACGAGTCGCTAGTCTCATATATAAAATTCTCGTGTCACAATGTTAGTTAGCATACTCCTCCGAAACGGCTTGATCGATATTTATGAAATTTTATATCCATATTCAGTAGGTCTGAGAGTCGGCTACTATCTATTTTTCATACCCTTAAGTGATTGGGGTTGTCCACCCCTAACATTTTTTTTATTTTTTGTACAGATTTTTAATATTACTACCAACCCCTATTTTTTTAATAGCGATTTTAATGTATATAGGCAAAATAACGTTTGCCGGGACAGCTAGCTAAAAAAAGTTGTGTTTAGTACCTATAGTATAAATAAGACTTAGTTTGGTACTAGAGACACTGGTAATTGTAGTTTTTTTTTACAGGATGGGCCCAGCTAGTTGATAAGACGTTGGCGCTATGTAAAATGGTGGACAGGCGGATGTGGCAGTCGATGTCACCACTCAGACAGTTCAGGAAGATGCCGGAGGAGGTCAGTAGATAGATTTTTTTCTGTCTGTCTGTCACGCTTTCACGCCATAACTACTGAACTGATTTAAATAAAGTTTACTACACAGATACTTTAGACATTGAGAAAAACTACTCTTTAATGCACACACTAAAATAGGCTACTTTTTAATGCGAAAAGGGTTGAGAGAAGAGATGACAGGTTGTATGGGCGAAAAAAGGGTTGTAAGGGGTTGAAAGGGGAGACGACAGGTTGTATGGGAGTATTACGTAATTTTTAAAGCTAGAAACTTGAAACTTGTTTTTTAGGCTGTTGATTACATAAATATAAATAAACATTGACATTTATTTGTAAAATAAAGTAACGGATGAAAGTTTATATGGAAATTTGTGATTCGTCTTCTACTCCACGCGGACGAAGTGGCGGGCATAGCTAGTATACATCTATATGTATACTAGCTATTTGAAGTGGCAACCTTCGTCTATACGAAGGTTGCCACTTCAAATATAGCACACATCAAATATAGCATTAACTGATTTGAAGAAAATTACCATTTTCACCTACAGGTCGTGAAGAAACTGGAGAAGAAGAACTTCCCATGGGAGAAGCTGTACGAGCTGGGACCCAACGAGATTGGCGAACTGGTCCGCGCCCCCAAACTTGGGAAGATGATACACAGATATGTGCATCAGTTCCCGAAGCTGGAGCTGTCGACGCACATACAACCGATCACGCGCTCCACGCTGCGAGTGGAACTGACCATCACGCCGGATTTCCAGTGGGACGATAAAGTGAGTTATAATTAATTACATTAAATTGTAACATACGCTGTAGTTTCTTATATCTTTTATATATATAAGATATTATATTATATATATCTTATATATAAAATTCTCGTGTCACAGTTTTCGTTCCCATTCTCCTCCGAAACGGCTTGACCGATTCTCCTGAAATTTTGTGAGCGTTTTCATCCCCCTAAATGTTAGGGGTAGGCCACCCCTAAATTTATTTTTTATTTTAAGGCAAAACAACGTTTGTTGGGACAGCTAGTTTCGTATATAAATCCAGATTACAGTGAGTGCTTTAACGTCGATGACTTGCTCATCCTTTTCGGGCAGATTAAACCCAATTTCTTCCATATTCTGTAATATTTATTTCTAAAATTAAAGCTGTAATGCTAATAGGAGCGGAGCTGCAATGAAAAATATCGCAAAAGGTGGGGAAATGAAATGCAGACGGAGTTGCGTGGGTCAGCTAGTTTATTTATATTTCTTGCAGATCCACGGCCAGTCGGAAGCGTTCTGGATCTTAGTGGAGGACGTGGACAGCGAGGTGGTGCTCCACCACGAGTACTTCCTCCTCAAGGAGAAGTACAGCAAGGACGAGCACCAGGTGAAGCTGTTCGTGCCGGTGTTTGAACCGCTTCCACCACAGTACTTCCTTCGGGTGGTATCCGACAGGTAATTTTAATTATTAAATTAATTGCATTCACTCAGCGCCATCTGGTGCCAAATTAAACAGAGCTTGTGTTAAGGTTAATAAATAAATGATATAATAGAACATCTAGACGGTTACAAAGAATCTTACTCACGAATACAAATCGTCGATTAAGTAGAAAAATGACATTTTTCTAAATTAAGAATCTAGAATTGCCTCCTTTTATATAAGTCAATTAAATTAACCACGCCGTCTTAATCATTATCTAAATACTTTTAAAATGATATACAATACTTTTGTGTAAATTTAAAACTTTAAAGGGAAAAATAAATAAAAAAAAACCTTTAAATGATTATCTTGTAAAAAATGTACATTTTGAAAACTGCCATTTTTCTATTTAACCGACGAAATTTTGCACCGTGCAAGTAATCGAACCCGCGACCATCGGAAGTAAAGCGGTGTGCTAAACCACTAGACTACCGAGGTTTTTTTCTTTCTTACAACAAGACTTCTTCGGCGTAATTCAAAGTTCTATAACAGTAACATTTGTTATAGCAATGGGTAATTAATATTTATTACTGATAGTGCCACAATCCTATTTATAAAATGCAGCAACCTGGCAATCGGTAATGTATAATTTGTTTCCGGGATTAAAAAAGAAAACTATACGTGTTTGGGAAACTACTCTGCTACCAAAATGTTAGGGAATTTACTATGTATGTCACGTACCTGTATGGTTCTGCGGATTTCTTGGGCTTCAGGGTCTCGAAGGTATCTTCGCTAGCTTTCCAGTTTCACAGTAGGTTTCACAGTTCTAATTTATTTTAATTCACAACAAATGCGTGCGCGCGTCAATGCCGCTGTACGGTCCGTTTGTTACTAGTTAAGGGAGGGGAAGGAAAGACGTGGGAACAGAAAACTAACGGACTCTAATATAATAATCTGTGCTTACGATGGTATAGGGTAGATTTTGAACAATACGACATTTTAGTCAGAAATTATTATTTTTATTATTATAATTTTTATAACCTTTATTTTATTGACAGATGGATAGCAGCGGAGACCCAACTCCCGGTCTCCTTCCGCCACCTCATCCTGCCGGAGAAGAACCTGCCCCCTACCGAGCTCCTGGATCTGCAGCCCCTCCCCATATCGGCCTTGCGGAACCCGAAGTACGAGGAATTGTACAACGAGACCTTCCCGCAGTTCAATCCCGTGCAAACACAGGTATTTTATATATTCTTTACTATCTGTCGCGGTTTCACTAGCGTGAAATTTATAGCATACTAGCGACCCGGCTTCGCACGAGTGTAATTCTGATACTAACTATACCTACCTACTACAAAATCTAGTTATAAACAACGTTTACAGCTTTTGTCATTAGACAGTACATACATGTTTTGTTTACTCATGAAAGAGCGTGTCCCTTTTTTGCATTTTAAATCTAAATATATATATCTCAAAGGTGACTGACATAGTGATCTATCAACGCACAGCCCAAACCACTGGACGGATCGGGCCGAAATTTGGCATGCAGGTAGATGTTATGACGTAGGCATCCGCTAAGAAAGGATTTTGTTTAATTCTACCCCCAAGAGGATAAAATAGAGGATGAAAGTTTGTATGAAACTTTGTCAATTTTAAACCGATCGGGCCGAGACTTTGCATGCATAAAGCTACTATGACGTAGGCATCCGCTAAGAAAGGATTTTGATAAATTCCACCGCTAAGGGGATAAAATGGGGGATGAAAGTTTGTATAAATCTTCATAGATTTTTTAGGCTCTAATTTTTTACACACGCTAAACAAAAGTAAAGCCGCAAAAACTACACCTAATTAGTAATAATACTTACTACTACGCGAACGAAGCCGTGGGCAAAAGCTAGTCTGTAATAATGGTCTATGTATTTAAATCTGTAATATCTTCGGAAATATTAATTTATATTACATGCTGTAAAGGGCTTTATTGATCTACATATATTAAATGGACGATCTATTGAAGGTACTTAGTGAGATAAAAATTAATGCTGTATTGCTTAAAATCGCTTCGTAAATAAGCCATTTTTTCCCGTAAAATGTAAAGGATAAAAAAAGGTTATTGTTGGTTATCCTTAAGAGATAGACATATACCATCGCGGACTTTTTTTGTTGACCTTTTTGTGGTGTACAATACTGTAGTACATTATTGAGATTCATCTCGTGGGGTGCAGACAGCGTTTGCAACGTAAGCGCAAAAAAATGTGTTTATATACAACATTACATTAGAAATCTCTAAATTAATCAGTGTTTCTCTACAATATTATGCATGTATTATACATACAAACATTCCTCTTGAATCACTCTATCTATTTAAAAAACCGCTTCAAAATTTGTTCTGTAGTTTTAAAGATTTAAGCATATGGAGGGAAGGACAGACAGCGACAGTGACTTTGTTTTATACTATGTAACGATTATTATAAATACCTTACAGATTAACATACATACGAAAGATATTAAATATAAAATAAAAGTATATATAAATTGTCTGCTCACGGCAATGACGACGGCAATATGCCACGGTAGCGCCGATACACCACTCCCTTCAGCCAGTAGTGCTCCTTCATAAAGGTGGGCAGTGTGGGACTCAAGCCACAAACTTGAAACTCGCGTTATGACTTGACTCTAGTTGCGTCACCTCAATGTCAGGTTCCTCCTGGTCCATATGTCTATATTAATAGATATTATATATACACAGGTGTTCAACGCGGTCTACAACTCGGATGACAACGTGTTCGTGGGTGCTCCGTCGGGCTCCGGCAAGTCGGTGGTGGCAGAACTGGCGCTGCTGCGGCTACTGTCCACCACCACCACACCGCGCGCGGTCTACCTGCTACCCAAGGACGCCCTCGCAGACATCGTGTTCGCTGACTGGTACCATAGATTCGGTACCAGGTTCAATTTAAAGGTACCATAGATAAAATAACGGTGATTTTTGATGATTTCGGTGGTCTGTACCATAGACAAGTTTGTGTTCGCAGATCGGTACTATAGATTCCGTACCAGGTTCAACTTAAAGGTACCATAGACAAGTTGATTATGAATTTTGATGAATTTGGTGGTGTACTGGGTTGGCACATGGTCTTACTTTCAATGGTCGCGGGTTCGATTCTCGCATTATACAAATATTTGTTTATATTGGTCATGATGTTTCCTATATATTCTATTTTATCTAAAGACATTCTAGCCCACATTGTGTTCGCACTGGTACCATAGACTCGCTATCAAGTTCAATTTAATGGTACCATAGACCAAATAACGATGACTTGATGATCTCAGTGATCTAATGGGTGAGGACACTGGATAATAATGATGTAATGACACCCCTGAACAATTCACACAATGCCATCTAGTCCCATAATAACCAGAGCTTAAAGATACTAAACATAATAGAGTAAAAATCAGTTGAGTAACTAGCAGTCTATACTTGCTTTGATTACTAGCACTTTTACTTTTAACTAGCAACCCCCTCTCCTCCTATATATGTGTTGGGTGTTATACGAAAGTTTGTTCACAGGTAGTCCAGCTGACGGGGGAGACGGCGACCGATCACAAATTACTGAACAAAGGACAGATTATAATCACCACAGCTGAGAAATGGGATGTGCTCTCGCGCAGGTGAGTGTAGCAAATGCGCAAAAGTCACAACATTCTAGGGAAAATACATTTAGTTGCCATTGACTTCAATTTTTTACTGTCCACGCTATTTGTCTTTGGAACTCCTTGCCACTTTCTATTAGATCTACTCAATCACATTCCATTTTCAAAAATCTAGTCAAATCCCACTTTTTCTCTAATTAAAAAACTTTAATGTTTTGTTTCGTCATACATGTATTTTTTTTATATATTTTATTTATGTATGTGTATCTTATTTATATATATATTTTTTTTACCTAAATGTCGTTTGGCTAAAGTAAGTAATTCGTTTTATGGCAATTGCGTAAGGTTTTACAATAAAATACCAGAGTCTGTTATAAATCTGCCAGAAAAAAGATTTAAATGTCAAATAAAACAGTTCCTTTGCAAAAAAGCTTACTATAAAATTGAAGAATTCGTTAACGTTTTTCTATAATGTTTTTATAGAAAAACTTTAAATCCATAGCATTGACAATATTATCTGATTACACTAATAATGAGTGCGTAGCGATTTCTATGTTGATTATCGCATGCCTCTTACTTATTATACTGTAATTATTGATATAACAAAACATCTATTAAAAAGATCAACACACAAGTTTCTTGCTCATTCATCTTGTGATGAATCTCCATTCCGAATGAGTGGTAGAATCAAAATATGACTATTCAAAAGTGCTTGTAATGAGTTTATTTGAATAACGATTATTTCTATTTCTATATATATACGTTTAGTATTTGTATGTATATGTATTTAGTATTAATAATATTTAACTCTCTTTTTATAGTGCTCCACCTACCTTTCCATCACCCAATACTTCTATCTCCCCGGTTGTCTGTAAGAGATCGCTTTCAGTGATAAGGCCGCCTATCCATTATCTATATTCTGTTCGCATATTTTTCTTCTTTCTTTTTTGTAATTATTTGTTCTTTTTTTATCTACAATAACTAGTTTTTATTATTATTATTAAACACTTAGTTTCACCACTCTTTTCATTATATATTAGGGCCATCGCACACGCATATCGGCCCATAAGGTGCCAATTTGCAACATTCAACATCATGGTAGGGAGATAGAGGTAGTGCTGGATTTATATCTACTCGCCCCGGTTTCGCCCAGGTGTACATGTATTATACATATAAACCTTCCTCTAGAATCACTCTATCTATTAAAAACTGCTTCAAATTCCGTTGCATAGTTTTAAAGATTTAAGCATACATAGATACAGACAGACAGCAACAGCGACTCTGTTTTATACTATGTAATGATGAGTGTAGGTAATTATATTTCCGCTGCCCCATCTTTTAAAAAATAATAATTTTCTATTTGTAGTAAAGAAGGTTAAACTGCTGCTCTCATCAATCATTCACGCGATAATATACATAGGTTTCTATAGAAATGAGTTTCTATAGGGATTTATTTAAAGTATAAAAAACCATGAGAAAACAAGTGAACGTGTTTTACTTTTATCCTCTGAAATCGAGTGATCGTCCTCCCTCTGAAATCTGCCGCCCCTAGGACGCTGCCGCCCCTAGGAAGCTGCCGCCCCTAGGAAGCTGCCGCCCCTAGGACGCTGCCGCCCCCATGCCGCGGCCTATATGGCCTATTTATAAATCTAGGAGTGAAGAGGGTATGCAAAAATGCCTATCTACATTTTTAAACAATGTTTTTGACATAATTTCATGTATAATTACAGATGGAAAGTGCGCAAAAGTGTTCAAAGTGTGTCACTATTCATAGTCGACGCGTTACAACTGCTCGGCGGAGAAGAGGGGCCAGTATTAGAAGTGGTCTGTTCCCGGATGAGGTACATCGCCTCACAGATAGGTCAGTGGAGTAACAATATTCACGGGATCTTACCATGTTATATTTATTGAGTTCCCGATATTTCGGTAGTATTTCAACCGCCATGATCACGAGTAAACTGAAGAGCAGCGGGTAGATGGTAAATGAAATGTTTTATGAGCAGACATATGCGTCTACTTTCACACGTCTTCGTTTGTTGCTACTATTGGAACTCGTAATTCATCTCGGCAAACTATACTCGATTGTGACACGAGAATTTTATATATATAAGATATATTATATATAAAATTCTCGAGTCACAATGTTAGTTATTATACGGCTCGAAACGGCTTGCTTTTTATGAAATTTTATATGCATATTAAGTAGGTTTGAGACTCGGATATTATCTATTTTTCATACTCCTAAGTTATAAGGGTTGTCCACACCGCAATTTTGTATTGAAATTTTTTGAATATTTTTTTACTTTATTATGTGGCATTAAAAATACATACAACCCTACATTTTCTTTTTTTAACCTACTATAGTGGTAAACAAGCATACAGCTCATCTGATGGTTACCGTAACCTATGGACGCCTGAAACACCAGGGGTGTCACGTGCGCGTTGCCGTCCCTTAAGAAATCTTAATATTTTTACTCTTTTTGAAAAACCCCATGCTGTAGTCTATATCTACATTTTCACCCTTCTATACCCAACCCCTATTTTTTAATAGCCATTTAAATTTATATGGCAAAACAACGTTGTATGTATGCAGGTCGTCCGATCCGCATGGTGGCTCTGTCCCTGCCGCTGGCGGACGCGCGTGACGTGGCGCAGTGGCTCGGCTGCAGCGCCAACGCCACCTTCAACTTCCACCCCAGCGTCAGGCCGCTGCCGTTAGAGCTGCACATACAGGTACACCTCACGACGACATATACCATACTACGCCGCATTACGCCACACTGTGCCATATTACGCCACAGTACGCCATACCACATCATACTCCGCTATACTGCGCCACTTTACACCACACTACTCTACTCTATATCACACTACACCACGCTATAATACATTACGCCACACTACGCTACATTACGCCACATTCTCACTACTGCTTAAGTAAAGTTGACGACAGTAGTCTGAGGTAGAAAATAATATCTTGTATCAGATTTAATGCAATTTTTTTAATTAATAACATTTACAGTGCACATATATTGTATTTAACTCTCTAATTCTTAGCTCAGGACCGTACTGTTTATGGTCCTTCGAGCCGGATGTGAACCAATGAACTCAGAAGAATTTAAATACAATATATGTGGAGGATGACTTTATATGATTAAATGTATATAGAACAGAGAATGAAATAAATATAAGTATTCGTAGTCGTTCTCGGTGGCGAGATGTTAAGTGTAAGTTCGATGATATTCATTCTCAAGCTGCGCCTTGTAATATTACTTGGTAACTTCAGTTGTGCGAGCTGACGATGTTTTTGTTATTATTTTCTCTGTTCACAATGAAGAGTTTATTATGGTACTAGCTATGCCCATGGTTTTAAAAGCGCTCCACCTTGATGTTTTTAGTTAGCAGGAGTGTCACAGTCTCACAGTATCCGCTTACCTACCCCGTGGGGAGAGTGGGGGAGGGGGATGAGGGGGCACGAGGGATTTTCTCAAAGTAAAGAAATGAATGTGTGGATACGTTTACCAGGGCTTCAATATTTATATATATATATATTTACCTAAATGTCGTTTGGCTACAGTTAGTAATTCGTTTTATGGTAATTGCGTAAGGTTTTACAATAAAATACCAGAGTCTGTTATAAATCAGCCAGAAAAAAGATTTAAATGTCAAATAAAACAGTTCCTTTGCAGAAAAGCTTACTATAAAATTGAAGAATTTGTTAACGATAATAATGTTTTTATAGAAAAATTTTAAATCCATAGCTCTGACAATATTATCTGATTACAGTAATAATGAGTGCGTAGCGATTTCTATAAGAGTGGGGGAGGGGGATGAGGGGGCACGAGGGATTTTCTCAAAGTAAAGAAATGAAAGTATGGATACGTTTACCAGGGCTTCAACATATCTCACGCGGGGTCGCGGCTGGCGGCCATGACGAAGCCGATCTTTGAAAGTAGAGAAATGAATGTGTGGATACGTTTACCAGGGCTTCAACATATCTCACGCGGGGTCGCGGCTGGCGGCCATGACGAAGCCGATCTTTGAAAGTAGAGAAATGAAAGTGTGGATACGTTTACCAGGGCTTCAACATATCTCACGCGGGGTCGCGGCTGGCGGCCATGACGAAGCCGATCTTTGAAAGTAGAGAAATGAAAGTGTGGATACGTTTACCAGGGCTTCAACATATCTCACGCGGGGTCGCGGCTGGCGGCCATGACGAAGCCGATCTTTGAAAGTAGAGAAATGTATGTGTGGATACGTTTACCAGGGCTTCAACATATCTCACGCGGGGTCGCGGCTGGCGGCCATGACGAAGCCGATCTTTGAAAGTAGAGAAATGTATGTGTGGATACGTTTACCAGGGCTTCAACATATCTCACGCGGGGTCGCGGCTGGCGGCCATGACGAAGCCGATCTTTGAAAGTAGAGAAATGTATGTGTGGATACGTTTACCAGGGCTTCAACATATCTCACGCGGGGTCGCGGCTGGCGGCCATGACGAAGCCGATCTTTGAAAGTAGAGAAATGTATGTGTGGATACGTTTACCAGGGCTTCAACATATCTCACGCGGGGTCGCGGCTGGCGGCCATGACGAAGCCGATCTACGCGGCGCTGGAGCGCGCGGCGGGCGCGCGGCCGGCGGCGGTGTTCGTGCCGTCGCGGCGCCACGCGCGCCTGCTGGCCGCCGACCTCCTCGCGCTCGCCGCCGCCCACGGCCGCCCCACCAGGTTCCTGCACGCGCGCCCAGACCTCGTGCAGCCCTTCCTCAAGCGGATACACGACAAGGTTTGTCAGTCCCGGTCTTTGCTCCACTCGGCGCCGTCTAGACACCTGATAATTTGTAAATACATTACATAATATACCTAGAAAACACCCAGTTAGAGATTTAAGTAATATTAATTCACTCCGTGCAAACTAGATGGCGCCACATGTAAGTGTAAATGGCGCTATTAAGATAGGCTAACAAGATATTTTTAGTTTTATTGACTTATTGTATAATAATTTCAACTGGAACCCTCAGTAGCAGCTTTTTTTACCTCACGGTACCTATTTGTTCACTGGTCTTCTTCGAGCCGAACATGTTAACTAAGTTCAAGGTTATACCAATATACAAACAATCATACTCATAAGCACAAATGTTTCTACTTTGCGAGCAATCGAACCCATGACCATCGGAATTAAAGCAATGTGCTACACCGTGATAAACACAAAACATCTATACAGGTCGCAATGTTACAGGTCTTAGTACTTGACAATAATCCAAACCCCCCAATACACTGAGACCACCGAGACTGAAGGTCGACGAGGCTTGTTAATGATGGGGATATGATAAAAAAAAACGAATGTATACTAGGACATATAATAGAAGTGAAACTCTAACGAATAAGTTCCCTCACAACGCAACTTTAAAACCGCCTCTTCGCCGTCACCAGCCATTCACGAGACGGTAAAGCTTTTTCATGACCGAGAAATCCTAATACTACATACATACTAAGTACCTTGCTTAGTATGTCCTTTCCGACACATCCTGTATAATGTGTGGTCATATGCTGACTTTTCTCACACAACGCAACTCCGCCGCCATCTTCTATGACAAAGTAAAGCTTTTTCGTGATCAAAAATCTTAATCCGTCTATATAGAAATGTTTGTGACTGTTCCTTGTGGTTTAGCATAACTCTTTCTGACTCAATTTGTATAACATGCGGTCAGATGCTGACTCTTTTTCTCAATACACAACTCTCAATCAGTCTCTCCGTCACCACAAACCCTTCATGAGACGGTAAACCTTTTTCATGATCGAAAATTCCTAATACGTGGTGTATTCTTACTAGATTATATAGAAGTTTCACTTCGAAAATTGTAGAAAAACTGGTCGTTATGGTTTAACATTCCTTTTCTGACTCAACCTGTATACACCCTGTACGTATGTCTTACCATGCCCCCGCGACTCACCGTGTACATGGTGCGGCCAGATGCTGAAGGAGACGCTGGCGGCGGGCGTGGCGTACCTGCACTCGGGCGTGGAGCCCGGCGACCGGCGCGTGGTGCAGCAGCTGCTGGAGTCGGGCGCCGTGCAGCTGTGCGTGCTGGCCGCCGAGCTCGCCTGGGGGTTCGCGGCCCACGTGCACACCGTCGTCGTGGCCGACACCCACACGTGAGTACCGCCCTCATACTGTGGCTGGTGCAGCAGCTGCTGGAGTCGGGCGCCGTGCAGCTGTGCGTGCTGGCCGCCGAGCTCGCCTGGGGGTTCGCGGCCCACGTGCACACCGTCGTCGTGGCCGACACCCACACGTGAGTACCGCCCTCATACTGTGGCTGGTGCAGCAGCTGCTGGAGTCGGGCGCCGTGCAGCTGTGCGTGCTGGCCGCCGAGCTCGCCTGGGGGTTCGCGGCCCACGTGCACACCGTCGTCGTGGCCGACACCCACACGTGAGTACCGCCCTCATACTGTGGCTGGTGCAGCAGCTGGAGTCGGGCGCCGTGCAGCTGTGCGTGCTGGCCGCCGAGCTCGCCTGGGGGTTCGCGGCCCACGTGCACACCGTCGTCGTGGCCGACACCCACACGTGAGTACCGCCCTCATACTACTAGATTCCGCCTAAGTAATAATAATACATATAGATATGTGTCACAACTGGTTATAAAAACCCGTTAGCTACCGTTATTTAACCAAAGCTGCCGATAGAGTGCAGTAATTAACGGTTAGTTATCAGACGAGAACAGCTAGTTTGTCATAAAATTATTTGTGTTGTATTAATATAAATAATGTGTATTAAAGACGAAAATTTATAAATATATATGTATAACCTGTATATGTACCTGTATGTGTATGATACCTCGCAGGTACAACGGCAAGATGCATTCCTACGAGCAGTACCCGATCACGACGGTGCTGCAGATGCTGGGACGAGCGTGCCGCCCCCTCGAGGACGACCACTCGGTGGCGGTGCTCATGTGCGTCGCACACCACAAGACCTTCTTCACCAAGCTGCTCAACGACTGTCTACCACTCGAGGTGACCACCCATATCTTGAAATTGATTACCGATTTATTGACATGTGTATAAAGTTATTTGAAAATATTATCATTCATTATTCACATTTAAAAAACTATATAAGAATTATCTATGTACTATTTAACTTATAAATCTTATAGCAAGTTGTTGTATACATATATATGTTTAATGTTTATTAATGTTATTTTAAGTTAATTAGTTGTAATTCGGTTTAATTATTATCATTAATATTTTTAAATAATGCTCTCTCTCTCTCCCTTTTATATATATATTGTTTTCCTCGTTTTGGTGCCACTGAAAACCAGCTGTATGTTAACATAGGACATACATTAAAGTTGAATGGAGCCATTTCAGTGCATATATGGATGTAAAAAATGATTATTTTATGTTTATTTTTAATTATCTACACGGTAAATTAAGTTTATATGTTATATTTGAACTTTTTTTTTTCGTTTGTTATTTATAATGTATGATTGTATTGTATTTTTTACATTGCACTGAATAATATATTTTTCTTTCTTTCTTTTCAAATATCCAACAATTATTATTAAAAAAATAAATAATAAATGAATGTATGTATAAACTGAATCACATCTTCACCAGAGTCACCTGGACCATAGACTACACGACCACATGAACGCGGAAATCGTAACGAAGACCATAGAGAACAAGCAAGACGCCGTCGACTATCTGACATGGACGTTCTTGTACCGGCGGCTCACGCAGAATCCAAATTACTACAATCTCCAAGGAGTCACGCACAGGTACAAATATTTACGCAGCGGTCTAGTGGTTAAGCCTCTTCGTTTCCAATGGTCGCGGGTTGAGTTCTGCAAATGATGCAAACATTTGTATTCCTGAGTCCATATATTTATATATGACCCAAAAAAATCAGTGCTTGTTGGTAGTTTGTATTCACACATTTCGACTTGTAAATGTAAACTTACAAGGATTATTTAAAAGAGCAACACACAAGTTTCTTGCTCGTTCTTCTTGTGATGAGACAGCTTACCGAACGAGCGGTAGATAAAAAAAAATTATGACTATTCAAAAGTGCTTAAGTTAAGTTTATTTGAATAAATGATTTTCTATTCTATTCCGATTGTTGAAATTACTCTGGTGTTTTCACTACTCATCTGATGGGAAACGGTTACCGTAGCCTATGAACGCCTGAAACACTAGGGGTGTCACGTACGCGTTACCGACCCTTAAGAAACCTTAATATACCCTTCTTTTATTCAGATTGTTTATATTGCTCTGCTTATTTTTCACCAACCCATCTGATGGTATATGGTTACCGTAGCCTATGAACGTTTGAAACACTAGGGGTGTCACGTACGCGTTACCGACCCTTAAGAAACCTTAATATACCCTTCTTTTATTCAGATTGTTTATATTGCTCTGCTTATTTTTCACCAGCCCATCTGATGGTATATGGTTACCGTAGCCTATGAACGCCTGAAACACTAGGGGTGTCACGTACGCGTTACCGACCCTTAAGAAACCTTAATATACCCTTCTTTTATTCAGATTGTTTATATTGCTCTGCTTATTTTTCACCAGCCCATCTGATGGTATATGGTTACCGTAGCCTATGGACGCCTGAAACACCAGGGGTGTCACGTATGCGTTGCCGAGCCTTCAGAAACCTTAATATACCCGTCTAAAACCCCACAATGTAGAGTCTAGAGATTCATCTCTCTCCCTCGTCCTGATTATAGTTGATCACTAAGCACTGTGCAATTTTAGTATTTGTGCAATAAAGTTTTAATAAATAAATTTTTGACCGCGAAACTGCAGGCTTACACCGATGCCGTACTCCCTAAGGTTTCTATAACTTTTTTACTACATAGAACCCACTTAACCATACGGCCCATCGGTTATCGTAGCCTATAGACGTCTGAAACACCAGGGATGTAACGTGAGCGTTGCCGACCTAAATCTAAATATTGTGGTTATGTTCATTCAAGTAATCGTTTAGTGATTAATAAGCTTTGCTCAGTTAATCATATTTACTGAGCAAAGCCTTTGACTCACTAATGACGAGCGTGCATGGCAATAGTTGTTCATGCACTGGATTTTATTTTATGTTAGACATAGACACCTATATACATATACCTACATAAATAAACTGGCTTTTAAAAAAAAAGTAAATCAATTGAGTTTCTTGCCAGTTCTTCTCAATTGGATCTATATACTGAACTGGGCGGTAAGGAAAAAATTATAATATACAAATATTTACGTTCATAAGCGGCTAAAATGTCCTACATTAATAAAGGATTTTTGAATTTTATGTTGCAGACATTTGTCGGATCACCTATCTGAGCTGGTGGAGACGACCCTCACAGATCTGGAGCAGTCCAAGTGCATCGCCATCGAGGATGACATGGACGTGCAGCCTCTCAACTTGGGCATGATCGCTTCCTACTACTACATCAATTATACTACCATAGGTACATAATTATACCCCAAAATAAAATTAAAAAATGTACAGATTCATTTTTTAATTTTAATTATTGTAAACATGTAGTATGTAAACTCAGCTCGTATTCTTTACTTTTTTTTTAATATGAGCTGAGTTTCTTGTCAGTTTTTATCATCTCGAAATTAATAAGGGGCCGTTCAAATATTACGTAAGCAAAGCTCTTACCCCCTCCCCCTATGCTTACGTAAACATTTTTCAATTAATGTATTGTTTTTTAGCAAAGACAATGTGAGGGTTGCCATTTGTGAAAAAAAAGTTATAAATTACCGATGACGTAATCATCATCTAGACTCTTCTACCCCCCATGTCATCCATAGTGCTTGCGTAATACTTGAACGGCCCCTATTATTAAATTAATGAATTCTACCCAGGGGCGGATCGTGTATTTGTGGAGCCCTGGGCTAAAACTGAGGGGCCTACCTAATTATATTACTCAACTAAAAAAAAAACACCGACCAAAAACAAGCGACACCGACCCCGTTCCGTTCTATAGACGCGCATATCCATGGGTTGATTAATCGCAGGGTTGTCAACCTTATGATAGTTTTTTAGTATTATACATTTCTTAATCTAAATATCACCTATTATTTACAGTGGGGGCTGGGGGCCCTTTGTTTCCATGGGGCCCTGAGCTGCAGCCCATAAAGCCCGTAGGTAGATCCGCCCCTGATACTACCAGTACCTGATACCATGTTACTACTTACCAATTTTATTAATGTTAAGTTTCTCAGAAGAAAATTCTCGCTCAAAAACACCACTACACGTTCTATGTGGTTGTAGCCCACTTATATATAAACGAAATATCTCTGGAAAGTATACACTCTATCCTGAGGAGATAAAAACCATCGCTCCTAAAAATATCCTTCAATTCTTGTCCCTGAGGGGTCTAGGTAGCGAACTTTGAAAAGGGCGAGCACAATATATGTATGTAGGTCGCACTGCTACAGGTCTTAACACCTGATAATAGCCCAAAACTCTCAATTAAAACAAAAACAATCAAATCTGATAAAAGACAAAGGGAAAAGAAAAAAAATATTAACGAAATATAATCTATTACAGAGTTATTCAGTTTGTCGCTGACCAACAAGACGAAGATCCGCGGTCTGCTGGAGATCATATCCTCGGCAGCGGAGTACTCGGACCTCTGCATCAGGCATCGGGAGGAGAACATCATCAAGGCACTCGCTGGCAAGTAAGTACACAATTCTGAATAAGTATTTTTTATAACAAAAACCAGAAGTGTAGCGTGTCTTGACGGGGCTTCGTATAAAAATTGTGGGGGGGGGGGCTTTATAAAGGATAAAGATTTCTGCCTTATTACCCATAGCGAGGCCCAGGGTCTTTGTGAAAAACATTTTTTTTTCGCCACTGCATCATAATTATCTGTCACTTTTTCCAAAATTTTTACAAACAATTCAAATTAAATATGCTAATGCGTCTTTTGTTTTTGTGATTTGTGAAATTGCACGTTGGGCACGCACGCTCGTCCCGTGGCCCGGGAGCCCCGTATGACACGACGGTAGCTACGCTCCTGATAGTAACACAGTCACGATATTCTGCCTAATTTTGAATTTAAAAAAGAATCTGTATTATTGTAAACATGTACTAGCTGATTTTAAAATAATAAGAGCTGAGTTTTTTTAACCTAACATGCCGTATGTACGAGGAGTGCCTGTAAACTGAAAATTGTCTTTCAGAATACCACACAAGCCGACGGCTCCCTCTGGCGGCAGCGTAAAGTACAACGAGCCGCACGTGAAAGCTCACGTGTTGCTTCAAGCGCATTTGTCTCGGATGCAACTGCCTGCGGAACTGCAGGCAGACACCGCTGCCGTACTCACCAAGGTTTCTTTTATTACTTTACTAGCTACCAACCCCGGCTTCGCACGCGTGTACATGTATTATATATATAAAATTTCCTCTTGAATCACGCTATTAAAAAAAACAGCATCAAAATCCGTTGCGTAGTTTTAAAGATTTAAGCATATATAGGTACAGACAGCGACAGCGACTTTATTTTATACTATGTAATAATGATAATGATGATACTACAATGGTGAGAAACAAGCATACGGCTCATCTGATGGTAAATGGTCACCGTAGCCTATGGACACCTGAGACACCAGGGGTGTTACGTACACGTTACCGACCCTTAAACTCACCAAGGTACCGGCAGATATATTACTAGCTGTACCCGCGACTTCGTCCCCGTGGAATAGTTACCTTGTATTGCATTATAAATTATTTAGGCTAAAAATTTTTTTTATTATTACGCAATTAAAAGTAGCCTATGTTCTTTCTCAGGGTCGGTATTTCGACCCTGAGAAAGGTATACGGTCTGTATATATGGTGTGTGTGTACCAAACCGGTTAAACAGATAAATATAATGTTTAACAAATCATATCTATTAAATATTTATTACATTAAAAGTCTGCGTGTATTGCAATCTCCCAAATTTGAATTTAAAAATGAATCTGTATTATTGTAAACTTGTACATTTGTTTGAAAAGAATCCGAGCTGAGTTTCTTGTCAGTTCTTCTCATTTCGAAATCATTCCGAACTGACCGTAAATTTGTCATCATAAGAGTCTGCAATAGACCTACATGAATAAAGATATTTTGAATTTGTGCATTTGTGCAGGCGATCCGGCTGATCCAGGCGTGTGTAGACGTGGTCTCCAGCAGCGGGTGGCTGTCGCCGGCGGTGGCGGCCATGGAGCTGGCCCAGATGGTGACGCAAGCCATGTGGGCCAAGGACTCGTACCTGCGACAGTTGCCGCACTTCACCACCGAACTAGTGCAGCGCTGCGCAGATAAGGTCACACACAATACTTGTATATGTTGAAGTGAAAGTTGTATGATGGCCTCGCTGATCTTGTCGTTTAGCATGCAGATTTACTTATAATGGTCGCGGGTTCATGAAGTGAAGAACTTCTACGTCTTCGCTGGTCTAATGGTATAGCACGCCGCTTTACTTCCGATATCTGCGACCATAGACTATTAGACAATACTAATCAGAGACGAATTTATATTCATAGATAGAGTATGACAGACGATATAGTTGCTTTCTCGTTCTACGTAAATGATGACTAGAATATACTAACCACGTTTTAAAAAAAATAAAAATAGAGTATTACACTTAGGGTATAAAAATTAGTTATAAACCTATTCTCAGACCTACTGAATGTATATATCAAAAATTTCATCAAAATCGGTCAAGCCGTTTCGGAGGAGTATAAACAGGAAACCTGTGACACGAGAATTTTATATATTAGAAGGTAACGACTGTTTGTAGCCAAAATAAAGAGGTAAAAAAAGAAACATCTATGACAGGCCTCGGTCGGAACTCGGTCTAGCGGTTTAGAATGACGCTTTACTCCCGATGGTCATGAAGTGAACGGGGATCGAAATTACAACGGCTTGAGCCGAGGTTCGAACTAGTGGTGCCCTCAGACAAAAGTCATATCCGTCAGGCAGGAGTTGCACTCGCCCCCTAATGTCCGGTGAAGCTGTAAAGGCCAGCTGGGCCAACAGCATTAAAGTAGTCCGGATAAAAAAAAGCTTGAGCCGTCTGAGGTTCGAACCCTAGCGGTGCCCTCGGACTAAGTCTAAGGACGTTCAGGAGTTGGCCTTCAGCCGTTCCATAATTCCTTCTGCAAGTTTGGATTGCCATTTGCACTCACCCCGCTGAAGTCCTATCGTCCGGTGAAACTGTAAAGACCAGCTGCGGCCAACAGCATTAGAGTAGTCCGAAACAAAAGTTTATAATATTAATAAGATGTGTTTGATGGTATTAGAACGTGGAGACGGTGTTCGACGTGATGGAATTGGAAGACAACGCTAGAGCCAAGCTGCTGCAGCTGTCACCCACGGAAATGGCGGATGTTGCTCGCTTCTGTAACCGATACCCCAACGTGGAGCTCACCTACGAGGTCAGTATATGGGTGTTTTGTATAATTGCACTTAAGAAAGTTAAATAGTAGGTTTTAAGAATAAATCATTGAAGCAGTAAGTAAATATTTATACTCGTGTAATAAACGCCGAACATTGTCAGAGACAATTTATATTATTACTAGCTGTTCTCGCATGAAATTTATAGTCTATATGTTATTCTGATGTATAAGCTATATTACTGTAAAATTTCATCAAAATCCGTTCGGTACTTTTTGCGTGAACTTTCGCGTTTATAATATTAGTAAGATATATTAGTTAATAATGTATTTGTAATATCAGCCATTAACAGCCTGAAATAAATAAATAAAATATATTAAAAATATCTCTCAATACAGGTAAAGAACGAACGGCGACTCAGCGCCGGCAAGCCAATAGTAGTTGAGGTGTCTCTGGAGAGAGAAGACGATATCGTGGGGCCGGTTATTGCGCCGTTCTTCCCTCAGGTAATTCTTTCTTCTAAACTACTATTACCAAGAGGAATAATTGTATAAACGAAAAAAATTATTCACTGGTTTAAATTGCTAATTTTGTTTTGTTTATGCTGGCGAGGCACCAGTGGAGGTTGATAAGAGGAGCATAAGGTCAGGTCAGTTAGTCCACCGTGGTCAATTCACCAAGAATTTATCAGGATGGTTTCCAGGGGGAACCGCGTGAAGGTCAATCTGACATGGTACATTGTTAGCAACGAGGAGTTAACAACAGTCCACATTACTAACAATCCTTCTTATTAAATTATATAGGGCTGGGGGGCATTATTAAATTAATATTAATTTTAATATTGAATTATATATTATTTTAAATTTCAAAGAATTACCAATATTACATTTGTAATATTGGTAATTAAAGGGTAGTTTTTTATTGAACTAAAAAAAAGAATTTTGAAACCATTCTACGCCAAAAAACCGTTTTAAGGTTCTTGTAATATATATATATATATATGTTGGGAAAAAAAAGGGAAACTAAGGACCAACCTGCTTCGTGTCGTCCCCGCGTGCAGGTCTTATTATACGCGTAGCCGTTTCACTTTAAAACGCACAACACTACGATGAGTTTCACTGGATGATGTACTAAACAGATGATTGCGCGGAGATCGCGGCTGATGGTTTCGTTAACGTTGATTTGCGGAGAATATACTGATTTGCGTGTGCTCGACGCGACGGACAACGAATCTCTCTCTTTCTCTCTCTCATTTGGTGGATAAAAATAATAGGATTTATAGTAACATTTACAAGTTCTAGAAATGTCAGATTTATATCAACCAATATATTTGTTCTTTGTTTAAAAATTTTTAATGTATTATAATATGGGTAATTTATATTGTTTAATTTATTGAAAAGAATGTATTTTAAATACACCATTGCACGCCACAAAAACTTGATTGATTGTTTTAATTTTCATTACACAGAAACGAGAAGAAGGATGGTGGGTCGTCATCGGGGATCCCAAATCGAATACGCTACTCTCCATCAAGCGTGTGTCTCTGGCCCGCACGGCCAAAGTGAGACTGGACTTCGTGTGTGGCAGCCCCGGCCGTCACACATACACGCTGTACTTCATGTCGGACGCGTATTTAGGAGCCGACCAGGAGTACAAGTTCAATGTAGAAGTGGGTGACGCTCACTCAGAGTCGAGCGAGTCGGAGTGAATTGTTTATATTGATAATAAAGATTGATTCAAATTATTTTTCGTTTTATTTTTAAGATTTTTATGTAACTGGAATAACACAGAATAGAAATGAAATCCAAATGAGTTGAGAAAATCAGAGTAAATTGTGTATATCTCTCACTTATTTTTACTTTCGACTTTCACCTTCTTAAAGATAGTAATAAAGCACTTAAGGATTTCCTTATCATGACCGCTCGTGGAATTTGAACTTATTTTTACTAAAACATGTTTCTAAATGACACCTTTTATAACATAAACATACAAAGGAAATCCCAGTCAAAATCGGTCCAACCGTTTCAGAGGTAATCAAGAACAAACTTAAAAATATAAAGAAAAATTTAAATGACCTACATAAATTCATATGCATTTACTGAAAAGCTGTTAATTTGAATTTACAAATATACTTGTCAGTTTTATTTATTTGTAAGTATAGATAAAACTGTTAAAGTAAGTATATGAGAAATCACAACAATAGACATTTAGAGTAAGTTAGAAAGAAAAATTATACGGATGATTAAACTTTATTAATAAGACAATTAACAAACATATTTATTCTACTGACAACTAAGTATAGTCTCCATAATGGATACAAATTATCACATATGTACTAAAAAAACAATGTATTGATCGATATTGAAAATATTTGACAGCCAGTGATGCCAACTGAACATTTACGAAAAGTATGCAGACATGGCTGTATAGGAGCAGTTCCAGGTCCTTTGAATGATAAAACAGAACCAAAAAAAGTATTACGATGCGTTCTAGATTAATCATAATTGACAGATAAAATACGTAATATATATTGAGTGGAGTAATTTACAATCTTACACTACATTTTGTACAATTCCTACTTGAAAATCTATAAATGATTACAATTTATATATTAACTATTGCAGTATCAGACTGCCATTTTGATGAAATCGAAATATCGATCTAAAGATGTTGGCATGGTATATAAGTACGACCAAAATGCGCGGGAAAATTTGTACTGAATTTAAAAATATAGTTATGGCTGTATGGCACAGAGTACTGTTTACAAGTCTACGCCAAGGAGTTTCTTGTCGAAGATGAACTCTCCGAGAGAGGCGTGGCGATCCATCATCTTCTTGAGTGTTGAAGCCTTGCCGGCCAGGTCGCGTTGTCCCTTGTATTGCTCTTCCAAGAAATCACCAGTCAGGTAGTCGACAAGCTGTAAAAATGTAAATATTGAGGTTATAACATCATGACCTAGACGTTTATTAACCTGAATTACGGCCAAGAGGTCCTGAATTCAAATATGAATCTCATACCGTCATTGCCTAGTCATTTAGTAGTCTGTACTACGCGCAAGAGGTCGTGAGTTCAAATATGAATCAAATCAAAATAAACTTTGTCAGTTTATATATTTGAATAATACTCTGGTGAAGGAAACATGAACATCAAATGAAAAATTAACCGTATGTGAAGCTAATACATCAGAATAACATATAGGCTATAAGTTTCAGGTGGGTGAAACCTCGGGTACAGCTAGTATATAATATGTATAGATATAAAACTTACGTGGTAATCATTGAAGTTGGGGTCGCTCTCGCACTCCGAGATCACTGTGCGGATGCTCTTTGTGACGTCACTCTCCATTTTGACGGCGTGCTCGAGTGCCTCAACACCGGTGCCCCAGGATTTGCGTTCTGGGGGCTGTCAATAGAATAGATTAGAATAAGAATAGAAAATCATTTATTAAAATAAACTTAATCTAAGCACTATTTGAATAGTCATAACATTTTTTTTAATCTGCCGCTCATTCGGAGAGCTGTCATACATAAATTCTTCATTATTTCATTATCATCCATAAAAAAACATACCCTGATCTGAATGAGCGATGTGACATCAGAAGTAAGTTCTCCCCTCATGAGCAGGTATTCGATCAGCTTCATTGCATGCTCTCGCTCCTCGCTACCAGCTTCGAAGAACAGCTTTGCGAATCCCGGACGATTGATCTAAATATAAGAAATATTTATTTATATCATTATTATTTATTAAAAGTGTGTGCGCAATAAAATTAAGACGGTCGCGGGTTCGATTCCTCGCACGGTGCAATAATTTATATTCATGAGTATGATTGTATCGGTCTGGGTGTTATTATATGTATATTATGTATGTACTTACAAAAAAACTAAGTGTTTAGATCAGTTGTACCCATAACACAAGCTCTGCTTATCGTAGGACTAGATGGTGCTGTGTTAATTGTCCAGGATTATTTATTTTATTATTTATCTATGTATCTATTTATATAAAAAAGTACGTACAGTGTCCTTAGAGAAGTGGGCACCCATAGCCAAGTACTGTAGCGAGGCGGCCACCTCCATTTGTATCTGTCGGCGCATGCTGTCGCGGCAAGGTCGCTGCATTGTGATCCATTCCTTTGGGATATTGACTGGGTTCACGGTACCTGTGTAGAGAATTATAGAGAAATTAGAATGATCACTATTGTAACTCTAGTAGGTGCTTAATGGTTTAAAATTATTTTGTTTAATTCCGCTACAATTAGCATGTGTAATATCCACCGCCGTCTTAAACTAAGCTGGGGCCCTTGGGCACACAAGAATACGGGGCCCTTTTGGAAAATAAAAAAAAGCTCATTAGGTATAAGGACAATAACATTACTGATTTGTGAAAAAATTGTAGTGTGCTCGAGAAAAATCTTTTGAGAATAAATATGTGAGAAAAATTGTCAGTCCTTCGGGGGGCCCCGGAGAATGGGGGCCCTGGGCACGGGCCCCGTGTGCCCTTAAGGTAAAGACGGTATTGGTGAGATCACAAATATTCAGTACGGAAACTTGACCTTCTCTAATGGCAATTAATGTTGATATGTGTGCATGGTAGTTTTATTTATAAAACACAGGCCTATTTAACCAACCGGGTATCAATCATGTCCTCCGAGATTACGCAAACGCCTACCAATGCACTGTACAATCAGAATATATAACATTGTAATTGTTTTACAATGAATTTCCAGTTTGAACTGGGTGGAACTGCCCGCCAAAAGATGTTCTCAATTTGAAATTTAAATGCTTTCTGACCCGTGTTTGTCTTTGTTATTCTATTGAGCAAGTAATCACTAAGTTTTTATTCAACAGCTTCGTATCAAATTTCAATTTAAAATATTTTTGACTGTACTCCTAATTAATTATATTTATTTCCGCCTCGGTCCCATAATGATATCACAACGGTTGGTTCTAGAATGTTCTAACTTCTAAGTACATTTTTAAAATGAATTTTATTATCATATTGCTGAATAAGTTATCAATATATCTAAGTATAGCATTACAGTTTATCGTTTTTGCTTGTCTCGACTTCTGCTACTTTGATAAACATGTTGCTTGTTATCTTTTATAAATTATAATTAATTGCATATCAAATTAATTACGGACTTAATTGTCATCATAACAAACCATATAATACCTAGCTTATGGGCACGGGTCATTATTTCTTTTTCGAATGGAAAACTGTCTAATAACCAACCTGATAGTGACAGACATAACTTAAAATAAATATGTACAAATATAAAAAAAAATACAAAATCCCAAATAAAAAAAACATTAAAAATTAATCCCCAAGTATTGCACAAATCCTTAAGTTAGGTTAAGTTTAATTTTATTGTATTTCTTTCTTCTTTCTTTCTATAAGTATACCGGCCCTAAGAGGCTTATAATCATGCTACCCGAGGGTTGTTGCTTTTGGGTTCGATGCCCGGAAAAGAGCTTTCCCAGCCTTCACACCCCTAGGGAGGTACGCATGACCAGTGTCAGTCAATACTTTAATAATGTCTGAGTATCCTGCCCGTACTTATTCTGTAATTTAACCGTCCTTCAAACCCAAAAACTCACAAAGCTACCAAGAAATAGCTAAAACAGAAAGGTAATCGACCTTGTCACAATGCCTACGTCAATATAAGTATACACTCTTTATAATACAGCCAGACAGCTGGGTATTATGGTTTTATTCCTAGTTTTCCTGCTTTTGTATTTGTTGGGTTTTTCTAATCATTTGCTAAGCCCAGGATGGCTAAAAACAAAGATGACAAATCGTATCTTACTACGATAACAGTTAGAGGAAATGTCATCGAGTTGGAAAGGTTTACGTCGCCATAGATTGATTAGCCACGGTGAGGTCATTGTCTGTTTTTCCCACAGAGTAATAATACTTAGGAGTGGATCACCCTTATGAGAACTAACTGAATATTTAATCCAGTACCTGTAATGGTAGTAAAAAAAAACCTTGTATTAAGACTTTCGATCAATATAGTATAATACCTATTCAGAACAGAATAAATAATATCCATTAGTGTTTAAAATTTTATAAGTAGTCTGTAGTTTTAAATTTGGCGCCAAATTTATAAGTAACTGGAATACAAGAAACGCCTAAGAACGAGAACAAAGAAAACCTTACTTATTCTGTAACCATTCATATTATCTTTATTTCTTTGTAATAAGGAATTGAATTGGCGCCAATTTTATATGGCGTATAAAGAAATTTATTCTTTGTTTACAAATGATTTTCCTCATCTGTTTACCATTTATTGTTTTCTTAGTAATTAATATAACGACGTACCTAATGATGTACTTCTTTGATATATTTTATTTAACAAACTATTTAGCTAAATTATTGGTATTCCGGAAAAAACGCCGACATTTTGGCAAAGATACTGGAACGGTCAAGTTTATAGTAGAGTCCCCAGCCGTCTGGATATGTTTAGAACTTTTGTACATAGGTCTATTCATCAACTGAATTCTAAAATGGAATTATTCTCGGTAGAAAATATCATTTTTGTATATATACATTCTAAATGTTATTTGTATTACAATTTATATATATATATTTACATTCTCATACATTATTTTTAAGCTTAGAGCGGTTCGCTGAAAATGTACCTTATGATTACGATCTTATATAATTGTGCATGGGTTTTTAATTATGATATAATAGTATCTTGTTCTTTATGTAAACTACTAAGATTTAGAGTCGATTCTTTATAGTAACAGAATAACAATGAGTAACAAAGCCAGTCGTTTATCGTGTAACGTATAGTTTTTAGTGTATTGCTAATGATTATAATTAATGTGGTAGATACCTACTCTACACAACTGTTGTTATTGGTCCAATATCTTGGACCTACACGTAGAATGTATACAGTATCTATACATAAACATTACCTACCTATTAAATTAGTCATAATTAATAGCACATGCCGCTTACACGTGACGTGTCTATTAACAAAAGTAGACTGAAAATATTGCAATTAAATAAATTTGCCTAACTTATTCTAACTAATATTAATAAAGGTTAAAAAATAAAGATGTTTAGTTTAGCATCAATGGCCCATTTGTTATAACTAATATTAATAAAGGTAAAAAAAAATAAAGATGTTTAGTTTAGCATCAATGGCCCATTTGTTATAACTAATATTAATAAAGGTAAAAAAAATAAAGATGTTTAGTTTAGGATCAATGGCCCATTTGTTAGTTTTTTTTTTTTCTAATCTATTGTTAATAAGTGTTTTTTCTTTGACAAGAGGACCTAGAGGCTGTAGTGAGGTTTTGTTTTTTTTTGGCATGAGGCTAGTGTTGCCTATTATGGCACTAAACAACAGGAAACGAGACGGGATAATGGAAAAATAACGGCTTAAATTTTTTAATATACTCTGAATCAGTGATCAATGTTATTATGGGAAATAAAAGAAACAGGATATTTAAATTATAGGATGAGCTAATAGGCATACAATTGATGAAGGAAAAATAATTTCTATTGAGATGAGTGACTCCATAAATGAAGAACAATCGTAAGAGGAGCAGGAAAACACACTGTGATTTAGATCACCCAAGTCAGTAAGGTTCTTAACTACGACTACTACAGTTACAGTCGTTACAAATTGTTAGACCTCTGTCTAACAAGTACACTCACACAATGTTGTATCATAGACAAATTTTTTTTTTTTCATAAATGTTTTCAGAATGTTGCTAGAGAACAGCGCATTCTGATGAATAGAGATGCAGTTTTTTTTTTCAAATCATGGCAGAGATCTGTTGAAACGCGGCCGCCCCATCAACATCCTAAAACCTTTATCATACTGTACGCGGAGGGCGTTATATAGTATAACGCTTGTGTGTTGGCCCACAGAGCAGCCGTGTAAAAAGTAAAATAATTACCAGCTGACCGCGCCACTTCGCCACTACTTGACATTCATCATTATATTTCGCCCAATCAACATAATATCTTTTTTAATTATAGCCTATGTTATTGTGATGTATAAGCTAAAACTTCCTGTAAACCCACATTAAAATTCAGCAGTAAACATCCATACATACTTACACAACTATCACATTTATACTATTAGTAAAATTAAATTGGGTTTTGTATGTAATTGGCGCTACATTGTATGTAATAACGGGGCCAGGCCACTTGCAGCGGGCAGATAACATTATATATTTATAGTACAGATTAATAATTCATATGATAGTTAACTCAAAACAATATGATAATGGCGCTGCAAACTGTGTAAATACACAGTTTGCAGTTAAGTTATTAATATATCATAACTTTCACTTATCATTGGGTGGACAATTTTATTTTGGACTATTGTTGATGGAGATATTCAGTGGATTATATACAGCATTATTCTCGATCTGATTCAGTTGCACGTTACATATCAACTGTTACTTACTAACATTACTTATTTTAAATGTGATGGATTAGATTTTTATTTCTAAAATCAATGTGCCTAATAATTGTCAAGTGCTAAGACCTGTAACACTGCCACTTGTATAGATCTATTGTGCTCGCCCTTATTCAAAGTTCACTACCTAGATCCGTGAGGGACAAGAACTGAAGGATATTCTTAGGACCATGTCTCCTCAGGATGAGTGTATACTCTCCAAAGGAGATACTTCGTTTATGCATGAGTGGGCGGGCTACAACCACATAGGATGTGTAGTGGCGTTTCCTCTTCTGCTTGGCAGAATCTGCAGATTGATGTTAAGCTAAGCAGCTATTTACGTAGTCTATATATAAAAAATCATCTAAGTCCTTTAGTTAAAAGTAGCCCTGTCTCACCCATTTGTGCCCCCAAACAACTAATTGTGCAAGCTGTTTTTGGGTTGAAGGGTGAGACAAAGCAATAAAGGATAAGATGCATATTTTCTTACAGTTATTCTTTCTTGTTTTCTTGAAGGACGCTAGACTGAGTTACCCATAGAGCAGATTTTTATTTATATTTTAAAATACAAGTATGTATTCATAAAGTCTCTATCTACAATTACTTAAAAAAAATGCTGTTACGGTTCTTGGTTCTTGTGTTTTAAATCTCAAGGACTATTAGTAATGTAAGAATATAGTAATTTAGTATCAAATATAAACTGTTATTTTTAATTATCAATATAATTGAGTAACTAATGTGATCTATATCGATGTTTGACTTTTGCAATAAATGTTGTAAAATTAATATTTATAGTATATATTATTTGTAAAAACAGTATTTAGTATGAATTACAATATTATATTTTCAGATTTATTATTTAATGTACATATTTATAAAACTTTATAAACATTGTATATTAATTTCAGTTGTTAAACTAAATGAGTTGTTTAACGACTCAATGGATGTCTATAAACAGAACGCCACTCCTCAGAAAGAGGAAGTTGATTTTGAAATGTGAAGTATTCTGAAAAATAAATCCTTGAACACAAACGAAGTTTCATTTTGAAGATCTTTAACTCCAACAGTTGAGCCATGTTGTCATATATTTAATATTGTATTGTATTATATTCATTACAATTAAATACTAATTACTTGAAAATAAAAATATTTTTTTAACCGGCTCTGGGTTCTTACGATTTAAATCCTGGCAAAGTGTTAAGTAAAAGTAATGTTGCCATATGTGTATAGTATTATATCTATTTATACATACTTAAGTACATACTTGTAGTAAACACTTGAAACGTACAATGACACTGTATGTAGATCTTTAAAATAGATTTTGTAACATTGTCTATTTGTTCTTTATCTCGTTTCAAGAGGGCGATATCGACACATTATAAACCACGTACACGTTATCTGACACAGGTCACAGACAAAAGAATTGACGTTGATTAGATTGGAAATCGATTTTACAGGCAAATGAAATGTTACTAAGGGCAATAAGTAATAATAATATCCTAACACAAGGCTCAACGCATTATCTAGTCCTAGAAACTAAGCTCAACTTATACTAGTAACTAAACAACCGACAGAAGTTGCTACTTAATACTATTTTTTAATACAATTTTTTATCAATTTAGAAAAGAGACTGATCTCTGCAATATTCACTGTCAGCTCGATTGACCACGCGGTCTCCATGGAAACCACCATCTTTTATTTCTAGTGAGTTCGTCTCAATAACTGATAACAGATATATCAGATCATATAATAAACAAAAGCGCCCTGCAAGCGTTTGCCATTCGTGCAGGAAGGCCATTCCATTTCATCATCTGCTTCTTCCTTATCCCATTTATTTGGGGTCGGCGTAACTCCCTTTCTTATCATATCATTCCATTATCACCTATTAAAAGCCCCTGATTGCAATACCCAAACACATTTTTTAATATATTCGTTCGTTTAATCGTGAAATTGTAACAAAGAGAGATATACATTTTTTTACATTTATAATATTTGTATGGATAGAACGGATGTTAAAATAAAACTACATTTAAAAAAAAAAGTGGTTACCCTATACTATCTAACCACCATTTTTTAAGTAGAACGAGAAAGCAAGTCGTCTATCATTCTCTATCTACGAATATGAGTCCGTCTCTGATTATTACTAACAGTCTATGTTGATTGTCTATAATATCAGCCCTGTCCTAATTTAATTAATTGAATAAAATTAAAAATATATAATAATTAATTAATAAAATTTTCACAAAGATTGGCGAATGCACTTTGCGCCAAGCCATAATAATAAAAAAAAACAGTCTATGTTACTCTATATTTTCTGAGCATACTTTAAAACAATGTATTTGTATAATACGCATTAATTAGGGAATTTATCGTCTTGTCCCTGAAACTTATTTACGTATTTCTATTTGCTGCCAAAAAAGAAAGTTCTTATACTTAGTATGCCTAGATATTTTGTTATTGCACTTGGCCAGCTACCAATAAACTTACGTCTTTATCTACGTAGATATGGTAACAGATATCAATGTAGCGTTCGATATTCAAATATTGCCTGTCATTTTTGTTGTTGTTTTAAAAATCGAGCGAAGAGTGAGTACAATACTTACTCTATACTTTGGAGGGCACAGACCAAATGAAGTAGATAGAAACACAACGATATGAAATTACTTAGAAAACTACTATCGCCAATACGCACATATAAATAATACTAACTGCACCCGCGACATCGTCTGCGTGGAATTTAACTTGATTTTGTAGCCAAGTTACTACTTATTACATCAGCTACCTGCTAATAAAAGTCCCGTCAAAATCGGTCCCGTCATTTTAGAGATTAGCCGGAACTGACGGACTGACAAAAATTGTAAAAAATGTTATTTTGGTGTATGTACCGTATTTATATTTATATGCATGTAGTAAAAAAAACGGTTATTTAAATATTACAAACAGACTCCAATTTTATTTATATGTATAGATAATAATAATGTAGCCTTTTTTGTTTAATAGTTAGATATATTTTGATGTTTACAAGATGTCTCGCAACTCGGCGTGCCTTTTGGAATAAGCCTCTAGAATACATAGCCTATAGAACTGCAGTAAGTTCTATACTAGAATGTGTATCTAAAGCTGCACTAGCAGGCTCCTACCAGGGTTTTTTTTTAGGAAGATAATGGAATGGTGGACCCGCCTGCGCTAACGGTTTACGCTGGCGGGGCACCAGTGGAGGATGATAAGATGAGCATGAGGTCAGGTCAGTTAGCCCATCGTGACAAATTCACCAAGAATTTATCACGATGGTTTCCAGGGAGAACCGCGTGAAGGTCTACCTGACATGGTATATTTCTAGTAATAGGATTATTAGTCCACATTACTAACTCCCCCCCCCCCCCCTATTGTCAGATGTTTGTATCCTACCAGGTTTGTGTGGGCAGGGAGAGAAACACGAGCGGTGAAGGTGAGTGTTTACATTCGGCAAGAAGCCCTTTAAACCTACACCGGGATAAAAAGTCCCAGGAATTGGGAAAAGTTTCCCTCTCTGCCACACGATGGACTCAGCACCCGCACGGTGTATCTATTTAATGTTAAGGAGTTCGTTTCCGAACGATATATGTTATATTTTTCTTATTTAGATAATTAACAAACACTTGTATAATATTTGTATAAGATATATATAAAATTTTCTGAATAAAAAATTACGTGTCACGTTGTTTGACCGCAATGGACTCCTAAACTACTGAACCGATTGCAAATTTTATTCGCATTGTGTGTAATTTGATACAACTTGAAAGATAGGATAGCTTACATCTCAGTTTATAGTCGCAATATTATTTTATTCAAGAACCTGAAGACCTGGCCACGCGTGGCCGGGTCTGCTAGTATCATTATATTATTATTATTTATACATGAATCTCTGTTTTCCCAATGGTTGGTCCGCCATTTGCAGCTTTATTTATGTATTTGTGCATTAAAGTTTTAATAAATAAATAAAATTATAAGAGGGCGGAATTTGTTCTAAAGAAAGTAAACTCTGGAGAAATGAATACTTCGATAATGTAACCCAACATGTGACAAAAATAAAAAAAAAACGCTTACGCTACGAAAATAATTAACATTAGAGAAAAGTGATGTAGGTACTATAAGTGTAATGTAATGTGAATATTAGTGAAAAACCACTTAATAATATAGATATAGTCTATAGGGACGCCGGACCCATAGAGGTTTTGTGTACTAAAAATACATTTGTGATGAAACTACTTGATAAATGAATATCTAGAAGAATTTAAAATAAAACTAATACAAAACTACACACTATAGTTTTATAGTGAACAACACAACGAAAGTTATGTTAAAATTTATATTTTTTTATATTTTCATTAACTGATAAATGTGGAAAAAAAATGTTTTCCAAATCAGTTAGTTAATAAAAAATATTCTCACATCGTATAAATGTCATATTTACTGTTGTATTTTGATTATAATCTGTAAATGGCGCCTTTAAGAATACAAGCCCACGATATCAAGGGCAATCTAATTAAATAATTCAATAAAATATCATTGCATTGAATTCTGTATCTATTAACTCCCTTCTTTATTTCAATTGAAGTTAGCCACAATTCTAAATGTAAGAGCCCCGTCTTTATGTTCTTTGTGATAAATTGGAAGTATCTACTAACAATGGAGGACAGTCATTTAGAAACAATAATTATGTTATTATATTATAGTATACTCATATTAGTATTCTATTACAAATGAATATAATCATATTGAAAATTTTAATGGTAGGAACCAAAATAATGTAGGTATGATAACGCAGTTTTACCTACTCAGTCAATGGAATAAAATTTCTCTTATTTTGAGGTTAGAATTAATTAAGCTTATAACATGAACGTAACTATAATAAAGAAATGGTAAGAATGTACATCGAATTAATTTATACATTTTAAAAATATTTACGACCACAGGTACATAGCTTTATTTTTTATTTTTTATAAAATAGGGTAACTGTTCCAATTTAGAGCCTCAATCCAAAACCAAAAATGTTTTTTTAAGTATATAACTGCGGAGAATATTTAAATTAAGAATATACTCACATTGTGTGGCGAATGCTGGGGCGCATACAGCCAGGAGTCCAAGAACTGCTACCAGGATAGCCTTCATCTTTTACTCTACAATTAAATCACAGATACTTTGACGAAGTAGGTATGCAATAATAAATATTCGATGTAGTTGAGAGTACACGCTAAAGTCAAGCCTTTACACACACTGGTGCAGAAGGCGACTCAAAATATGACAATAAGCAACAAAGACTATCTATTCGCCTCGATGGCTCAGTTTAAACGAAAATAATGAACTACGCAACGATAACAAAACCATGTCGTGTTGACAAGTCATTTCACGGAATGACATGAGCGAGCGGGATGGAATACGATAGACGCGATGGGTGGAACTAAAAATATCGAGGTTTTGTGTTCCAAGCGGAGTCATGGAATTTTTTTCTAACTTCGTCTGGAACTTTCTGGGCATGAAATATAATTTTTATTGCAAGATTTTGAAACAGTATTAAAAATTAGGCATATATTGATAAAAAAACTGTGTAGAAATTGTCAAATCATGCAGTGTGATGAAATAAATAGAAATGTTTTAAACACAAAACCTCAACGTCTATTGTGTGAATCAAGTTTTTACGTCATTGGCGGATGACAACGCAGGGTTAGACGGAGAACGAGAAGGGAAATATGATGGGGATACCAGTTTATAAAATTACCGATATTTGAGTAATTTATATATATTAGAAGAGAGGATTTTTATGACTTATATCTTATCATTACTAGTTATTTTCTTAGATAATTGCGTGGTATCGTCTAATAGAATGATAAAATATTATAGAATTCAATTTAGTGGACATTTGCAATGGTTTTAGGTAATTGAATACTACGTACCTGGTAACACAGCTTGTTGTGTTCAACTTCACACAAAATGAGTAGAGAATATATTTTATTGTCAATATAATCTTTGGTCGCTACCAATCGGTACACGAATGATTTACAAGTGCACAGACGTGGAGTTTTCCTAGTCAGATCATACGAATTTTTATCAGTACTAATTTGTCTTTGTTGGAAGTCGCCTTCTGCGCCAGTGTGTGTAAAGGCTGCACTTTCGACGGATCCCATCGTCTACAATTATTCAATTTTGTCTAATTCATCGCATACTATAACGTTGGTGAGTGAATTACATTTACATTTTTGTCATGTTGCTCTTTCTGTTGTGGATAATAAACAACCATTTTTCAACTTTTAATTTCTTAATTGCGTATTTCTTTATTTAGATTTGTGTCTTTGTTTAAGGTAATAAAAAGATGTATTTTTGGATTTTAGTAAATTATAATTTATACATATGTTAAGTATAACTATATTACGGTGTTTAAATAGAAATTTTAATTTTTTATTACTAGTATAACCTACATAGACGACCTATACAATTTATTGCAGTATTAACAATGAACAATGAGCATCAATTTCTCAACGTAGGATTATCAGTAGAATTTATACATTATTTAAAAAGTATATTCGATTTTACATAATTTCTTAATTTTAGAAACAACAATTGGGGCAGATACCCTACAAAAAAAAATGTTAGAAATAAAAAAATTTTTTTATTATTTATTTTTACGGAAATATTAAAATGAATCGTTGTTTTTTTTTTAAATCAGTGATTATTATGGAATGGAAGTAATTCTATCGTTAAATCAAAGACAATAATCAATATTATTTAATATCTTGTTTATATCTAAAGCCGTTGTAAATATTCATGTATGATTTAATATTGCCTTATATGATATAGATAATGTATTTTGGAAGGTAATGTTAATAACATAAGTAAGTATGTAGATTGATTTCCTTTATCTTTTGTTATGATTTATTAATATGTTACATCAATCAATATAAAAGATAACATTATAAATGATTTGACTATTTCCTTTTGACAATATTTCAATAGCATATGCTGGTGGTCACTCTATTTTCCCAAATTTGAAATTAAGAATCCGTATTTTTGTAAACATGTACAAGCATATTAGAAAAGAATAAAAGCTAAGTTTCTTGTCAGCTCTTCTTAGCTCGAAAGCACTTCGAACTGACGGTAGATTTGACATATACTCAGAGTCTGTAATAGACCTACATAAATAACTATTTGTTTGTCTGTTCATTGTGTTTTTTGTAATTACTAAACATAGTTTTTATATATATAAGAGAGGCATTAAGATAGTATATTTCTCCTAAAGGGACAACTCCAATTGCTCTTTTCCCACGACCAGAAAATGTTGAGTTTCTATCCCAGCTCATTCAAATAAATAAATCCTGGACAATCAACACAGCGCCATCTAGTCCCACGGAGAGCAGAGCTTGTGCTAAGAGTACTAGACAACTGATAAATATTTAGGTATTTTTGTAAATACCTACATAATATACATAGAAAACACTCAGACCGATACAAACAATCATATTCATGAGTACACATTTTTGCACCGTGGGAGGAATCGAACCTGCGACCATCGGAAATAAAGCGGTGTACAAAAACGCTATACCACCGCGACCGTCATTTATCTAGTTTTTTTTCGGATTACTCTAATGCTGTTGGCTGCAGCTGGCCTTACAGCTTCACCGTTAATATACGACGTTAATACACGGCGACGCACTGGAAGGACTTATGGAGCGACTGAAGGCAAAGTCCCGCCTGACGGATACGACTTTAGTCTAAGGACAGGGGTTCGAATCTCGGCTCAGGCCGATATACCAAATTTCATTTAAATCGGTTCAGTAGTTTTGGTGTGAAAACGCGACATGCAGAGTTAGTTTCGCATTTATAATGTAATATGTAAGGATAGCTGGATAAAAAGATTTTCTTACCTTGTCTTTTTCTCCAACTATTCATACGTACAAGGGTCGTAATTAATTACACAATCAGCTTGATGGTAAACATTGATAAATTCTGAGCTGAATTACAAATGTCACATATTTACTGTAATGAAGCTGTCATTGAAAGAAACCGACGTGATTTCTTTCTCATTCTGCACCAACAGACATTTTTGAAACGTCAAAATATTTTTTTAACTTTTTTTTATATAGGTGCTTGTCAGCCATTTTGTTATGAATGTTCACAGTTAAATAAAATCATAACTAAAGTATTTTAGCGGCTATTATGGGGCCGATATTTATTATAACGTGTTCCTTAACAACTAAACACTTGGTACAAACAGTAGCGAGGCAAAAGTGACAATAAAAAATATGACAACTCATAAATATTTTAAAATGTCCAAAGAGTTTGCAACAAATATATAAAACAAAACATATCTATTAATTGTTTCAGAATCATGAAGGTCGTGTTGTCAGTAATCGCGGGTCTGCTCGCCGTGTGTGGTGTTTTAGCTGAAGATGCCTGCTACCAAGATGTGTCGTTACAATGCAACCAAGCCTCTACCGTTTTAGGTATGTTTTATCAACTTTTATCACAACCACTATCCGGGTTTTCAGCCAGAACTACATATCGTTTCTGAACGACATCTGACGGCATCATATCAGTCTGTCAAATAGGTACAGACGGAGGGAAGCGGATTATTAGTAATGGGAATTAGTAATCCCCATTGCTAGCAATGTACCATGTTAGGTCGACATCCACGCGGTTCCTCCTGGAAGCCATCGTGATAAGTTCCTTGTGAATTTGTCACGATGGGCTAACTGACCTGATTTCATATTAATTTTATCATCCTCCACTGATGCCCCACCAGCGTAAACCGCAGCGCAGACGGGAGCACCATTTCAGTATCATCCACAAAAAAATACAAACTATGGATCAATAAATGCTCCGTTTCATATAGATATTTTGCTTTCGCTATAAATTTCTTAAATAATTATAAAACTACGTTTATAATATTATGCACGTTATATGTATTCTTTTGTATGCGCCTTATAAATATATTTTCTTTCTTTCTTTAAAATAATATTGGGTTAGTTTCATATTTAGCAGTATACAATAAATTGTTGGATGAATATAGGCTCAAAATTACTTGTATCCAGGGCCATTAAAATATTATAAAAAAAAAAATAAAAAGATTATGATATAATTTCGACAATTTTGTGTGATACTATTTCGTTAGGTACATATATAAATGTCACAATATATCTATTTCTTTATATAACTTTAATAATCTATGTTAGTGTTATATTTTTTTCATACAGCTTCATTTAATATTATTCATATATTTTTTCAGTTTGTTTCTCATTATGTATATATAAATTTAATAATGACTAATTAATTATATGTATAAACATTTATATACGAATATATATTTTTTAAGCTCTTTTATCTATTTATATATATATATATATATTATTTTATTTCTCTAACATATACTATATCTTATCTTTTGCAGGTATTAGGTCGGGTAAGTTTAAAAGTATAAATTGTACCTACGGTCATATCGTAGATAAAAAAGTCATAGTTTTAAATCGTCATACTTAATACTATATGTTACACCAATTCCACAATCTATAAATTTTAGAGGTTATGATTATCATCTCATTTAAAAAATATTAAAATCTCAAAATGGCGATTTCATAATAATAATCTCAGAACAATTCACACAACACCATCTAGACCCAAGTTAAGCTAGCTAAAGCTTGTGTTATGGGTATTAGACAACTGATACAAATACATAGATTTTTTTTCGTAAATACATACATTGTATACATAGAAATCACACAGACCTATACAAACAATCATACTCATGAATACAAATGTTTGTGAAGATTTTCATAACATTGAATTATCATATTTCATTGTGCTGTCTTTCTTATTGCCTGACTATTTTTTATTTTTATATTTATTTGCATCGGAAAATGTACATCTAAATCTAGCCATCTCTATACTAATGAAATCTTTACATATTTACATCTATTTATTTAATAAATCTATTTATTTATGGTTTAAAAATACGTAATGTATTAAATAATATTTTTATCTGACAAAATATTACTCTGCATTAAAAAAATTCGGACAGAACTTAATGTTCAAGTTTTGTGTGTCATGTTTAAATAGTCATTTGTAATCCAATATGGCGGCCATACAAGATGGCGTACTATTGGAATTGAAAGGGCTGTAAGAGATACAGATATAAATTATAATAGTAAAACATATTTATTAAATAAACATAATATACAACTAACAGATAAGTTCTTGAATGTAATAATATTGCGACTATAAATTGAGATGTAAACTATCCTAATTTTCAAGTTGGATCAAATTGCACACAATGTGCAAATCAAATTTGCAATCGATTTAGTTTAGGAGTCCATCGCGGACAAACAACGTGACACGTAATTTTTATATCTGTTTTTCACTTTATATATCATTTCTTGTAATAATAATGTTCTGTTTAATTGACTGCATGTTATGATTCGTAATCATTTCAATAACTTTATCTAAAACAATTTATTCACTGCATTTGCGATATATCTACAGATTTTAATATGTTTACGAAATAATAGAGTATATTCACAAATGGTTTGTTCCATAGACATTTGCACGTTATTTTTATATCATTTGGTTTCCACATTTTTATAATTTGTTTTGTCATCTATCTTATCAGGATCATAGCTAACAAAATGAAGTATTGAGTATAAGCTTTTAAAAAACATTAATGTGAAATAAGAAATTGTTCGGACTGAATATTTTTTATATTGAGTAATAAGTTCTCTTTATACCAAATTATATAAAGAGAACAATCTTTATATCGTTTGGTATACAAAATGAAGTCTTGAGAAAATACAATCTTTTAAAAATACAGTATTAAATAATATTTTTTCCCACAAAATATTAGTCTGCCTTAAAAAAAATCGATAGAACTTAATGTTTAAAAATGTTTAATTATGGAATGATATTTCTTAATCCAATATGGCGGACCATACAAGATGGCATACTAGTTATTTTTTATACACTTCAGGCTGCCAAATAAAAGGGTTTTCTGAGATGAATACGAATAATAAAATTATATAATTGAAAATCAAGACTATTTAAGTCTTGATTTTCAATTATACAATTTTAATATGTAATAATATGTATTTCTGTAATATGTTAACATTATATACCTAAGTAAGTTGAGAAGAAAAAAAGATACGACAGCGTCAGTCAGCGATTTAGTGGATAAATCAAATAATTATTTATTTTATTATTTATTAATTATTTTTCTAACAGGCCTGTCACATTGTAACTCGGTGTATGGCGAATACGGTCGTCATGGCAACGTCGCCACTGAGATGCAAGCGTACGCTAACCTGCATTTGGAGCGTTCGTACGAATATCTGCTGTCGGCTGCTTACTTTAACAACTACCAGACCAACCGCGAAGGATTCAGCAAGCTGTTCAAGAAGCTGTCGGATGAGGCTTGGGGGAAGACCATCGAGCTGATCCAACATATCACCAAGAGAGGTTTGTCATTTGTTTTTCTTAATTTATCTCTAGCTGAACTCTGAAAGTTTTATTTATAGACTTGGGGTATTACATATATCTCTCGAAATAAAGACCATAGAGAAAGCGTAACACAAAGACAATAGACATTATGTATTTATTTTTGTATAAATTTAACGTAAAATTAATATCGCTGACAATGTTATCTGATTACACAAAGATTGAATAGCGGTTTCCATGTTGATTAATGCGCATGCCTAATCCTTGGTAATGTGTATTAAATTAACAATTTTTATTTAAAAGAGCACACGGAAGTTTCTCGCTCGTTCTTGTGATGAGTCTGCGTTCCGAACAAGTGGTAGAATAAAAAAAAATGACTATTCAAATGTTTTTATATTAAGTTTATTTCTATAAAGATTATATATATATTAAGTTACAAACTTTAACTATTTAATTAAGTTGCAAACTATTACCTAACTACCCTTTTTAAATCATTAGCTCATAATTATAAAGATATATTGTTTTATAGGTGGTGAGATGAACTTCGCCCAACGCAGCACTCACCAGCCCGCAGAACGTAAGAACTACACCGTGGAGCTGCACGAGCTCGAGTCCCTCGCCAAAGCTCTGGACACCCAGAAGGAGATCGCTGAGAGAGCGTTCTACATCCACCGCGAAGCCACTAGGAACAGCCAACATCTTCATGATCCTGAGGTAAGTTAATGCATGTGTGTTGCAGAATTCCCCACAATTTTTTTTATTTAGGATTTTGGTGCGCGCTCCTGACCGAGCGTAAAAGAACGTGTCGAGTAAAAGCAGCTAATGACTCAAAATCAAAGTATCTTTATTCATATAGGTCTATTACCGACTTTCATGATATATCAAATCAACCGTCAGTTCGGAGTGTCTTCGAGAAGAGAAGAATTAACAAGAAACTCAGATCTTATTCATATAATAATATATGACTATAACTTGGCAGGTCGCCCAATATCTCGAAGAGGAGTTCATCGAGGATCATTCAAAGACAATCCGCAACTTGGCCGGTCATATCACAGACCTCAAGAGCTTCATCACCGCCAACAACGGACAGGACAAGTCTCTTGCCTTCTACCTCTTCGACGAGTACTTACAGAAGACCATTTAAATATACAAATTATATGGGCGTACCTTGTTTTACAGATAGTTCTATCTCTAACGTCATATATGTACTGTTTTTTATATGAACCTGTTTCCCATTTGTTTATATCCCCCTCCGATCGATCCCCCGTCAAATTCAAATGGGGATCGAAATTACAACAGCCTGAGTCGAAGTTAGAACCCTTGCGGTGCCCTCAGAGTAAACTCGTATCCGTATCAGGCCGGAGTTGGCCTTTAGACGCTCTATTAGTCTAAATAAGGTTTATAACCGTAAATTTGTCCAGTTATGTTTATAATAACAAGTTTTATAGAAACAGGTGCGCCCAAATATCATATTTTATAATAAACTAGATACAATACCCCCCGCCTTGAAATGTATCCATCTTATTCTTCTATCTCGATACAAAATGGCCGTTGTTGTTAAAAATTTCAGTTTTAATGTACAAATATTCAGGCTGTTCGATAATTAAGTTAAATTTTTATGTTAGGAATTTTAAAAATGTATATTGTTATAAGTATATAGTAACATCATGTAGATTTCAAGTTATTTTCAAATAAAAAATATCATTAAGTCAAAGTATTTTATTTATTAACTACCTATCCGCCGTGGCTTTTTTTGCACAATTTAAAAACAGTGTTAGCATCTTGCACTCCTCTACGTACCTACTGCGTCTCCATTTTTATATAAAGTTTTTAATTCCCTTTTTAATATATAAAATTAATTCAATAATAAATAAAATTAAATCGAAACACAATTTAAAATAAATGGCACTTCAAAAAAATAATTTGACATTTAACTTCTAACTAAATAGGTTCTAGTCGAAATCACTCAGTAAATAGTATAATTATGTAATATTATGTTATCTGTGGTATAATTAACAACTTAAACAGTATAACTAATTCAAACTATTTATATAAGCAGCATCGTAATTAATTATATTTCCTAGAAAAATAATCGGAAAATTTCCGACAGTATAAAAACTGTCCTGCTATATTCCTTAGATAATTACCCTACTACTCACCCTGGATTCGTAAATCTATCGTAAGAACAAGATCTTAGTAGAAATCTTAATTGTAAATTAGTTTATCATATGGGAATATAAGAATATATATAATATTCAATTTATTAGCATTTTCAACTAAAACTCACTTGATAACAATTATTATCACTTCAGTAGATATCAGGCAAACTATTAACTTAGAAAAATTCAATGTTTTAACTCTATTTTTTTTTAAACAATGTAAAATATTCAACTCCTACTCAAAAGGTGTTTCATAATATGGCCCTTTACCTTACATGCAATGGTGATATGATTTATATTTTTAGTGTTTCGAACCAGAAATGACATTTCTTGTCGTTTCTGGTTCGAAACACTATGACATAAAAATCTTTTTATCAAGCGTACAAAGTAAAGTAAGTGTTCCCACATTCGAATATTCTACCCTGAATTTGGTAAAAATATAATTAATAATTTTAAAAGTACGTATTTTCTTGTAGAATCTGTTTATGCCAAAAGGCTTCAGTGACTTGTTATGAAGAGTGGAATTATAAACCTTCTACAGTAAACCGTATTTTTTAGAATGTCATTCTAAGCAGTAAAAGCTTTTGTAGCTTCAATAATACAATTTTTGGTGTTTAAATTACCTTACAAAATAAAATTGAGACCGATTTTGCCGCCGTATTATGGACAAGTGGGAATTGGTTCTGTTCGGGACTTGTCGGTAATGGACAAAACTGTAAATTACGTAACTACTACAATTCAATTTTATGATTACCAAGTACTCTTGGTAGGCAAAGAACTCAAGATAGGTATAAATTATATTATAAACTAACTTAACTTAACTATAACTTAAATATATTTTATTCAATTCTATTGAAACAATAGTTTTTTACATTAGTTTTTAATGTATTATAATGGATTGGTGCGCACGCTTGCGATAATAGAGCATCGTGGAACATGTTAGGCATGACCATGAAGTTAGGTTAGTTAGCTTACCGAAGTTTAGGTAATTTATTGTCCAGAGAAAGATGCCTCAATCATACAATTAGATATTTAAAAATTTATCTAAGTTATAAAAAAACTGTATCAGTTTGTAGAAAATAACTAAAAGAATATTTTTGTTCTCAGCAATTAAATTATAAAAAATGTACATGCATAGTACACCCTTTATGTGGAAGTTTCTAATATAACTAGAGTGGCTTACCAGATATCCAAATATCGTAAGCGGTGGAGACGGAAGCAGATACGGGTATTACACACTGGAAGGGATCAGGCGAGTAGGTACACAACACGACACGAACACTTTAGACACTATTATTTACAATTTATGTAATACGTATATGACATACACTTTTTCAGTTTTTTTGAGAGTGACAATAAACAAGGAGGGTAGCCCTAGTAACCACTCTAGTCATAGACTTTATACTAGCGCTATTCAACCTTAATACTTTCCCTCGCTAGTTAGAAATGTCTAGCAGTCCCAAGTTAGCTCGAATCTTCTCGAGTCTTGATCTAGGAACTGCCTTAGTCAAAAGATCAGCTAGTTGGTCAGTAGAACTTGTCTTCTGTATATCTACTAGACCTTCTTGCACTGTCTCTCGAACAAAGAAGTGTCTTATGCGGATATGTTTCGTCCGCTTATGAAACTCGGGATTATTTGCAAGGCGTATAGCCGCTTCGTTATCGACTTGTAGTGTGGGTATGCCTTCCATATTTGTAAGCTGGTCAAATATTCTCTGTATCCACACAAGCTCGCGTGCGCCTTCGCTCGCTGCAACAATCTCTGCCTCAGTAGTAGATATCGCAACTGATGCTTGTCTTTGACTGAGCCACGAAACAGCACCTCCGGCAAATAAACAGGTGACTCCTGTAGTAGAGCGTCCTGTGAGGTCATCACCTCCATGATCTGCATCACTATAGCCTTGTACTATGGCTTTGGCATTTCCATGATATTTTATGCCATAGGATATTGTTCCTTTCAAATATCTAAATATCCGTTTCACTCTTTGCCAATCAGCTTCAGTTGGATTCTCTAATTTTCTCGAAACTAGCCCAACTGCATACGCTATATCAGGGCGTGTGCCTGTCATTAGATATGCAAGTGCACCTACAGCTTCTCGATATGGGAACTTTTTCTCTTCAGGGTCTCCAACTTTCCCTGTTTCAGAAGTCCTATCGATAGGTGTTGAGATTGGGTTGCATTCAGACATCCGGAACCTATCTAAAATCTTCTTAGCATAACATTCCTGATTGATGAATACTGAACCATCTTTCAACCTTGCAATTTCCAAACCCAGATAGTAGCTTGCTGCTTTGCTTGTTATTTTTAGCGTCTGCCCTAATTCTTTAAGGAATTGGTCCGCCAGGGCTTTGTCTGTAGTGGCGACAAGGCCATCGTCTACATACAGAGTTATTAATATTTTCTTGTCTTTCACTTTCTTTGTGAAAAGACAACAATCGGCACTGTTCTGTATGAAACCCTTCTCTATTAGTACCTCTTCAAAGCAAGAGTTCCAACAGCGCGGTGCTTGTTTAAGGCCGTAGAGGCTTCTATTTAAACGACATACTTTTGAAGTGCCGTCACTGAATCCATCTGGCTGCTTCATATAGATCTCTTCTTTGAGCTTTCCATTCAGAAATGCAGTCGCTACGTCAAATTGTGTTAAATATAAGTTCTCCTTAGCACTAACACTTAACAAAGCTCTTATTGTGGCCATGCGAGCAACGGGACTGAAGGTCTGTTCATAATCAATACCCTTTCGTTGCTTGAATCCTTTAACTACAAGCCTAGCTTTGTATTTGTTAATAGTTCCGTTTGGGTTACGCTTTATATTGAAAACCCATTTACACGGAAGTGGTTTTCTGTTGGATGGTAAATCACACAATGTCCATACATCATTCTCTTTAAGGGACTGGAGTTCGCTTGCCATAGCCTTCTTCCATTCAGCACTATCCTCTCTCTTAACAGCTTCTTTAAATGTACCAGGGAAACTCTCTGTACCTATATGGCACACATAGTCTTGATACTTCTTGGGATGAGGTATGGTCGCTCTCTCTCTTAGATTGTACCTAGGCTCCATGTCACTTAATGGTTCGACTACTTGTAGTGGTTCATCAACATCATCCCTACAGTTGTCATCATTATCCTCATTATTAGGGATAATAGAATCGCTGTTCTCATGGATTATGGATTCTTGAACATGGTCTTCCATCACCACTGTTCTATCTCCCTCTAGAACATGTTCAAAATCGTCATCCTCATTTCTAGGCTCTTGCTCGATAAAGTGACTCGTATCTCTTAGTACTCCCTCTGAAGAATTAGGCATGTAGGTGGAAATCCTGAATTCAACATCGCTTTCAAAAGTAATGTCTCTTGACCTTATTGTCTTCTTTCCATCATAGACACGATATCCGTCATCATTTTCGTAGCCTATAAGAATGCCTTTTATAGCTTTCTTATCCATTTTCTTGCGATTTTGTTTTGGAATGTGCGCATAACAATCGCTACCAATTATTTTTAGGTGAGTTATCTTGGGCTTTTTTCCATGCCATAGCTCATAAGGTACTTTGCCTTCCACTCTAGTGGGACCTGTCCTATTGAGTACATAGGTAGCGGTGTTGATTAACTCAGCCCATAGTATTTGCGGCATTTGTTTTCTAGTATACATCATTGATCTCGCAGCTTCTACTAGAGTACGATTCTCTCGCTCACTACAGCCGTTTTGCTCCGGCGTGTAAGGCATAGTCAGCCGCTGTTGTACGCCGTATCTCTGTAATATCTTTCGCATATCTTTATTATCAAATTCTCCGCCATTGTCACTTAGTAAAGTCTTAATAGTATGCCCAGCATTTCTACTTTCTTCAAGCATTTGCAAAAGCTTTTCCTTTACTTCTGACTTCTCTTTGATAAAATATACAAAACGATAACTTGAAAAATCATCTTTAAATAATACAAAGTACTTATATTTTGAGATACTTTCGGTTGTAAATGGACCGCAAATGTCAGTGTGTATAAGTTCACCAACTGTTGTTGCTCTTTCCCTTGTTCCAAAGGGTTTCCGATGTGACTTCCCATAAATGCATCCTTCACATTTAACTTTATCCGGACTCAAGTGTACGCCTAACTCACGCTTTAATACGCGCATGACATGTCTCTTATCCTGGTGAGCAAAGCGTTCATGGTACAATTGTAGCATATTGGAGTCAGTTACAGCATTTATCTCTATTGTCGAATTATACTTTGTCGGCATGATGGTCTTCATGTCCAACTTGTATAAACCGCCATATGGAACTCTACGTCCTACAACTCTAGTTATGCCTTCAATATCTAAGTTGCATTCCTTAGTTGTTGACGTGAATGTACTATTCTGCATCCTATCTTGTGCTGCTAAAGTTGAAAATAAATTCTTTGTCAGTGATGGTACTAACCACACATCATTCAGAGTTATTTGCCTTATTGTTCCGTTAACATTTGACTCTACCTCAATAGTACCCATTCCCAATGCAGGTATGGTAGTACCATCTGCCGTTGATATTGTGTGGTCTGAATCAAAGTTTTGAAAACTAGTGTAAATATCTTTCTTCACTGCAATGTGTGTTGTAGCTCCACTGTCAACATACCAGCCATTTCGGTCTTGAAACTGACTTTTTGTGCAGGCATCTACCATTAGCGAAATATGTTGTACTTGCTTAGACTTGGAACCAGATGCTGACGTGTTTGAAGTTGGTTTTGGTGGCCTTCCATCCTTAATCCACTTCTTACACTTGCGAACTCTATGTCCTTTCCCAGAACAATAGTTGCAGATCAGCTGTTCGTCTGTCTTTTGTTTAACTTTTCGCTCAACAGGCGTAGTCACTAGTGCCTCTTGACGTGAGCTCTCTTGACTGCCTAAATCTGTTTCAAAGGAGCAGAGGTTACTCGTCAAACTTTCTATTGTCTTTGCAGACTGTTTCAGCATTAGCCAACTTGACTTAAAGTTAAAATACCGTTCATCGAGCGTATTTAAAACTTTACAAATCAGGAACAATTCAGGGAGTTTGGCAGTTGTGTCAATTTTTGAAATTTCAACTTTTAAGTCATTCCATATGTTTTTTAATTTTGCAATTAGAGTAGGTATATCATCCTCCTTACTGCGACTAAATCCAAAAAACTTGAGACACAAATTGTATGCCCTGTCCTCAGTTTGTCCATCAAAGAGTCTATGTAGCTCTTGCCAAACTTCGTGTGCAGTTCTATAACGCATAATCTTTTTTAATGTATCTTCGTTCATGTTTGTAGTGAGCATTAGCAGAGCGCCGCTCTGAGTCCTCCTATACAAAGCCATAGCATCATTATAGGCGCTTGTTGCAGCATCACCTGCTTCTGCAGCTAGAACTGGTTTTTGGAGTTTTCCTTCTACTGCATCTAAGGCACCTACCGTACCTTCTAGCATAATAGAAATTTGATATTTCCATGTAGACCAGTTTTCCTTACCCACAAGTTTCCCGATATCTATTTTTGTAGAGAAATCCATGGTATAAACCTTTCTTTTCTTCCGGTGGGGCCCAAAACCTAATATAACTAGAGTGGCTTACCAGATATCCAAATATCGTAAGCGGTGGAGACGGAAGCAGATACGGGTATTACACACTGGAAGGGATCAGGCGAGTAGGTACACAACACGACACGAACACTTTAGACACTATTATTTACAATTTATGTAATACGTATATGACATATACTTTTTCAGTTTTTTTGAGAGTGACAATAAACAAGGAGGGTAGCCCTAGTAACCACTCTAGTCATAGACTTTATACTAGCGCTATTCAACCTTAATAGTTTCGTCTGCAATAAGGGCAACACTGAGAAAATTCGGAACGTCAAAATTGCATCGATGGCCATAAAATTAGCGTCTCAGCTTGATTGTTTTTTGTAAATAACAAATGTAAAATTAATACAGAATGGCTGCTAAAACAGTGGTAACGAAAAGCAAAGGTCCATTGCTGGATCCTGGCCTTTGTAGGTGTTGTCGGTCAATAAAAAAATGTCGACTTTTAAGTTTCGAATACGAGTGGAGCGGAAAGAAGGAAGTGTATTCTGATATGTTTATGGATTGTTTCGGATTGTTGGTAAGTTTTTAAATTCAGAACAAAGAAATAATTTTAAAAGACTTGTATATGAGCCGTGCTGGCAGGGTGCCCATCTTATTCCTTGGCGGCAAATGATTGTTAGAATAAAAATATTGGGGAATCACTTTTAATTATTTATTTTATTTCGCTACCCGCCCCATCTACGCAAGAGTGTACATATGTTATACAATAACCTTCCCTTAGAATCATTCTATATATTGCTAAAAACTGCATAAAAAACCATTGCAGCTTAAAAGATTTCAACAATCAGACTGCTGTTCCGACTTCATTTTATATAGTTACATTATTTTTAATTATCACAAATAACTATGGTACAATACTGTCAAATATTTACAACAGATAAAGCAAAGGACATTATTTGTTGAACAAAAGTAGTACAACAGATAATAAATTTTTATTTTTTCATAGTATATTCAATAAAGAATTCAATACATTTTTATGGAAAGAAAGCATAGAGCAAATATAATAAGAAGTCATATTGCTCAAGCTACAAGTACATAGTTGTGTAATTTATTAATTATTGATTAATAAATTACACACACTGTACCTACGACTTCATCCACCTGGAATAGTGAACTTACAAATCATAAAATATTTAATAATCTAACGCAAAAAAAGCCAATGAATATAATTCATCGTCATTTTTGAAGCTAGAATTCCCATACAAACTTATTCCCCTATTTTATTTTACCCCCTTAAAAGTAAATTTTTTACAAATTTTTAATATCACACTTATTTATATTTGACTGCCATAAAAATAAGTTTCTAAGCTTTAAAAATAATGATACTTCCATTCAATCTCATCTCCTTTTTTTGAACTTTTTACAACACTTTTTTCATATTAAAATGTAGCCTAAGTCCTTTCTCGGGGTCTGGACTATCTATGTGCCATTTTAAATTTAAACCAGTTCAGTAGTTTTAGCTTGAAAGCGCGACAGACAGACTGAGTTACATTTTGCATTAATAATATTGGTATAGATTAAATGAAGGTAAAAGTCTAAAAATTATTGTTTTAGATAAAATTACATTGATAAACTCCCTTTATAATTGTTTATCTCATATATCTTCAATGCACAGGTATTAATGAGATTTATTTATATATATATATTATAATTTTATTTACTTCAACATTTACAGTGTTAGGTACAAATGTTCACCTCATATTCAGAAAGCATGCAAATTATAATTCTTAGTGGTTTACAATTAAACTATATTATAAATACACAATATTAATTGTCAGGTCAATTCTCGCAAAGAGTAACAGCATTTTTAACGAGCCATTGGTGTAATTCTTTTTTAAATCTATTTAACACCATCTCTCGAATTATTTGAGGTATTTTATTATATATTTGTATGGAGCTGAAGTGTTTAACTCACACTTTTATGCAAGTTAGTTCTACATGGTGGCATTTTTAGTTTAGTTTATTTATTTATTTATTAGCATACAAATCAGATTACAGTCAATATAATAATATAACTAGGAGCGTGTAGTTCGGTACAAAACTGGATTGTAATCCAACACTATGTATGCCTAAGAGCTAAATTATATAGACGCATTCAATATACGCTAGATAAGGTTATATAATGAAAAGTAAAGTAAATAGAAAATGATATATAACTAATTGGGTCTCTTTTTATATTCCCATGGTTAAGGATGTGGTTAATGACTACAGCAACAAATACAAATCACGACTACACAGGCACCCAAATAAATTCGCTGGCCAACTTACAATATCCGAAAACATGCGTCGATTAAAGAAAAGGCGTGATATATTTATTTATTTATATATTTGACCAAGATAGTCAGACAGCACTGACTTTTTAAGAATGAGGACCTGCTCTACTGGGAGGGGCACTCTACCCGCTATATACGGAACACCACATCTACTTATAGTCCACCTGACTGATTGCAAGATTTCTAATAGAAGAAAAAAACATTTAGGTGTCTAATATACTAGATTATATTAGTATGTCGCATTGCACAATTACAATATAGTTATTAATTCACACACATAATATGCACCTTTTAGACATTGCAACGTGGAAATAAGGCTGACAATTTTTTTTTTATACTATGATAGTGGCAAACAAGCATACGGCTCATCTGATGGTAAACGGTTCCCATAGTCTGTGGACGCCTGAAACACCAGGGGTGTCACGTACGCGTTGCCGACTTATAAGAAACCTTAATATACCCTTCTTGAAATACCCCATGCTGTAGTCTCGTGAGAAAACCTAGGCAGGAAGTTCATTCCACAATCTAAGTGTACGCGGGAGGAAGCTCCTCTGAAACTGCACTGTCCGAGACCACTTAGGTTCCAACGTGTGGGAATGAATTCCCTGGGCGATGGTAAAAGGTGGCCGTAGGCATCATGTCGAACAATTCCTCAGAACACAGTCCATTGTATATTTATGTGAGTTATCTATAGATGATTTTGCAGTTATCACACCTTGATGGCGACAGCAAGGAGTCCTGTATATGTGCAACTTGTGTGACGAGACTGCGCGACGCGTGTGCATTCCGCCAGCAGGTGCTGCAGTGTGAAGATGTGTTCCTTAGTGCCAAGCTCGAGAGCAAAGGTTTGTTGATTGTTAGCATTTTTTTTTTAATTTATAACTCTCTATTGCACCTTTAAAAAAATATAAACAAAATTCATAGTATGTAGGTACAAAAGGCGTACTTATCGCTTAAGTGATCTCTTCCAGACAACCTTTGGGTATGAGAGAAGACAGGTGGTGGATGGCGCGTGATGGAATGAATAAACGTAATATATTATGTAATCATCAAGGCTGGGGATGGTGGGCATTATTAGTAATGGTAGACGTTAACAACTCCATTCCTAGCAATGTACCATATCAGGTTGACCTCCACGCAGTTCCTCCTGGAAAACATCATGATAAATTTCTACTGAAATTTCCAGGATAGGCTAACTGACCTGACCTCATGCTCATCTTATTATCCTCCACCGCTACCCCGCCAGCGTAAACCGCTAGCGCAGGCGGCTGCACTGTTCCATTATCATCCATAAAAAAAATCTACTGAAATTGCCCCTATGTACTAATTGACCTGACCTCATGCTCATCTTATTACCCTCCACCGCTACCCCGCCAGCGTAAACCGCTAGCGCAGGCGGCTGCACTGTTCCATTATCATCCAATAAAAAAATCTACTGAAATTGCCACGATGTGCTAATTGACCTGACCTCATGCTCATCTTATTATCCTCCACCGGCGTCCCGCCAGCGTAAATCGTTAGCGCAGGCAGCTGCACTGTTCCATTATCATCCATAAAAAAAAATCTACTGATATTGCCACGATGTGCTAACTGACCTGACCTCATGCTCATCTTATTACCCTCCACCGCTACCCCGCCAGCGTAAACCGCTAGCGCAGGCGGCTGCACTGTTCCATTATCATCCATAAAAAAAAATCTACTGAAATTGCCAGGATAGGCTAACTGACCTGACCTCATGTTCATCCTATCATCCTCCACTGGTGTCCCGCCAGTGTAAATCGTTACCGCAGGCGGGTGCATTATTCCATTATCATCCATAAAAAAAACACCAGTGGTGAGGGAAAGGGGATTGTTAGTAATGTGGAGTAATAGCCTCATTGCTAGCAGTGTACCACAGTTAAATCAAACTCAGCAAGAGTATATCACGATGGTTTCCATGGGGAACCGCGTGGAGGTCAACCTGACATGGTACATTGCTAGCAATGGGTCATCAGTTCACATTACCCATAATCCCTTTCTCTCTCTATGTATACTTACAAAAATTGTATTTAAATATGTATATCAGTTGGTTAATATAACACGAGCTCTGCTTAGCTTACGACTAGATGGCGCTGTGTTTATTGTCCAGGAATATTATTTATTTGTCATTTCTTAATTTTTCAGATGTGGATCGCAAACTGGAAGTGAAGGTGAAGACGGAGCCGATCACAGAAATGGATATAGATGATCAGATGGATGATCGGGATGACATCCACGACACCGGTAAGTCTACATTATATAGTATCTGCTTTTACGTCTACTGAACCTTTACTTACCATATTTTTTATTTATTTATTTATATATTTTATTGCACTAACATATAAAGGACATGAACAAAATTAAAAACAAAATATAAAACTAAGTACAAAAGGTCTTATCGCTAATGCAATCTCTTACAGACAACCTTTGGAAAGAGAGTGTTTATTTTACTTAGTAATTCGTTTTATGGCAATTGCGTAATCTGCCAGAAAAAAGATTTAAATGTCAAATAAAACAGTTCCTTTGCAAAAAAGCTTACTATAAAATTAAAGAATTCGTTAACGATAATAATGTTTTTATAGAAAAACTTTAAATCTATAGCACTGACAATATTATCTGATTACATTAATAATGAGTGCGTAGCGACTTCTATGTTGATTATCGCATGCCTTTTACTTGTTATACTGTAATTATTTATATAAAAAAAAACATCTATTAAAAAGAGCAACACACAAGTTTCTTGCTCATTCTTCTTGTGATGAATCTCCATTCCGAATGAGTGGTAGAATCAAAATATGACTATTCAAAAGTGCTTGTAATGTGTTTATTTTAATAAAGATTATTTCTATTTCTATTTCTATTTACAAAAAATAGAGTAGATGGCGCATGAGTAGAAATATAAAATTATATACACTTATGTAAACAAAATATACATCAGAGAACGTTACGTTACGTTACGTACACAGAAATGGGTTTTAAGAAATTAAGTACTAGTATATAATACACAAAATTATATATATGTCTATATCTTATATATAAAATTCTCGTGTCACAGTTTTCGTTCCCATACTCCTCCGAAACGGCTTGGCCGATTCTCATGAAATTTTGTGAGCGTATTGAGTAGGTCTGAGAATCGGCCAACATCTATTTTTCATCCCCCTAAATGTTAGGGGTAGTCCACCCCTAAGTTTTTTTTTATTTTAAGGCAAAACAACGTTTGCCCGGACAGATAGTACGTTAAGACTCGGTTAATAATATAAATAATGTATATTAAACACGAAATTTTAAAAGTAAACATGGTTTCTTACAGAAATGGAACATAAGATAGATATAGAGTTGCCAGAAACAAAAGTAGAAGTAGAAGAAGGCAAACGCGGGAGGAAACAGAAGATGAAGCGAGAACTATTGAGCAAGATGCACAAATTGAGAGAAAAATTGGACCGGATGCTGGAGAAACCAGGTATTTATTTTTTCTTCTTTTATTTCAATCTACAGTCAAGATTTAGTCTTCTTTGTTTTTACATACCTATAAACCGTAAAAACGGCTGCAGGAATTCTGATTAACTTTTCACATATAATAATAATAATTGTGGACAATTCACACAACGCCATTCAGCCCCAAACTAACAAATATACGTATTATACGGGGATCAAACCCGGAACTATCGGAAACTACAACATAATGCTAAACCATTGATTGCATATTAATGTTATATTTTCAGAAACCCTCCCGCCAAAAAAGGAAAAAGCAATCACCAACAAAAAAAAGAAACCATCCATAGACCACGATCATATGGTATACTCAAACGCGGTGACCATAGTGCAGAATTCATATGTGTGTCCTTTTCACAACAGAATCAGCAATTATTACTGTTATTACTGCAAAGATCAATTCTTAAATCCTAACGAATTACGAGACCACACCCTTTCTCATGATCCTACAGACATGTTCGAGAGTATGATGGAAAATAAGAAGATCCCTAAAATCGATATAACCAGAATCGATTGTCGATTATGCGACGTTAAAATCGATGATTTAACCACATTCAAAAGTCACATCACTAATGTTCACGGCAAGCACATATATCCGGTACAGAATGAGTTCCTCAAATTTCGCTTGTCTATGAATAATTTGAGTTGTACAGAGTGCGACAGTGTGTTCCCGTATTTTGATGTGCTCAAGAAGCATATGATCGAACATTTCGGCACTTTCATTTGTGACGTTTGCGGCGCCTGTTTTCTCGAGCAGAACTCCTTGCGGACGCATATAAAGTCCCACAGCAAAATCGAGGCGAATTTCCCTTGCGAGGTGTGCGGGAAGAATTTGAAATCTAAATACAGTAGGTACTTGCATATAGCTACAGTTCACGAAAAGAAGCCGACCGTCAACTGTTACAAATGTGAGGCCAGCTTCCTATCTTATGCGTTGAGGAATCGACATCTCATAGAAGTGCATGGCGACAAAAGGACGTTTCCGTGTAAATTGTGCGACAAAGTGTATAATCGACGGAAAACATTAATGGAGCACAATAGACGGAATCATTTGAAGGTTTACAGACATCAGTGTGATTTATGTGAGCAGAGGTTTTATTTGCCTTCTCGTTTAAAAGAGCATATGGCCACGCACACTGGCGAGAGGAATTTCCGCTGCGAATTCTGTGATAAGAGTTATCCAAGACTGCAATCTTTGCAGGAACATATTAGATCTCATAATAATGATAGGAGGTATAAATGTAACGTTTGCAGCTCGTCGTTCACGCAGAATGGCAGTTTGAAGAATCATATGAAGAGTCACCATCAAGGATATGATATGGATGGAACTTTTTAAATGTTACCTAGAGTTTTAAATGGTCAGAAATTGCTTCGCATGTGAGCTAATCAGATGAATAAACCTAATGTATCTACACGGCTACATTAGCCGTGTTGGTACACATCTATTCTTCTATTGCTGGTACGATTGTGAGTCTATATATACAGTACGAATTAGTACAACGTGCTAGGGATGTGAAACAGTTATGTAATCGATTATGCAAAATATTGACTTCTTTAATTAAAATCGATTTAAACAGTCTTATAATCGACCGTTATGGCAAAAGAGAAAAATTAATGCATAATCGATTTTTTATGTAAAGTGTCACATCCCTAGTGTTGCCAGCAATTAAAAAAAAGAATTATGATTCTCTCCATAATGTATTATAGACAATAAATTATTTAAATTATTAATATTTTTGCGTTTAATTGTTAACCTAATCTATGAACTTACACTGTTGCCTTGCCAGCGTTAGCATAGGCGGCCATATCATTCCGATTATTTAAAAAAAAATCATTGGGGGGAAAAGAAGATTGTTAGTAATCGAAAATTATCTATCAAGGATACAATAACACAAATTAATCGCAGAAAATAGAGTAATCAAATTCAATACTTAATTTAGAAAACAATTCAAACTGGAAAAGATCAAATGATTATGCAGTATCTTCTCCAATTCTGTGAAAGCCGATTTTGGAACCATTAAGTAGGTATTCAGTGTTTTTTTTTAATTTTATAAAGATTTAAGTATTTCTTATCAAAAATTTCTTTCTTTCCGAATGAGCGTTAGAATAAAAAAAAAATGTGATGACGATTCAAAAGTGCTTCAATGTAAGTTTATTTGAATAAATAATTTGAGGGCTTCCTTGGTCTGCGCTGCGCAGACGAAGTCGCGGGCACAGCTAGCGAGATATAAAGCTAATATCAGTTCAAGTTGTCATTATCTAACAGTTTATTGCCCAGATATTCACCAAAAGGTCATGAGAATGACATTTTGGTACTCTGAAATGACAACGATTGAGTGGTATCACAGGTGTCACATGATAGATCGTTCGTATCGTTTATTTGTTTGTTACTAATCACAGACAACATGTTCATAAGAATATACAATACATAATATTTATAAAATTGTGTTATTATGTGTGATCTGTAGCAATACAAAAAGGTCGAAGCTCAGCGTGGAACATTGTTCAGGGAACAAAACACTGATTTTCAGCTTTAACACATTTGAGGGTACGTGAAAATAATAATTGAAATAAATATAAAAATAAAAAAGAGCAATATTATTGGTGATTGTCTGTGCGGTGTGTGTATAATAAAAATTATGTAAATAGCTCAGAGTATAATTTGATATAATTGTAACTGAGTGGTAAGGATCAACAAAAAGAAAATATTATTAAGAGCAACGTAGAAAAAAATTTATTAAAAATCATTACGTGAGATTGCAACCGCTAGCCAAGATAACGTGATGTCCGTACTGTTGTTTATGTATATAGGCGACAGTTACCACTTACCATCAGGTGAGCCGTCAGTTAGTTTCCATTTCAATTCAAATAGACGGCCTCGGTGGTCTACTGGTTTAGCAAACCACTTTACTTCCGATGGTCGCGGGTTCAATACCCCGCACGGTGCAAACATTGTATTCAAGAGTATCATTGTTTCTATCGATCGGTCTGAATGTTTTCCATAGATATTATATGTGTGTTTATAAAAAAAAACTTATATAGTTTTTTTTATATCAGTTGTCTGATACCCATAACACAAGTTCTGTTTAGATTGGGACTAGATGGCGCTGTTGGATTTCTACAGGGTTATTATTATTTTCAATAAAAAATAAAACACTTGTATTATTAAAAATATTTATTACAAATAAATTAATCTAGTAAAATAAATAAACTCTCAAGTTATATTCTAAAACAAAGGAAACAATATCACTCTACTAAAATAACTATGTACATATATTCTCTACTTGTTTCGACATGTTCACAACAATTTACAACTGTCCTAAGATCGTACAAAATTTGAAAAACCACTCTAAAGTTATAACATTAAAGTCTAATTTTAAATATTTGATATATATACAAATTTAATATAAAAATCTTCTTTGTTAAGGGATGATATTGGAATGGTGCACCTGTCTCACATTAACGAACTTCCACACTTACACCACAACTTTGAGGAAAAAAGCTATTATTATTATTATACAACTAGCCGTACTCGCGACTTCGTCTGCATGGAATTTAACTTCATTTTTTCTAAAATAAAAGTAGCCTAAGTTACTCTTTATTACATCAGCTACCTGCCAATAAAAGTCCCGTCAAAATTCGTCCAGCCATTTCAGAGATTAGCCGGAACAAACAGACAGACACACAAAAATTGTAAATGTTATTTTGGTGTATGTACCGTATTTATATTCATATGTATGTAGTAAAAAACGGTTATTTCAATATTACAAACAGACACTCCAATTTTATATATGTATAGATAATAGTCTATTAATAGATAGATAGATATATCGTTTATTCGTGTTCTAGAGTGGAGACCGCGAATTGGCAAACGTAGTGTAGTACGACCCGCATCAAGGTGGAGTGACGACATACGTAGGGTTGCGGGTAGTAACTGGATGAGAAGGGCTGAAGATCGTGCGCAGTGGCGAGCCTTGGGAGAGGCCTATGTCCAGCAGTGGACTCCAGTGGGCTGAGGATGATCGCTTATTTGTTTGTTACTAATCACACACAACTTGTTCATAAGAATAGACAGTACGTAATACAACATAAGATTTACAAGTTTATGTTATTATGTGTGATCTGTAGCAATACAAAAACGAAGCTCAGCGTGGAACATAAGACTGATTTTCAGCTGCAACCCATTTGAGGGTACGTGAAAATAATAATTAAATATTTGGAGTATTGATTCGATTTACTAGGTTACTGAAGCAAAATATTAGTAGTTCACTTCCTGCTACGGCCCTACCTCGTGGTACCCTTCCTCGGCCTCTAAGCTCTGGTGCTGCCGCTTCATATGGTTCTTGAGGTTGACGTTCTGCGTGAAGGACGCGTTGCACATCACGCATTTGAACTTCTTGTCTGAACTGTGAGATTGCATATGCACCTTCAGGCCGCGGAGTCTGAAATTTTTTTTTATTTTACTAACAGACCCGCCACGCGTTGCTGTGTCTAAGGTTCTTGAATAAAATAATATTGCGACTATAAATTGAGATGTAAGCTATCTTATCTTTCAAGTTGGTCAATTTGCACGCATTATAGAAGGAAAAATAGATGGAAAGAGAGGAAGGGGAAGACCAAGAAAGCTATATGCAAAACAAATTGAATGTTCAAAACAAATTTGCATTCAATTTTTTTTATAATTAATTACGGTGGTCTAGAGGCTATATAATAATAATAATCTCAGGACAATTCACACAGCGCCATCTAAATCCAAGTTAAGCCAGCTAAAGCTTGTATTATGGGTACTACTTAACTGATGCAAATACATAGATTTTTTTCCCTAAATACATGCATATTATAAATAAGCACCCAAACCGATACAAACAATCGTACTAATGAATACAAATGTTTGTACCGTGCGAGGAATCGAATCCGCGACCATCGGAAATAAGACGGTGTGCTAAACCGCCGAGGCCGTCATATGTGTATATTTTATGTTTGTATCGTACAAGGAATCGAACCTTCGACCGAAATTAAGGGAATTGTTAATTTCCTAGTAATTTAATTTACATTGCTAACCAAATCATTTGGGTATTGTTAGTAATAACTGGACTATAACTCCATTGCTAGCAATGTACCATGGCAGCTTGACCTCCACATGGTTTCCTCTGGAAACCATCGTGATATACCTGGTGAATTTACCATGATGGGCTAACTGACCTGACCTCATGCTCATCGTCATCCACTGCTGCCCTGCCAGCGTAAACCGTTAACGCAGGCGCGTGGGCCATTCTATATCATTTATAAGATACCAAATCATTTATTAACCTTGGATAACTCTTCCCGCAGTATTCACATCTGAAATTCCTCTCGCCAGTGTGCGTTGCTATATGCTCCTTCAACCTCGACGGTAGATAGAACCTCTTCTCACACAAATCACACTGATGCTTGAAGATCTTCAAATGAAACCTCCTGTTATGTTCCCTGAGGGACTTCCTACTATCATACGCCCTCTCACAGTGTTCACACGGGTACATCCTCTGTTCACCATGCACTTCTATCATATGTCTATACCTCAGCGTGTAAGAGAAGAGAATCTCATCACATTTATTACATTGGTATGCTGGCTCCTTCTTATGCATTCTTGCTACATGCAAGTACCTGCTATGTTTCGACTTGAAGGTCTTCCCACACTCCTTACACGGGTAATTCTCTTCTATTCTCTGATGGGACCTCTGATGCAGCATCAGCATTCGCTCCTCAAAATAATGGGCCCCGCATACATCACATATGCAGGTACCGAAATGTTCCGCCATATGTTTCTTTAAAGCATGGAAGAAGCTGAAAGACACTCCACATTCGAGGCATGTCAGATTGTTCACAGTCAGTTTGAAACATAGAAACTCGTTGTTGATCGCGTAGAAATTGATTCCGTGTGTCGTTAGATGCTGTTTTAAATTTTCTATATTGTCTATGTGTAGGTTGCACAATCGACAATCGACCTTCATCACATCGAGTTGCGGCAGCTTTTTGTTTGACACCGTGCTTTTGAATGTGGTAGGATCGTGGGTTGACGTGTGCTCTCTGAGTTTGCACGGGTCTGTGAAGACTTCTCTACAGTAGACGCAGTAGTAGTCGCTGAAGGAGGTATCGAATGGGCAGACGTATGAGTTCTCGACTATGGCGATTGTGTTGTGGAATGATTTGTGGTCATTGTCGATGGTCCTTTTCGGCTTGGGTTGCATTTCGTCTGCAATGGAATACATATTGAAGTTATTTGGTTCTTTTTATATATTTAATATCAGGACAATTAACACAGCGCCATCTAGTCCCAAGCTAAGCGGTGCTTGTGTTATGGGTACTAAAACAGCTGATATAAATACATACATTTATTTTACATACATACATAATATACGTAGAAACACAAACTCATAAATAAAAATGTTTGTACCGTGCGAGGTATCGAACTCACGACCATCTGAAGGCGTTGTGCTAAACTGTGGTCCTAGGCAAACCGAAATTGGGCGACCATAATAGATCTATGTATAGGTAGCAATAGCCCAAACTCCTTAATAAATGAAAGGGTGATATAGGGGACGAAGTTCGTAGTCTGTACAAACTTCACCCCCTTCCTATTTCATCCCTTTTTGATGTCCTGCTATCTGTATCTATCTGTAAAGCTTATAATTTCTAAATTACCATACTCCTCCATTTTTCTCAATTTCGCGCTCATTTCTGCAATTTTTTCCAACACTTCCTCTCTTGCCAGTTGCTCTTCTCTCATTGGAATGGACTTTTTAGATTTCCTCTTCGTTTTAATTCTTTCTTTCTTCTTTTTCAGTTTTCCCGATTTTTTTGGTTTTATTTGCGGTTCGCTCTTGACGCTATCTCCGTCTGGAATTTGATATAATATTTACATCTTTAGATATAAAAATTACGTGTCACGTTGTTTGTCCGAGATGGACTCATAAACTACTGAATCGATTGCAAATTTGATTTGCACATTGTATGCAATTTGATCCAACTTGAAAGATAGGATAGCTTACATCTCAATTTATAGTCGCAATATTATTTTATTCAAGAACCTTAGACACAGCAACGCGTGGCCGGGTCTGCTAGTTGTATATATAACATGAAGTGACTTCCGCTGTCTGTTCGCTTAGATCTTTTAAACTACGCAACGGATTTTAATGCAGTTTCTAGAAGTAAATATTGTAATTCAAGAGGAAGAATTGTATGCATAATACATGTACACCCGAGCGAAACCGGGGTGGGTAGCTAGCATAGTATAAAACAATGTCGACGCCGCTTCAGTTTGCTTATATCTTTCAGTTACGCAACGGATTTTAATGCAATTTTCAGCAACAGATAGAGTGATTCAAGAGGAAGGTTTATATGTATAATACATGCATGTTATATAGGGTTCATGATTTCTCGAGCTTTTCAATTTCTCGGGTCTCGAGAATTCTCGAGGTCAATTTCTCGGTCTTCTCGGGTTGTCGAGAAATTTACATTTACGTACGTTTTCTCATATTATTTGGTTCCAATAACGTCAAAAAATTCAGTGGTTTTCCTCTCAAATAAAAGTATCAAATTAAACTTTTGAGTATATTTAAAAAAATAATAATTTATACATATGTATAAATTATTATTTTTTTTAATAGAGAAATAATATTAGATCCTTACATATGAAATTGGCGTTTTGTGGTACTGGTCACTTTGATCTCAAATATCTCCTCTTTGGTTAGGAATTTCATTTCCAAATTTATACAGCTATTCACTTTGGGTCACTCACAGCATACAAAATGAAAAAACTTAAAATATCGCGTTATTTACGAGTACGAGTTCCGCTGTGGCACCAGTGCTACACGGTGCTAAACGGCTCGAAGTATTAATGATGTGTATGGCAGTGGTCTCGCAAAAGAAAACACGTGCATTTTTGGTTCCAAAGTTTTCGTTCTGGAAATTTCGACCTGCAAAGCAATCTCCGTGGGCGGCCGGAATCCAAGGTTAATAATGAAGAATTGGAAGCGGATCCATCGCAAACCCGTCCGAGTTAGCTGCAAGCTGCGGTGTTAGTGACAAAACTGATTTAATCCTTTAGCAAATTGGGAAGACGAAAAAGCTTTTACCCCAGGGTGGTACCAGTAACCATGTTACTGGAGAATCCACCCCTGAGATATCACACTCAGGCTGCCCTGCGTATTCTGGGGTGGGCAATTCTCCGCTCAATTTGGCCAGAAGGAAACCGAGCAAATCTCCATCGGCGTTTTCTTTGCTCATAGTCAGTTTTTGCAACATCAGGGGTATTCATTCCAATCTCAACGCCGTTCACCACCATCTAGAGTCGGCGAGTCCGGCTTTGCTCTTCCTTACGGAGACGCAAATATCCTGTCCCGACGAAATTATTGAGTCCTTGGCGTTGATATATCAAGTGACGTTCAGTTTTGCGGTCATTTGGAGGACAAGGCTAAAATAGCCTCAAAGAAGCTTGGTTTGCTCAGTAGAGTATTTCACGGCGGCCCATCGCTTGCAATTATACAAGGCGCAGACCCGCCGCATCTGGAATACTGTTCTCATCTCTGGGCCGGAGCACCACAATACCAGCTACTTCCATTTGACCGCATTCAGAACCGAGCAGCCAGAATCATTGGTAATCAACGTCTATGTGACAGACTCGACCCATTGGCTTTGCGGCGAGATATTGCATCTCTGTGCATTTTCTACCGCATATATCACGGGGAGTGTTCTGAGGAATTGTTCGGATTAATACCAGCTGCTGAGTTTCACCACCGTACCACCCGCCAGAAACTGAAATACCATCCTGATAATCTGGATGAATGGCGGTCTTCCACAGTACGGCTTTCTGTGCCTCGCACAACCACATTATGGAATCACCTTCCAGCAATGGTATTTCCGAACCGATACGATATTGAAACCTTCAAGAAAAGATCTTATTCCTTTTAAAAAAAGCCGACAACGTACTTGCAATTCCCCTGATGTTGCGGGTGCTCATGGGCGGCGGTAATCACTTACCATCAGGTGAGCCGCATGCTCGTTTGTCCCCTGTGTTATAAAAAAAAAAAAAGCTTGAAAAGTGGGTCCCTCATGAATTCAATGGAGTAAATCGACGTACGCGCGTAGCCTGCTGCGTTACATTAATCAACCGGCATAATAATGAAGGCATTTTAAATCAAATCATTTCCTGTGGTGGAAAGTGGATCTTGTACGATAATCGGAAACGCTCATTGCAATGGCTAAACCCTGGCGAACCAACCAAATCCTGCCCCAAGCGAAATATGGCTCAAAAAATGTTACTTGTGAACGTTTGGTGGACTATTTACGGTGTTGTTCACTTCAGCTTTCTTAAATCTGGCTAGACGATTACGGCAAATGTGTATTGTCAGCAATTGAGAAACCATGATGGAAAAGCTAGCTGCTAAACAACCGAAGCTGGTCAATCGCCAAGAACGCTTGACCACATAGTGCACAACAGACAGTACTTCCCGGACCTTGCTCCAACAGATTACCATTTTTTTTCGAAATTCGGTAACTTCTTGCAAGGGATAAAATTACACTCCGATGGGGCAGTCCAAAGTGCAAAAACAAAAGGCAAAAGTGCATAAATAGAAATGGTACATACTTTGATTAAATAAATATATTTTATATATTATTTACTTTGATATATTTTGAAAAAAAAAATACTTTAGGTTATTCCCTTACAAAACGCCAATTTCAATTTTTTAGGACCTAATTATTCAGACTTATATTTATAATGATAGCACCATTTTTGGCTGCTTATTTAGATAAAAAAAACAATGTAAACAAAAATAGTTTCTACAAAATAAAAAAATAACATGAAAGAAAACAAAAACGTTAATATCTTAAATTATTGCGCCGCCACGCAAGAAAACAAAGGGCATTTAATTTCTATATAGGTACATGATTTCTCGAGTTCTCGACTTTTCTCGAGCTTGATTTCCCGGGAACAAAACCCATGAATTTCCCGGGAATTCTCGAACCGAGAATTCCCGGGAATGAACCCTAGTGTTATAGTACAGAACAAGACGAGAAATTCAAAGACTTGTAATGCATCCCTGAAACCAGAGCGGGTCGCTAGGTCAGGATAAAAGAATTGCTTGTTTAAAGTAATTTGTATTGTACCATTATCAATATGATCTGGAACATCATCATTGTCATCATCTATCATTGATTCCACATTAACATCATTGTTCTCCACCTTGACTAGTGTTTCTGTGTTTATTTTTTCTTCTGATTCTGTGAAATAGAAATAGAAACAATCTTTATTCAAATAAACTGATTACAAGCACTTTAAATAGTCATATTTTGATTCTACCATTCATTCGGAAAGCAGACTCATCACAAGAAGAATGAGCTAGAACCTTGTTTGTTGTTCTTTTGATGATTATTAAAATAAAAATAATTGTGTATAGGTCTGTGTGTGGATGTGTGTGTGTGTGTGTGTGTGTGTGTGTGTGTGTGTGTGTGTGTGTGTGTGTGTGAGTGGATGTATGAGTGGAGTGTGAATGGGTGTGTTTGTAAGTGGGTGTATGTGAGTGGATATGTATGATTGGGTGTGTGGGTGTGTGTGAGTGGGGTGTGGGTGTGTGTGAGAGGGTGTGTGGGTGTGTGTGTCTATGTAATTGTTATTATTACATACCTCCTTCATGCACGTGTATTTCAGTCTGCAGCAACTTCTGTTCGCAACAAAGCACCTGCCGCCTGAACGAGCACGCCTCGCGGAGTCGCGTAACGCATGTGGCGCATATCAAACGATCCGTAACCTCTCCGTCCAAGTGGGACAGCTGCAATTCATAATTATTTATTTAACTTCACTGCACAAAATATAAATTATAGTACAGTACATTGGCAAATGCGATATACAACAACAACAACGTAATCTATACAAATAAATAAAACGAAATTGTCTGTTTTTAATTAAAAAAAAATAATAACTGTAGTTCCGATTGGCAAAAGATAGGAACATATGGAAAGCGCTGGAGGAGGCCTTTGTGTCTAAAGGACACGTTGACTCAGAGACTGATGTCCAGAATTAAAAGTAACATATACATATATATAACTAATATTTCTTTTATCTTTTAAACTTTTTTTTTTATTGGAAAACCAAGGCTATTTACAAACATAGTTATAAACATAATTAAATCAGAACGGCTACTTACAGGTTGTTACGGATAGAAACTTAATATAATATAAATTACAGTACTAAGAGAAGAGGCGTGTATGTGTCGTAAGTACTCATAAAATCATATATCATAAAATAACATATAAATTAAAACATATGCTGAAACTAACAAACAAATATTTTTAAATAATGGAAATGCATATTTAATTAAATATTTCTGTTACATTTAATAATTTCAGTTAGATTAAATATTTTGTGTCGATTATATAAAGGCTTTGAATTTGAATTTCACATAAATGGTTTACATTAAATGTGGATGTATATAGGACACTAATATCAAACATATAAACTTTTCAAATTTTTTGTCATTCTGTTTTTTCTTACTTTTCTTTTCGGCTGGAACAACTTCAACGGGACTTTCACTCGCATCTAGCTAATATTATAAGGAGTAACTTAGGCTACTTTTATTTTAGAATTTTTATCTATTTTAATTCCTTGTGGATGACGATGAAGAAGATGCATTTTAATTCCTGGTGAATTTGTCACAATGGTCAAACAAACCTGAGCTCATACTCATCTTATCATCCTTCACTGGTGCCTATCGCAGGTGCACTATTACTGTATCATGCTTTAAAACTTTCGCCGTTACAAGTTATCACTTTTGCTGTATATGTTATGAACAGATTGTCCTCCTCTATATGGCATGGGTCTGGTGTTTATAAGCTTCACAAAATAATAATGCAGGAAACATAATCACTGATATAATACGCTATTCCTGTGCTACATGATATACAATACTGGGGAGAGATGTGCAGTAGATGCGCTATGAAACGCTTTGTAATCTGATCTTACTCGTATTAATACTGTATATGTGCGTGCAGAGCACACTTACTGTAGTATATAGAAAAATAACTCTCTCGTGTAAATTCACTAATTTATGTTCAACTGAAACATTTTAAAAGCTACATGTCGGCTGAAGTTGGTGATATGATTTTGTACAATGTCTAAATGGATAAGCATACCGTAAGAACTGTTATCCTAGAAGGTGTAGAATAGAGTACTTAGTCAACATTTTACTACTAAAATTACGTGTTATTTAGTAAAGTACTAAACGGAAATGTAGTTTGTATTATAATAACAATAAAGACTTCAGCATTACATCATTATATATTGATATACAAGTAAATTAAACAAATTACAAACCAGTAATCCGAAGCAATCCACAAACATATCGGAATACACTTCCTTTTGCCCCGACCATTCGTATTCTACGTTTAAAAGACGACATTTCTTCAAACCACCACAACAACGGCACAAGCCTGGATCGAAGACCGGTCCCTTTCGATTGAGTATACTCATTTTATCAAAATTATAAAAGAAATATTCATAAAAGTAGGGAATTAAAATGTTTTGAATTGAATATCAATAAACTATTGACAAATTTTAATACAATTCGACTGACAATGAATGACAGTGAATGACAGTAAATTAACGCGTTAACGTTCCATTTCCCATTTCAATAACCGCCCGAAAAAGAAAACGCTTACTGAAGTGACGAATGAAATAAATAATTGTTGCCTTAATCATTCTTACAATATTTTTAAAATAATACAATGAACAATTTATAATTTTCTAACAAGTGGCTATAGTAAATTAAATAAATAAAAAGTGAAAATTATATATACGTGAAAATGGAATGTTATTAATACATTGCTACTAGTCACTAGATGGCATTGTAGAACATATGTAAATTGTAGAAATATAGTATTTGCCTCTCACGCTGTAAAATTATACAGTTTTTAAGCAATGTATGTATTTAGTAGTCGACTTGCGAGGATGAAAGAAAATAATTTGTTAGATATTTTTGTGTTGTACAAAAATACCTACGCTATAGAAATAATAAACATTTTCAAATTCACGTAAACAAATATTTTCGATAACAGATAATAATAATAAGGAAATATGACTTGAAAAGGAATTCCAAAATAGGATACTTTTTCTATTGTCAATAATGTTCTTTTTAGAAGTTAAAAACCACGCAATTCGATTAATTTTGTTGATTATCTATGCTACACTTATTATATGGAATAACAAATAAATAAATGACTTTGGTATAAAGTTTAATAACGTAATATCTATTTACAAAACAATTTTATTATCACAAACAAATAAATAGATTAATATACAAGTTACATTTCTGTTGCATTGCAATTGCAATTTTCCCGCCATTTTTTTTTTCATGTAGAGATGTGAAAAAGCAATGAATTATCGACATTGTGTATTCAAAAGCATACACATCTTTCTACATAGTAAAAGCGCTGTGTATCCTTTAGGAACACGTTCTCTAAACATCTATTACACACATAATAGCCCTGGCCTGTCGCATTTTTCCGATGTAAATCGTCTGGGAATCGGTGATTTTACAAAAAGTTTTGTTTATTTAAACGGTCACTTAGGGTCTGGCGCTGAGGGTGTTAAGCACAGAACACCAATATCCTAGTGTTAAAAATCAAATTCTTGTTTTTTCATACTTAAATGTGTCATAGACAACAAGATTCTATTGCGTTTATTTACATAGATATTTTTATTTAACGACTGCAATATATGCGATGCTTCTTAAAATAGCAAATTTGTTCCTTCGATAAATATATAAATATAACTAAACATTTAATCTTTATCAAATAAATATAAATATGACTAAACAAAATGTTTAATTATATTTATCGGGTATATTATTTAATTCGTAACACTTAAGCTAACATTTTCTGAATAGATAATATTAAAAAAGAGTTTTTTCATTGACTATCTGTTAATTGACCTAAATAAACCGATATCCTGTTTCGAGTAGAAGAATAAATGGTCACGTTAGATACACGCTCATCTTGAGAAAATAGATTTAAGAATGTAACGACTCTGCAATATATGCAATGCTGTTATTGTTTTTCTATTCTTCGAATAAAGATTACCAATTTTCATAAAATTAGCCGACACATACTGTGTAGTTTCCTCTTCCATTTGACAAAACCTGTACATCTTTGTTACAAATTAGTTTGTACTTTCAATCATCATCTTTGACCTCAAAACCCTGATGTTTAGTACGCATATGCGTCTTCAGATTATTCGCCTGCGTATACGCATTATTACATAACGCACACTTATATCTCTTTGCGTTCTCATGGGATTGTAGATGTACTTTCAACGCCCGCAGTCGAGGGTAAGTCTTCGCGCAATATTCACAGCGGTAATTCCTCTCTCCTGTGTGAGACATCATATGGTCTTTCAGAGCTGATGGCAGATAGAACTTCTTATCACAAACCGTACACTCATGTTTTAGTATCCTCAAATGGTTCTTCTTGTTATGTTCTCTTAAAGTCTTCCTGTTATTGTATACTTTATCACAATTCTCACATGGAAACGATCTATGTTCACCATGAACATCCATCATGTGTTTATATCTTTTATAATATGAGAATAACACTTCATCACACTTGTAACAAGGATACGATGGCACAGTACTATGCCTGTGCGTCATGTGGTAATAAAGACCATGTTTAGACTTGAAATTCTTGCTGCAGTGTTTGCAAACGTATGTTTCTTCCGGTTTCTGGGCGTGAGTCTTCATATGATTGGATAGGCCGTGCTGATCGAAGTAGTGGGCGCCGCATACGTCACAAATATGGCTGCCAAAATGCTCGGCCATGTGTCGTTTCAACGCGTGGAAGAAGCTAAAAGTGTTGCCACACTCCACACAGCTCACTTTCCCCGGTTTGAGGCGAAACTTCAGAAATTCGGTATCAATTTCATCGTATATCACTTTATTGTGTACCGTAGTGATGTGAATTTTCAGTGTTTCGATGTCGTCGATTCTAGCGGCGCATAATCGACAGTCGACTCTGGTTATATCGATTAAAGGGATCTTCTTCTCGATGGCTACGTCTTTGTAGTCTCTGGGGTCGTGGGTCATCGTGTGGTCGATTAGTTTGTCGGGTTCCGTGAACAGTTCTCTGCAGTAGATGCAGTGATAATCGCTGAAGATGGTGAAAAATGGACAGACGTAGGAGTTCTCGATTATAGTGAGCGTGTTGTGGTACGTGTTAAATTCTTTGTCTGTGAATTTGTTGGATGTGACTAATGGTTGTTGAGTTAAATTATTTGTTTTATCTGAAAAACGAAATCATAAATGTAATATACAGATTAGTAGGAAAATAATGTTGACTTTGTTGGTCTAGCGGTTTAACATACCGCTTCTTATGGTCCAAGGTTCGATTCTACATATGGTGCAAACATTTTTATTTCTGAGTATGATTATTTGTAACGGTGTGGGTATTTTCTATGTATATTCCCCTCCGATAGATCCCACGTCCAATTCAAACGGGGATCGATATTACGACGGCCTGAGCCGAGGTTCGAAACCCTAGTGGTATCAGACTAAAGTCGTATCCGTCAGGGGGGAGTTGACCTTGGTGCCATTTGCACTCGCCCCCTATCGTCCGGTGAAGCTGTAAAGGCCAGCTGCGGCCAACAGCATTAGAGCAGTCCGAAAAAAAATGTATGCATATTATGTATGTATAAACCAAATATATGTATTTATATCAGTTGTCTAGCACAGGCTCTGCTTACCGTGTGCTTACTGTGTGAATTCTCCAGGGCTATTATTATTTTCAATTACCTTTTTTCTGTATAACTTTTAACTTGTCCTTCATTTTCTTCAATTTAGCCAACATGTCCCGTTTAGCTTTCAAATGTTCCACATCAGGTACCGTTTTATTCAATGTGTTTTCAACATCTACTCCATCTTGTTGTCTTTCTGTCAGCAATTCATTTTTAATTTGACTTTCTGTAATGATTAAATAAAATCTATTAATATAAATGAAATTGGAGTGTCTGTTTGTAATATTGAAATAACCGTTTTTTACTACATGCATATAAATATAAATATACCGTATTTATATTACCAAAATCACATTTTTTACCATTTTTGTCCGTCTGTCTGTTTGTTCCGGGTAGTCTCTGAAATGGCTGGACCGATTTTGACGGGACTTTTTTTGCCAGGTAGCTAATGTAATAATGAGTAACTTGGGCTACTTTTATTTTAGAAAAAATATTTTATTTTAGAAACAAATCGTTAAATTCCACGCGGACGAAGTCGCGGGAACAGTCATAGTTCTTTCCGCAGAAGAACCAGAGTGACCGACATAGCCCGAAGCATTGCAAAACTGAAGTGGCAATGGACAGGGCACATAGCTCGTAGGACAGATGGCATTTGGAGCAGTAAAATCCTCGCGTGTGTGAAGAACTCTGGTCGAGATCGCTGGAAGACGTTGGATGCGAGGAGCGCAGGACCGATCGTAGTGGATATTTTTTTCCGTACCGTCCGTCCATTCAGAAGAAGAACTTTTTTTACGTTTTTTTTAAATGCCAGTTTATTTACAATGTACATTTATGTAGGTGTCTATGTATATCTAATATTGAAAATCCCGTGCATGAACAACTATTGCCATGCACGCTCGTCATTCAAGTAATCGTTTAGTGAGTAATAGGCTTTGCTCAGTAAATATGATTTAACAGATGTTTTGAATTTATTTAAGAGTAATTCCAATATATCCTCTGGTATCTTATGGTAAATAGAAATAAAAATAATCTTTATTCAAATAAACTCATTACAAGCACTTTTGAATAGTCATATTTTGATTCTACCGCTCATTCGGAATGCAGATTCATCACAAGAAGAATGAGCAAGGAACTTGTGTGTTGCTCTTTTTTTTTATATACCTATTCCCATAAGTTCCGATTTGCATACATATCTAGAAATTCCAACGCAAAAGAAGTATTGTAAGACTGTAAAAGAAGAGATACAGAAAGCCTGTGGAAGATATAAACACAGATTAGCTGGATAAAGAACCAGTTAGCTTCAAAACTACTGGATATAAATAACTGTTCATCTAGATTAAAAAGGGCTCGCCTTGCCAACATCTAAAGAAAGTAAATGATAACATCAAAAAATCTGATTATAGCTATAGGCTGATAGCAGATAGAAAAAAAAAAGTTCCGTATTGCCTTTTTTTAAACGATACTTGAGGACAACAAGTTTGTTTTTAAATCTAGTATTTATATTATAATTATAATGTTACCATTATCGCTGAGTGGCTCAAGATCCCTTTCATCATCACTATACATATGACTGTCGTCATTCTCCGGTTTCACCACCACCTCCACTTTCACATCAGAGGAGGTGCTATCTGAAATTTAAGAGATACATTATCTATACATATAAATAAAATTGGAGTGTCTGTTTGTAATACTGAAATAACCGTTTTTTACTACATGCATTTGAATGCTATATATATGTATATATATTCATATATATATATACGGTACATATACCAAAATAACAATTTTCATCATTTTTCTCCGTCTGTCTGTCGGTCTGTTTGTTCCGGCTAATCTCTGAAATGGCTGGACCGATTTTGACGGTACTTTTTTGGCAGGTAGCTGATTTATAAGGAGTAACTTAGGCTACTTTTATTTTAGAAAAATAAAGTTAAATTCCACGCGGACGAAGTCGCGGGAACAGCTTGTCTTTCATATAAATGCAAAAGTAAATCTGTCTGTCTCGCTTCACGTCAAAACTACTGAACCGATTTAAATAAAAATTTGGTACACAGATAGTCGGGACTCTAAGAAAGGATATAGGCTACTTTTTACTGCCAAAAAAGGGTTGTAATATGGTTGAAAGGGGTGATGGAAGTTTGTATGGAAGAATAGTCATTTTTGAAGTTGGGACGATGAAACTTTTTTCTTTGGATTTTTTGTGTTAGATTATTGAATATTTTTTCTTTATTTGGAGAAGGTCACTGTAACACGCGAACGAAGTCGCGGGCACAGCCAGTAAGTAATAACCCTGGACAATAAACACAGCTCCATCTAGTCTATCGATAAGCAGAGCTTGTGTTATATATTATAATAATAATAATAATAATAATAATAAACTTTATTCATAAATGCACGGTACAATTAAATATAGTTAGCCCTGGCTTTCGATTTAGGTGAAACCTGTGTCACGAAAGCCAGTTCCCTCCAACATTCTGTAAACATTTTTTGTACATCTGCAGTTGTGTACATAAAGGAATACAAAAAAAAAAAAGTTAAATACTTTTGAATACAAAAAAAAAAAAAAATGTATAAAGAGACGCTATTCTTTTTGACATACTAGATATTTTTATTATGTATGTTTGTTATATTATATATGGTTTTAGAAATATTTATTATTTCTAAAAACATATATAATATCCATAAACACCCAGACCGATAAACAATCATACTCATGAATACAAATGTTTGCACTGTGCGAAGAATCTAACCCGTGACCATTGGAAATAAAGCAGTGTGCTAAACCGCTACACCACAGAGGCCGTCGAAAAGTCGCCGTCTTTTGTTATAACATCGGCAGTGGGTCTCCATGCTGGTGGTGAATGCCCCGGATGATTAGTACCGCGTCAGTGGCACCAGGTACTTTTTTTTTAAACAATCGAATAATATAGAGCGCAAGGGGAAGACCGAGACACAGCTATATCAACTGATAGAGAACCGATACGATATTAAAACCTTCAAGGAAAGAGCTTATTCCTTTTTATAGGCCGACAACGCACTGGCAATTCGCCTGGTGTTGCGGGTGCACTTGGGCGGAGGTAATCACTTACCATCAGGTGAGCCGCAATATATGTATATATAATTGTAAAATAATAGCGAACAAGCTGACGGAGCATGGGCCTAATATGGAATGGTGCCGCCTGTGCTAACGGTTCACTGTCCCGACATACGTTTATTTGCCATATAAATTTATATTGCTTTTTAAAAAATAGGGTTGGTGATAGAAGCCTGAAAATTTAAGGTTGTATGTATTTTAATGCTTAATAATAAAAAAGAAAATAAAAAAATTGTCGAATAAATTAAAATTTTTTTTGGGTTGAGCCACCCTTAACATATAGGAGTAAAAAAAATTTGGTATAAACCTATTCTCATACTATACAAATATATAATATGTAACAAATATCATAATATATAATATATAATAATATATATGAATATACATATAAAATTACATTAAAATCGGTCAAGCTGCTTCGGAGGAGTATAAACAAGGAACCTGTGACACGAGCATTTTGTATATTTTTATTATTAGCCTTCATAGCCAAGTTAATGATATTTATAGTGAAGTTAATGATGTTTTTCTTAAAGCAATTCCACTGCCTCCTCCAATAACCTCCATGTTCTACTATCCAACACTTTCCTTCACCAGATGGAAAGTGTTGGCACCATTTCAATTATATCCACATGCAGATGACTTTGTTCAAAGTGTAACTCAGTAAAAATAATATCAATATACCTTCATGGACTTGTATCTTAGATTGCAGTAGTTTTTGTTCACAGACCAGCACTTGGTGTCTGAAAGAGCATGCCTCTCGTAGCCGCGTCACGCAGGTCGCACATATGAGCCGGTCCATTTGTTCCACTTCTAAATGGGACAGCTGTAGTAATAATATTATTATTATCTGATCACAATGAGCAACAAACAAACTATGGACGAGTGTGTAGCAGTTTCTATGTTGATTATCGAATGCCTCTTACTTGTTATACTGTAATTATTTATTTAAAAAAAAACCTTTATTCAAAAAAGGAACTCATAAGTTTATTGCTCATTCTTCTTGTGATGAAACTGCATTCCGAATGAGTGGTAGAATCAAAAATATGACTATTCAAAACTGCTTGTACTGAGTTTATTTGAATAAAGATTAGAAATAAAGATATCTAAATAATAATAAAAATAATTGTTATTAATATTTTAAATGTTAAAGTAAGTCTGTCTGTTTGTCTGTCTCGTCAAAACTACTGAAACAATTTAAACGAAATTTGGTACAGTTGTTAGTTTAGAATCTGAGAAAGGACATAGGCTACTTTTTAATGAGAAAAAGCGTTGTAAGGGGTTGAAAGGGAAGATGAAAAAATAATAATTTTTTTTTTGGCCTTTTTGAAATAAAATATAATGTTTTCTTTATTTGGTCAACGTCACAGGCGAAGGAAGTCGCGGCCACAACTAGTAATATATGAAAAAAGATTTTAACTCACCATCAAACCAAAACAATCCACAAACATTTCTGAGTACACTTCTCTTTTGCCTTGCCACTCATATTCCACGTTTAATAAGCGACATTTCTTTGTAGCACCACAACACCGACATAGGCCCGCGTCTATCACTGGTTTATTTTTATTTCCACTCATTTTCTAATTGAGAAAATATAATTTGATCACAATTTCATCATTACAAATTTATCGGTGTTGAATGTTGATGTAACAAAGTACTCTGTGCCAATATGTTTTCTTCTCTATAAATATTGTAGAATCTGACATCAATACATTGTTCTTTTTATTTTGGCAACAAACAATAATTTTCTTACACTATATAATCTATTCCACAAGAGATGGCGTTAAATAAATTTGATAATATGGAAATTTGAACTTAAATAATTAACTTAAGTTGGTAAAAGCACGTTTTTTATGTGTATTATCGAATTTTTACATTTAATTGTATTATCAATGGTTGAATAAATATATAAAAGTAAATAAAAGCTATACAACTTGCTATAAACAACATGATAACATAACAGCTACTTTACGATAGATGGCAGTGAACTTGAAATAAAATTATACTAACGTCAAGTCGATTAGTCTGTATCTGTCATGTCATTGAAGATAGTTTGAGTGACTGACGAATTAAAATTGATTTATTTACTATTTTACTTAATTTTCTTACTTTCCCTTATCGTTCGTAGAAAACGAAATTTATTTAAAAATGTAATTCTATATTTGTTCTTTTTATTATACTGCATTATTTTATTAAAATGAGTGCAATAAAGGGTAAAGGTCCAATATACGACCCGGGCTTATGCCGATGTTGTGGGACCATGAAGAAATGTCGCGTTTTGAATGTAGAATACGAGAACAGCGGCAAAAAGGAAGTCTATTCGGATATGATGATGGACTGCTTTGGGCTACTGGTAAGTTTTTAAACTTTCACCATTAAGACTATTATTTTAAATGGGGTAATCCGAAACATTGTCAACTTTATATGTTGGGGTGAACTAAAAACTTATATGCTTACATTACGTATGGTATATTTTTTTTATGGATGATAATGGAATGGTGCGGTAACGGTTTACGCTGGCAGGACACCAATGGAGGATAATAATCTTAACATCCTAAGTGCTTGTGAGGGAAGTTACCTCTGAACTTCTCACTTTAACAGAGTGACTAAAGATGACAAAAGACACTCTTTTCAAATATTCAAACATACTTCATCTGCTATACCAACTAGTCTAGACATTGATTGCAAACCTCATTCTAACACTGCTCATGTTGATCTGAACCTGAGCAGTTAGCCCATCTCAACATTTTCTTCACCTTTTGTCATGATGGTTTCCACTCGGAAACCCATGGAGGTCAATCTGATATGCTATATTGTTAGCAATAGGGTTATTAGTCCACAGTATTATCTATCTATCAGTTTTGTAAATGGATGATAATGGAATGATACCTTTTTTTTTATGAATGACTAGCTGTCACAGCAAACATTGTTTTGCCTTAAATAAAAGAAAAATTTAGGGATGGACTACCCCTAACATTTAGGGGCATGAAAATAGATGTTGCCCGATTCTTAGACCTATTCAATACGCTTACAAAATTTCATGAGAACTGGTCAAGCCATTTCGGAGGAGTATGGGAACGAAAACTGTGACATGAGAATTTTATATATAAGATAATGGAATGGTGCACCTGCCTGCACTAACGGTTTATGAGGTCAGGTCAGTTACCCCATTGTGACAAATTCATCAGAAATTTATCACAATGGTTTCCAGGGGGAACCGCGTGGAGGTCAACCTGACATGGTACATTGCTAGTAATGGGTTATGAGTCCACATTACTAACAATCCCCTTCCCCCCTAGGAGGAATGGTGCCTTGTACTAGGCCAGTTAGGAGAGGAGCTTTGATTAAAAATGTTGCACAAATGCGGAAGATGTTACATACAGAAAGTTGTGCAGGCCAGCCAGTTACTGTATTTTATTTTATTTATAGCCTTTGTGCTGACAATCATCAGCTTGTCCCAAGACATAGGCCTCCTCCAAAAGACTCCAGGCTCCTCTGTCCAATGACTTCCTTCTCCATGTTGGTCCCGCCACTGCCCTTATATCATCCTCCCATCTCTTTTTCTGTCATCCTCGTTTTCTTTTTTGTTCTCTTGTATACCAATCTATAACATCCTTAGTCCATTTCTCTTTCTTACTTCTTATTGCATGTCCTGGATTTGCATTTTAGTTTCTTAATGGTTTCGACTGCATCTGTCAGTTTGGTTTGTGATTGTGTTTGTCAGTTACTGTTTAGAAATGTTTTAATCATAATTTACAATATAATTACAGCTATCCCATTTAGATGGGAAGCCGTCTGAGAGGCTGGTGTGTGCTACATGCGTGCTGAGGCTCCGGGAGGCAGTTGGTTTCCGTCAACAGGTTCTACAGTGTGAGGAGGCGTTCATACAGATGAAGATGTATGATATTGATAATGAAGGTATTGTTAAAAAGTAGTTTTAATTGTATTTACAATTTAATGTTTTTAAGTTATATCATATATTCAATATGATATAATTTGAAATTATGTCTATTCTATGAAATTGATGCAATTTATTAATATATTTTTTTTAATTATTCTCGTTCTTCTTGTGATTAATCTGCATTCTGAATGAGTGGTAGAATCAAAATATGACTATTCAAAAGTGCTTGTAATGGGTTTATTTGAATAAAGATTATTTCTATTTCTATTATTTCTATTATTCAGATGCATTATTCCATTATTATTGATAAAAAAAAACTGCAAAATTCTATTGATTTCCTTTTCACAGAGCGTCAGATAGAGGAGCGTATAATATGCATACCCAAGGTGGAGATGGATGAGGTGAAGACTGAACCTCAAGACCGGGAGAGCGATGTTGGCTCCCTGAGCGGGGACGCGCTGGCGGACACTGGTGACTGTTAGTATGACACTTTAATCCTGTATTAAAGTGATGTTTTTTGTTTATAATTAACTAGTTACTCGCTTCGGCTTCACATGGGTGTACGTGTATTATACATATAAACTTTCCTCTTGAATCACTCTATCTAAAAAAACTGCTTCAAAATCCGTTGCGTAGTTTCAAAGATTAAAGCATACATAGGGACGGACAGACATTGAGAGTGACTTTGTTTTATACTATGTCCATTAGCCGAGGAAGGCTATAAGTTATATAACATTACGCTACGACCAAAACGAGCGGAGCTGAAATAAAAATATTGCAAAAGGTGGGGAAATGAAATGTAGGTGAAGTTGCGCGGGTCAACTAGTATATGATGTACAGAAAACACCCAAACCTGTATAAATAATCGTACTCATGAACTCAAATATTTGTGCCGTGCGAGGAATCGAGCCCGCGACCATCGGAACCACCACCGGACCATCGCAAACCGCTACTGAGGCCACTAAATTACATAAACACTCGTCGTAATTTTAGATGGAGATGACGAGCTGATCAAGTCAGAAACCTGCAATGACGATACTAATTCAGATGATTTGCCGCTGCAGTGCATCAAGAAGGATTCAGCCAGCCTCAAGAGATTGGAGCTGAAGAGGCAGCGCGTGCGAACTTCGGCCATGATGATGAAGAGTAAGTAGATTTTATAATTTACACAAAAATATATATCTTATTTGGATTAATCAGAGACATTGTCAACCGTTGGTTTCAAGAGTTGCACTCACAATAACGGTTGTGGTAAAAGCGATATGGCTAGGAATTTCGTATTCGACAAGGTAAGAAGTGAACCTACAATGCATTTGCTACTGCATAATCACGGAGAGTGTTCTGAGGAATTGTTCGGATTAATACCGGCTGCTGAATTTCACCACTGTACCACCAGCCAGAAACTAAAGTACCATCCTGATCACTGGATGAACGGCGGTCCTCCACAGTGCGGTGTTCTAGAAACTTTTTGCCACGCACAACCATTGTGGAATCTCGTTCCAGCAATGGTATTTCCGAACCGATACGATATTGAATTCTTCAAGAAAAGAGCTTATTCCTTTTTGAAAAGCCGACAACGCACTTGCAATTCCCGTGGTGTTGCGGGTGTTGATGGGCGGCGGTAATTACCATCAGGTAAGCCGCATGCTCGTTTGTCCCTTGTGCTATAAAAAAAAAAATTACTATAGTCTGTCCCGTTGTTGTGGACTCCTTTTAAGCATAAAGATACATGTACCAGAAAGCTTCACTCTCATAGCTTATATCATACATAACTTTTGTAAAATACACTCATAATGATTGTATGTATCGAACATTCAATCATACTCATGAATGCAAAATGTACTGTGTGAGGAATTGAATCCGCGACCATTGAAAGTACGGCGGAGTTCTTAATCAGTATACCACTAAACCCGATAACTTTCCCGAGAAATTTTAACAAATTTACAACTTGTACTGACAGTTGATCTGAGAATATATATTGTTCTTTTTATTTCCAGAGTTGCCAATGTCGAAACTACAGCAAATGATGCGAGAACGTGACCCGGCCTACATAAGAGAAACCAACATTCTCACCATAGTGGAATTCTCGTACGTTTGCCCGTTCAAGTGTCGCCACAATCATTTGCTATGTTACTACTGCGGCGAGAATTTCCAAGACCCACTGCTGTTGAGGCAGCACACAGAAAGCTTGCACCATCCCAAAAAGTTCAAAGTGACAGAAACGAAGAATGTGATAAAACTCGATTTAACAAGAATCGATTGTCGACTGTGCGGCGCGGGAATCGATAATCTCGAAGATTTTAAAAAACATATAACGAGTGTTCATAGGAAGAAGTATTATTATAATCATAAAGATTCTATATTGCCGTTCCGTTTGACGAAACACGAAATGAAGTGCGCGCTGTGTGACGTATTGTTTCCCTATTTTCATGCGTTGAACAAACATATGAACGAACATTTCAGTAATTATGTGTGTGAAACATGCGGTTTGGGTTTCGTTGATAAAGCAAGGTGAGTTAGTTACTGATATTAATATCAATAATTTCTTTGTACTGGGTGTAAGTGACAGGTTGGCAATAACTGAAACTATGAATACTGTGGCCTACTTATATACATATTAATACATAATAATATAGTATTAAAATACATACATATAATAGATATATTACACTATATAAATACATACATAAAGATACGATATACATAAAATACTTTTTTTTTGACAATTCACACAGCGCGATCTAGACCCAAGTTACGCTAGCTAAGGCTTGAGTTATGGGTCCTAGACAACTGATACAAATACATAGATTTTTTTTTTCGTAAAAACACACATATTATACATAGATAAATTATTTTACTGTATAGTAAGCTTTGTGGGTCAGTAGTTCTTTAAGCCTTTTTTTAAATAAATAAATTTTATCTTCTTGTTTTATGGTTTCCGGGATTTTATTATATATTACAATGGATCGGTAATACGGACTCGCCCTAAACATTTCTATTTTAGGTTCTGGTAGGGCCAGTTGGCTTTTTAATCTATTATTACATTTAAAATTAAAATATGATAAATGCTCATGAACAAAAATACAGCTATCTCCAATTGTTTAAGAATTAATAACCGAAAGGGTTATCACATCATATCACAAATAAATAATAAAAGTAAACATTGTTTAGCCGTATAAGACAATATCACTATTAAAACCCCTTCTAAACCCTTAAACCCTTCTTCTACCAACGGGGTTGTTGGTAGAGGTGTGAAAATTTAAGGCTGTATGTATTTTTAATGTCACATAATAAAAAAATTAAAATTGTCGACCAAATAAAAAATATTTTTTTGGGGTGAGTCACCCTTAACACTTAGGGGCATAAAAACGTGTAACACGAGAATTTTATATATTACAGTAATTTACTTATGTATATAGTATATATTTTAGTAAGTATTTAAGTTTGTATATATTTTTCATAGCAAGATGGACATAGAAAAAAAATCTTAAAAACATTTTCTAGGTTCGTCATGCACCAACAAAGGCACGATGTCGGTGACTTCCCATGTGAGACTTGCGGGAAAATATTCAAAGCACAATACAACCGGGACCTACACATAGACAGGGTACACAACAAGCGGGGCCGGGTGTACTGCCCCAAGTGTGACATGAAGCTCATGTCGTACCCTCAGAAGCTGAAGCACCTGGTGGAAGTCCATGGGGAGGAACCGCTGAGTTTTCCATGCAGTATGTGTGATAAAGTCTGCGATACGAGAAGGACATTGACTATACATAGGCGGAAGGATCATCTGAAGGATTATAGGTAAGACTAGCTGTACCCGCGACTTTGTCTGCGTGGAAATTAACCTTATTTTTCTAAAATAAAAGTAGCCTAAATGACTCTATTACATCAGCTACCTGCCAAAAAAAGTCCCGTAAAAATTGGCACAGCCATTTCAGAGATGAGCCGAAACAAACAGACAGACAGACAAAAATTGTAAAAAATGTTATTTTGGTGTATGTACCGTATTTATATTCATATGCATGTAGTAAACGGTTATTTCAATATTACAAACAGACACTACAATTTTATTTATATATATAGATTAAAACTCTAGGGTTAGGATCCAAACTAACCGAAAACACTTGTGTATATGGTTTTACTATATGATCATGACTTGGGTTAGAGTTAAAATCTCATCTGATTGAGTGGTAATATAGACCAGTTTAGCACAACACTGGTTTCCCTCGAGGCTGCTGACCCCCTATAACTAACTGAACAAGCATTTGTGGAGTAAACCCCGCTCGCGGACACCGCGCCTCGCCGGCCCCACGGACATTGACCTTGCGATAAGTGAGTTCTTTGCCGGAAATCGAAATAATTGACGTATGTTTGAGCAATAGTGTCAAAACATTTTCGACGTAACTTGAAACGACCTAAGTCGAGGAGTCCCCGTATTTATATCAGTTGTCTAGTACTCACAACACAAGCTCTGCTTATTTATTTTATTTATTTATATACTAGCTGTCCCGGCAAACGTTGTTTTGCCTTAAAATAAAAAAAAAATAGGGGTGAACTACCCCTAACATTTAGGGGGATGAAAAATAGATGTTGGCCGATTCTCAGACCTACTCAATACGCTCACAAAATTTCATGAGAATCGGTCAAGCCGTTTCGGAGGAGTATGCCGCTTTACGTCCGATGGTTGCGGGTTGGATTCCTCGCACGGCACAAACATTTGTCTTCATGAATTGTATCGGTCTGGGTATTTTCTATGTATAATATGTATGTATTTAAGAAAAAAAAAACTATGTATTTGTATCAGTTATCTAGTACTCATAACACAAGCTTTAGCTAGCTTAATTTGGGTCTAGATGGCGCTGTGTAAATTGTCCTGAGATGATTATTATTATTATTATATAAACTGTATACACTAATATAAATATTATATATATAAATATATATATACATACTACATACATAACAACATGCAACAAATAGATACACAACACAAAATGCAAGCAGCAGCAGTAACTGTGACACACGCATAGGAATGTTACCTACTAGTAATGTGACAGTGATAACGACAGAAGAGTGATACGGATACGGATGCGGATGTGAAATTATTTAGGATTGTCCGTTAGTTTCGGATAATTTCGGTTACGGATATTAATTTTTTAAGGAATTTCAAAAGGAAAATACAAATAGCTAATAAAATGGTTATATAACGTGTCTGCACTGAATAAGATATTTTTCTTTCTTTCTTTCTTTCTTTCTTTCTTTCTTTCTTTCTTTCTTTCTTTCTTTCTTTCTTTCTTTCTTTCTTTCTTTCTTTCTTTCTTTCTTTCTTTCTTTCTTTTTCAATTAGGCTCCGCCTCTATCCGATATTTCGGATTCGGTTACGGTTACGGACCTCTCTAACATCCCTGATAATTATTATTTATTACAGATATGAGTGCCAGTGTTGCGGTCAGAAGTTCTTCACGCGTTTCGCATTAAACAATCACATGCCAACGCATACGGGTGAAAGGAATTATAAGTGTAAAGTTTGTGAGAAGTCGTACCCAAGACTGAAGACGCTGAAGGATCATATGAGGATACACACCAACGACAGGAGATACAGGTGTTTATTTATATACTATTGTGTGACTGACTGGTCATCCGCACCTCTCTAGAGGAAAGTTTGGGGCCTCGAGGCGAACTCCTTCATCATTTTTTCTTACTTGGAGAAAATCCGTCATGGAGACCCGCCGGCCGGGTACTGTGAGACTCCTACTCATTAAAAACTGCAAGATATCCCGACGAAACGCCTATAGCCGGAGTCGCGGAATCGAATGTCAGTCCACCGCAACTCTGGCGGCGTCGGCCCGCTTTAGTTTGCGAGCCCTTTCGCTTTTATTTTGGGGGCCCACCCCACCTCGCTTGGGAAGGCACGCGGGGATACGCGCGCCACCTTCTCAGGCTTTCCTTGGAGATGCGACTGCCCCCGCGGTCACACCTCAGGCCCGTACTCCTTTACCCCTGCATCAACTCCATCAACAACCTTCGAGTGGATTGAAGCCTCTTAAGGCGAGTATAAAATTAAGAACTTAACTTGCAAAAGTAGTGCCCACTAATAACACTTGGGGATAATTTTTATTATTTGTTTATATATGTATATATATTTTTTGCTTTTTTTTTTACTATAGTCTGTTTTTTAATCTCGGAAACGAAATTGACAGGTGTAAATGTCAAATTTTCAAATAATGTTACATGTTATAAAATGTTATGTGGTATATTATTTTGTATACTCTATATTTATATCCAGCAAATATATTATATAATTTTACTAGCTACTCGCCCCGGCTTCGCACGGGTGTACATGTATTATATATATATATACAACTTCCTCTTGAATCACTATCTTAAGAAAAACCTCTTCTAAATCCGTTGCGTAGTTTTAAATATTTAAGCATACATAAGGACAGACAGCAACACCGATTTTGTTTTATACTATGTAATGATTGAATTATTTAAACCGCCTTCGAGTATCAGCACAGCACAGCATAGCAAAAATATGGTGTTGCCATTACAATTTGCATTTATTCCTAACGATATTTTAAACAGGCAACGCAAGACTTTTGTCAAAAAAAGAAAAAACATTTTCGCGCCTAAATATTACTTTTTTTCAGGTGTCATATTTGCGGCCAGGCGTTCATCCAGAACTGTAGCTTGAAGGGGCATATGAAGAGTCAACATCCTGAATATGGATAAGACAACAGAACTCAACGTTTGTGGCTATTATAATCTACATTATATAATCTCTAAATTCTTACTAATATTATAAATGCGAAAGTTACTCTGTCTGTCCGTCGCGCTTTCACGCTACTACTGAACCGATTTTAAATATTTGCTATACAGATAGTCTAGACCCTGAGAAATAACATAAGCTACTATTTAATGCGAAAAAGGGTTGAAAGGGGAGATCACAGGTTGTACTTAAGTATGGCCATTTTTAAAGTTAGAAGATTAACTTATTTTTTAGGCTTTTTTGGATTGGATTTAATGATATTTTTTATCCATTTGGATCATTGTTCTGTTTATTTCATTCGTCAAAAGTTAAGATTACTTTAAAAAATGCTATCCACTCATCACTATTCCACACGGGTCACTATTCCACGCGGACGAAGCGTGGGCACAGCTAATATATAATATATTCTATCTGAATACTTCATTCAAACGTTATTCTTGTGATTGAGATTCAGATTGCGTGATAAAATAAAAAAAAAGTCTAATAAAATGTATTTCTACAATGATTATTTATATTTCTGTACAATCATATTTGAAGCCGCCATTTTGCAGGTTCTATAAGACAATATGTCGCCATCTTGATTGACAGTTAACAGCCTCGGTGCTCTAGCGGTTTAGCACATCGTTTTAATTCCGATGGTAACGGGTTGGATTCTTAGCACGGGGCAGACATTTGTATTTATGAGTATGGTTGTTTGTATCGGTCTGGGTGTTTTCTATGTATAATATGTATGTATTTACAAAAAAAAAATCTACATATATGTATCAGTTATGTAGTACCCATAACACAAGCTTCAACTAGCTTAATTTGGGTCTAGATGGCGCTGTGTGAATTGTCCTGAGATTATTATTATTTAAATAAAAATGTAAGTATTGATATCGTTGTCTAGTACCCATAACAAGCTCTGCGTACTGTGGGACTAGATGGCGCTGTATTAATTGTCCAGGGTTGTTTATTTATTTATACATTAATCATTAATCCCTTGCAGTTTATATTATAATTATGAAAGAAATGATTTCTCCTTAGTTACTTATTTAAATAATAGCATCTAATACCACCAGTGGGAGAAAAACAGTAATGTGCCCTGTTGACTCCATTGCTAACAACATACCATGCAAGTGATATTCCCCCCGATATCTATCAAGACAAATTTCTGGTAAATTTATCACGATGTGTTAACAGATCCGACCTCATACTCATCTATCATCCTCCATCGGTGCCCCGCCAGCGTAAACCGCTTCAGCAGACGGGTGCGCCATTCCATTATCATCTATAAAAAAATACCAATGGCTAACCACACCCTTCCCTTCCCATAAAGTAACTTATGGATTAACCCATGTATATAGGTATTCATAAAATACTCATAAATGTACATACATAATGTTTATACTATAGTTATATATAGATATCTAATGTATAATAATAATAAAAGATTATACATATTTATTGTTGTTTATTTTATTGTTCTACTAGCTACTCGTACTCACGTATTATATATATAAATCTTCATCTTGAATCATTCTATCTATTAAAAAAACCGCTTCAAAATCCGTTGCGTAGTTTTAAAGATTTAAACATACATAGAGACAGACAGCCACAGCGACTTTGTTTTATACTATGTAATGATGATTGTGAACTACCGACCAGTACCGGCTTTCCACAGATGATTTACAAATCTTTAAATTTCTCAGCTAGTTCTAGACTATACATATAAACCTTCCTCTTTAATCACTCTATCTATTGCTGAACACTGCATTAAAATCTGTTGCGTAATTTAAAAGATACAAGGGAACAGACAGCAACGGCGACTTTGTTTTATACTATGTAAAGTCGAAGTGGGAGGGAGAGGTAGGTAAACCAGCAAATCTCTATAATTTTCTAAGATCCTGTCTGAACTGCAGTAAGTTCTATACTAGAATGTGTATCTAAAGCTGCACTAGCAGGCTCCTACCAAAATTGCTAGGCAGGGAGAGAAACACGAGCGGTGAAGGTGAGTGTCGACGTACCTCGGCAAGGGGAGTTAAACCTGCACCCGGATCTCAAGTCCCAGGAACTGGGAGTTTTCTCTCAGCCACCAATGGACCTGGTACCCATGAAAAAAGAAGAAAACAATCAGAAATTAGTTTCCCTCACAATAAGGTTGTTTATTAAAATAACATCATAACTGCTAATCTAGATGGGGTAGACAGAGGCACTGCCAATTATTGACTACTTGATTTATAGATAAGCTGTATAAGTTACCGAAGCTCGGTGCTTTAGTACTTCCCAATGGTCGAGGGTTTGTTTCCACGCACAAGAGTTTCCACGAACAAGTCAGGAGTACAATGTTTTTATTGGTTATGTATTTACAAAACATGGTGTATCCTATCAGTTATATAGTACCCATAATACAGGCTTCACTTAGCTTGGGATGGCGTTGTGCGAGTTGTGCAGAATTATTATATATACATATAAATAAAATTGGAGCGCCTGTTTGTAATATTGAAATAAGCGTCTTTTACTACATGCATGTGAATACATACATACACCAAAATAACATTTTATACCATTTTTGTCTCTCTGTCTGTTTGTTCCGGCTAATCTTTGAAATGACTGGACCAATTTTGACGGGACTTATTGACAGATAGCTGATGTAATAAGGAGTAATTTTGCGTACTTTTTATTTTAGAAAAATAAAGTTAAATTTCACGCGGATGAAGTCGCGTGTACAGCTAGTCATTTATAATTTTAGACATGGCCTATCTACTTTTGGATATATTTAAATCCAGAATGAACACAGAAGTTTATATGTAGTAACAAGGGGCGAGCCTACCATCGTGTCTCGGATTTATTTGGCCCGCTGTCTTCGAATTGACATCTTTTTGCCATAACTAACGGTGGTAAACATAAGGCCATGATAGTTTTTAAGTCTATTTAAAGATGGTTTGGGTGTACATGGTTATTAGTACAGAACAAACTCCATTGTTTTGTGTCTAACAGAATGGTAAAAAATAACTGCGAGTTAAAAAAAAAAAATTCTTGTAGCCCCTACTTAAAACGGTTTTATATTTTTAAAATGAGACTGTGATATCCCAAATTTTTCATAGATTCTTCTGTCAAATAAATATCATGGTATTTATGGCATTTTTCCCGAAGATACATTAGGCTTATTTTCCATCATCTAAATTTCCATATTTTAAATCATGATTTATTAAAAGTCAGTGGGGTAACAAAAAAACCTTTTGTTGTTGTTTTTTTAATTTTAACATATCGGATGTATAATAAGAAAAATCAAGTAACAAAAACAAACAATGGCAAATATCAAAGATTACAGAAATTTTCTCAACATGTCAAAATCAGAATTCCTGAGCAGAATTGGGTTGCCAAATCTAAAAGAAATTAACTTAACTGGATAAACAATTAGAAGTTAAATTAAAAAATAATAAAAGTGATTTTTGTCGTCACTGCTGTCAATAATAAAAATACTATTGACAGCAGCGATGAACAAAATATTATTTGTTATATTCATTATTTAATGTAACTAAACAAAGCCTATTGTCATATCAAATAAAAGTGGGCTACATTTCAGTCATTATCATAATATTTTCTTGATAGTAAAAGATCCAAATAAAAGAACCATGAAATTAATTTTGAAATTAGCGATATCCATATATTAATACGCAAAACAAAAACTTTACCCCTTTTTATGACAATTGCGAGGAAAAGGAGTGCAGAATACTAACATTATTTAAAATGATGTGTAAAAAATAAATGAAATCGGTAAAAAAATTACATACATTAACCTAACCATTACCTGACACATACGAATATGTACTCTTCTGTTTATTGCCTGTGCGCTTGCTAGTGCTTCTGACACTTATTATAATAGAACTTTAATAAAATTCAAAATAATAATTTCAATTTTCGACCATAATGGTCGAATTTCGATCACTAGTTCTAATAAAAGAAACATTAATTTAATTTTAGAATTAGCACAATCACCGAATTATATCTGGTTACACTTGTAAAAAAGGCCAGACTCAGGCCAGACGCACCGCAGACGTTGCGGGGTGCGGGTTATGGATAATGGCGTGGATTGCGTTTAGCTATTTCTGTGATGAATTTGATTTATAAATTTTAAAGCAATGTTCTTGCATAATACTGTAACTAAGTGTCTAATATAAGATTATAATGGTAGTTATATTTTCTGTGAAAATTAAAACCGTATAGTGATAATGGCAGCTAAAACAATGGAATGGCGGCCGGGCCCCACGGTTTGTCGTTGTTGCCTCGCCGAAGGTTGTTACAAAGACATTTCTACTGAATATTTTTGGATGGGGAAGCGGGAAGTCTATTCTGAAATGCTTTCGGAGACGTTCAGCGTCAGCGTAAGTATTATATGCAATAACATGATGTGGCGTCCATTTTCTTGGATTTAATTGTGTATAATCCGACCATGACAAATTGACATGTATTTATGAGGTAAACCCACCAAGTGAATGCACAATTTCAATCGGTTGGTTTATAAAATCAATACTTTGTTTCGGCGTCTTATGCATTTTTTATTTTGTTTGACCTGCGCGAGTAACGTACCTACTTTATTAGTTTTATTTTAAATATATGATAGTGGAATGGCGCACTCACTTAAAGGTATGGCGGTGCCCCAACGGAAGATGTTAGAATGATCATTAAGACTGGCCAATTAGCATGCCATGTAGAATTCAGCAAGAATATTAATATTGACTATGATTGAGGGGAAGGTATAGTTTTTTTTCTTAATGGATGATAATGGTGCACTTGCTTGCGCTAACGATATACACTAAAACCGGGAAACCATTAAAACCGGAATCAAATTACGGTCTGAGATTTTAATCCCTCGAAAGTCGTATCAGGAGTTGAACTTCAGTCACTCCATACCTTACACGGGTACGAATGATGCACTCGCCTGCGCCTACGGCATACCCTGGCAGTGCATCAGTGGAGGATGATATGGTGAGCATGAGGTCAGGTCAGTTCGCCCTTCATGGTAAATTCACCAGGAATTTATGGTTATTTCCACAGAAATTCTTTCATTAATCAATCAGGGATATATTGTTAGTAATAATTGTGGCCAATAAAGGAAACCAGGGAATAATATATTATAAACCAGGAATTTATCATGATGATTTCCAGGGAAATAATTTCATCAATTAATCAGGGATACATTGTTAGTAATAATTGTGAGTGATAAAGAAAACCAGGGAATTGTAAGATATCTATATATATATATATATATATATATTGTATATAGTGTATAAACACTACTAACTAGGGCCTAAGAATATCCTTCAATTCTTGTCCCTAATTTATCCTTGAATTTTTAGCCCAAACAACCCAATAAAAAAAATATTTAGGGCCAGGAAGGGTTACTGAAAATAACAATAGAAAGGAGTGACAATTTAGAACAGAATTTAGTATTTGAAATGAAGCTTATAAATAAATATGATATGTATATAAAGCTTATGATATAAAAAATAGATCATAGACTAAAATAAGTGGCCTGTATTCCACAGTAATAATTATAATAAAACTTTTTACTGTGCATAAAAGAAAATATAATTACAAAACGGAACAACATAAAATATGCAAACAAAAGGTGGACTTATTGCACAAAGCAATCTTACAATGTTAGTAATGGTGTTATTAGTTCACATACTAATAATAACCTCCTCTTTGTTCAATGAAGCTCTAGAGGCTATTTGCCTCTAGTTTTATTGAACAAGTTTTAAATAGCTTCCAAAACCAAAAAAAAAGTGGATTCTGATAAAAAGAGATTGAGATCAGGACTAGCCCAGTGATTAACTAACTTGGAATTGATCAGGATTAATTTTGGGGACCATGTGGAGGCGAACCTAGTATGGTACATTGTTTTTTTTATGACCTGCCTGCGCTATCGGTTTACCTTGTCGGGGCACCAGTGGATGATGATAAGAGTATGAGATCAGGTCAGTTAGCCTATCATGATAAATTCACCGGGAGTTTATTACAAAGGTTTCCAGGTGGAACCGCGTGGAGGTCAACCTGACAGTGTACATTGCTAACTATGGGGTCCAGAGTTCATATTACTAATAATCCCCTTTCCTCCTCTATAGTATTATTCAACAAGGTTTGTTAGTTGACTATAGATTCCAAAAAAGAAAAGATAAAAGTGTATTAAGATAAATGAGATTGAGGTAAGGACTAGCCCTTTAAGATTAACTAACTTGAAATTAATAAGGATAAATTCCGGGGACCATGTGGAGGTCAACCTAAAATGGTACATTGTTAGCAATATAGCTGTGCCCGCGGTTTCACCAACATGAGTTTTATAGTCTATATGTTATTCTGATGTATAAGCTAAATATATTACTGTAAAGTTTTATCAAAATTCGTTCAATAGTTTTTGCGTGAAAGAGTAACAAACATCCATAGTCACAAACTTTCGCGTTTATTATATTATTAAGACAGTAATAGGTTCTAGTGACCCCTAGTCTCTATTACTAACAATCTCCACCGGCCACCTTCCAGATGTTGCTAGCCACTGGTTAGTCGCTAGTCCAATCCTATAATCTTAATATTATGACATTAATTAATTTCAGTATTTATGTTTTAATTTTTTTAAAGTATACATTACAATGTTGTAATTACTCTATCATTGCCCGCTAACTACCACTTCGGTCATAGTGTTAGGTTGGCTGGAAGAGATCTCCTTTAGAGATAAGTCTAACTTAACACACATTTCTGCAAACTACCACTTCGGTCATAGTGTTAGGTTGGCTGGAAGAGATCTCCTTTAGAGATAAGTCTAACTTAACACACATTTCTGCAAACTACCACTCCTGTCATAGCGTTAGGTTGGCTGGAAGAGATCTCCTTTAGAGATAAGTCTACCTTTACACACATTTTTCTATACTTTTTAATATTACAATTGCAATAAAGTATTTATAATAACCACTGATCCCATTAGGTATAGCTATTTAGGATCAGTGACCTCAAACATTGATGTCAATATGGATGATCATGAATATTGATTTTTTTTTGTTTTAATAAGTAAATTATTGTTTAAAAGTGTTGGTAATTTTAATTGGAAGCATTTTAAACATCAAACTTGGAGACAAAATCAATCTCACTAATATAAGACAAAAAACCAAACTGACAGATGCAGTCAAAACTATTAAGAAACTTAAATGGAAGTGGACAGTTGTCAGCACAAAAGCAATAAATAAATAAAATTTTAATTAGAATAGAATAGAATTTATTAATTCTTTTTATACAGTAAGATAAGAAATATAAAACTTAGATAGTTTCAAGAAACTTAAAGACTGTACAAGTAGAAACTTACGCAATAAAAATAAGCTAATTTTACCTAAATGCCGTCTACACAAAGTTAGTAATTCATTTTATGGTAATTGCGTAAGATTCTATAATAAACTGCCAGAGTCTACGCTAAATCTTACAGAGAGGCAATTCAAATCTTATATTAAACAAATGCTATGTAAAAAAGCCTATTATAAGATAGATGAATTTATAGATGATAGCAATATATAGCAAGAATAAGTTTATTTGCGGACAACGTTATAATTTTAATTTTCATACTGCTTTCTTGATATATGATAGCGTAGCGGCTTTTGTATTGATTGCCGCATGCATCCTTATGTAAAGTGCGAATACTGTAACTACCTATATGGTAGTTACAGTATTAATTGGTAGTTACAATAGTAATTTTTGTAGCTGTGACGTGGTCGTGTGGAATGAGTAGTCATGCTCACTAAAATGTCCAGACATGTGGCGGCGTGGTGGGCCGGGTCAATGGGCTCCCTAAAATATGGTCGAGCGCAGTGATGGCTGGCTCATCCGTCATACTCGTGAACGAGTGCTGCTTGTAGGGACTGGTCTGCTCTTATCACTACGACTGATTTAATCTTATTGCATGATTATATTTGACCCAAAAAATTAGTGCTTGTTGGTAGTTTGTATTCACACGTTTCGACTTGTAAATGTGAACTTACAAGGATTATTTAAAGAGCAACACACGAGTTTCGTGCTCGTTTTTCTTGTGATGAGACAGCTTTCCGAACGAGTGGTAGATAAAAAACAAATTGTTATGACTATTCAAAAGTGCTTAAATTAAGTTTATTTGAATAAATGATTTTCTATTCTATTCTATTCTATAAACAATTACAATTTACATTCTAACAACTCTAAAGAGTTCTGTAATATACACATTAAAAAAGTCATTGTGCACCACAATTCAGCTTAATTCTGGGAACATAGTTTCCAGCACTGATTTTCAGTTAAGAATTTACTTTAGTTAAAATACTATTTAACTTTCATAGATTTTAGATGGTTCTTTTCAATCTTGTTTCGTCTTTTGAGGCACAAATTATTTGTATTGTATGTTCTTGTACAACTGAAATGAAAATGTTAAATGATTATTGATTCTTGTAATATACGAATTTGCTACATTAAAGTATATGTGGTTTAATGAATCAAGTTTCTATCTATTTATTGTACTATCCTTTAAACTAGAGGTTACCTAACTTTTTTGTGTCTTAGACCCCTCGCCATATTTTTGCGATTTTGGGTAGACCCCTGGTATTTATTTTTTTGTAAATTTCTAACTGTAATAAAGTTTAGTGTTAAAAACATATAAAAACAACAACATGACCGCTGTCGAAGACCCATTGCAGTTTGTCATAGACCCCCGGGGGTCGATATAGACCACTTTGGGAATCACTGCTTTATACCGTCCCTATACTTATAGGAAGTATATGTTTTCTCTCTTTAAAAATAATAAAAACTATTTAATTTACGGCTGAGGGAATAATCGCCCTTAGGCGTAAATAGCTTTTTTTTATGTTTCTACTTTAAAAACAAATTCTGGGATTCGGGGAATATCCATATTATTCTATCATATGGCAAGTACATAAAATAGCTCACCTACTGCGATCACTAATAATGATGTTTGGTGATTTTTACCCGCAATGACAACTCTATCACCGCATCAAGGGATATATAATATACTAGCTGTGACCGCGACTTCGGGGGTTATAGTGATTCTCACCAAATAAAGAAAACATAATATGGAATAATCTAAACCAAATTGCTAAAAAAAGTTACATTGTTCTAGCTCCAAAAATGTCGATTTTCCATACAAACTTTCATCTCCTCTTTCAACCCCTTAGAACCCTTAGGATTATAAAGTAGCCTATATCCTAACTCAGGATCTAAACTATCTGTGTACCAAATTTATTTTAAATCTGTTTAGTAGTTTTAGCATGAAAGCGAGACAGACAGACAGAGTAACTTTCACAGTTATAATATTAGTAAGGAAGTAAAGATATATAAAAAGAATAATAATATATAATATACAGATTGCCTACTCAACGGCTGGCGGTCCTAACAGCAACAGCAGGCTCATATGCGAGCCATGCATATCTCGGTTACGGGATGCCTCGGACTTCAAACGGCAGGTGCAGGAGTGCGAGAGGACCTTCATGCAGCACCTGGACCCTGGCAGCACCTCAACTGCTGGATGTGAATGTAACCAGTTTTTATAGTAATAATAATAATAAAATTTCTTCATCACTTTTATCATCATCGTATAACTCATCTACGGTTGGCTATGGTCCGCGTGTTTGAACGTATTACCCCCGTAAAAAGGGAGATATATAAAACATATATAAAAGAATAATAATAATAATAAATGCGACAATAATGTAAATAATAAATAATAACATATGACTTGGTGATATAAGCCCGACCTTGTGATCACTATAAAATAACCAATATATGTATATTGTGAAACTGTGGGAATAATATAATAATAATCTCAGGATAATTCACGCCATCTAGACACAAGTTAAGCTAGCTGAAGCTTGTGTTATGGGTAGTCGATAACTGATGCAATTATATTCTTAAATACATACATATTTTACATAGAGAATACCCAAACTGATACAAACAATCATACTCATGTTTGTGACGTGCGAGGAATCGAGCCCCCGTCCATCGGAAATGAGGTGGTGACCTAAACCGCTAGACCACCGAGGCCGTCAAAAAGGTGTTATATATCTTACCTACCATGGTTACCAAGGTCATTTATTTATTTACCACCCTGTCATGGATCGATCGATGGGTCGATTATATTTTTTTTCATTTCTCGGCTTGTACTAGATTAATAGTAACAGACTCATCAATAGTAACACACTCTATATATATACTGAGTATTTGGATAGTAGGAGAATCGAACCTGTGACCATAGGCAGATAAACCATTATTAAACTGCTTCACCAACTTCATTATGACTTCTTTAATCTATACTAGCTAACCAATCCGGCTTCGCACGGGTGTACATGTATTATACACATAAACGTTCCTCTTGAATCCGTTGTGTAGTTTAAAAGATATAAGCGAACACACGAAGCGACTTTATTTTATACTATGCTACCTATGAGTGTACATGTATTATACACATAAACGTTCCTCTTGAATCACTCTATCTATTTAAAAAAACCGCTTCAAAATCCGTTGCGTAGTTTTAAAGATTTAAGCATGCGTCCCTATGCATGCTTAAATCTTTAAAACTACGCAACGGACAGACAGCGACGGCGACTTTGTTTTATATAGTATAAAACAAAGTCGCCGTAGCTGTCTTTCCGTTGCGTAGTTTATATAAAACAAAGTCGCTGTCACTGTCTGTCCGTTGCGTAGTTTTAAAGATTTATGCGTACTATATTACATGGGGCGGGTTTATCTTAGTGAAGATATTAACATATCATGGTTGCAGTGACCGTGGAGCCGGAAGACGTGAAGATTGAAACTGTGAAGTTGGAGGCGCATCTCTCGGATGTCGATGTCGATGATGGGCCCGACTTCGGTGATGACGATGATGATGATCGTAAGTACACTAATTGAATTAAAATAATTAATATAAAGTAAATTTCACTGACAGCATTTATTATTACATTTTTAGTAAAAAACAGTTGTTTTGAAGAAGAAAAAAGGAAATACAGTCAACCCTCCTATAACGCGGCGAGTGCGTACCGCGTTATATGTAGACCGCGCTATAAGAAACTCGGAATTAGTACAAATAACATAATATGTTAATTCGCAATTAGTACAAATACAAATCGTACCATGTTATATAATTAGTACAAATAACATAATTCGTACCATGTTATATGTAGACCGCGCTATAAGAAACTCGGAATTAGTACAAATAACATAATTCGTACCGCGTTATATGGAGACCGCGCTATAATAAATTCGGAATTAGTACAAATCACATAATTCGTACCGCGGTATATGGAGACTGCGCTATAAGAAACTCGGAATTAGTACATATCACATAATTCGTACCGTGTTATATGGAGACCAATAAATACAAAAGACAAGATAAATTGTAAATTATTTTTATTGAATTGAAGAGTTCTAAGTATTGATAAAAAAATGAAATAATAACAAAACTAAAAGACTGTGTATCAAACACAGAAAATTTACAACATAAAGAATTATAATACAATTTAGATAATTAATTGTGGTTACTAATTTTTTTTAATGTTAATTTAATTATTTTAATTTTTAAATTTAATGCTGAGTTGCCATTTTAACTTTCATCTGCTTCTTCGTTATCCCATTTGTTTGTGGTCGGCGTAATGTTTTTGTCTTCCATTCATCTCTTTTCGCAGTTGCTTTTTACTTCCTTTCTTACAATATCTTCTTCAGAAGAACCCATTAAACAATTAAAACTTTGGCCGTATCAAATGGCGGCTAAAGTTCCAGTTAATCATTCCAAAAAATGTGAAGAGGAGAAGGAGAGAAGGAGGAGAAACAAATAAAATTAATAAAAAAAAAATACCATATCATCACACACAGTCCATCCATCTCTTTTTCGATTTTCCTCTGCCCTTATAACCATCCACATTCATATGCAACACCTTCTTTAAAACATTATATTTATTCCAACGCATTACATGTCCATACCGCGTCAGATGATTACCTCTCCGAAACCGGAGCCACTTTCATACTTCGATATATGCTTATAGGACGGTAGAAAAAAAAAATTATAATGTAAAAACTTGACGTTCATAAGCGGCTAAACTGTCCTACATGAATAAATTATTTTTGAATTTGAATTTGAATATAGATGATAATGGAATGGTGCACCCGCGCTAACGGTTTACGCTGGCGGGGCACCAGTGTGGGATGATAAGATGAGCATGAAGTCAGGTCGGTTTACCACGATGGTTTCCAGGGTAACCGCGTGGAGGCTATCTGACGTGGTACATTGGGCAATAGGTTCGTTAGTCCACATTACTAACAATCCCATTGCCTTCACTCGAAGGATTTGTTGCAGGGATAAGTCTACCTTTTTAGTTTGTTAATTAGCACACCTTGTCATACCTCCGGCTTGGGGGGTTAAAAATCCACCAGGCCCTTTCCGGCAGGGGGACTCTCTTTTGAAGATTTTCTATAAAAAAAAGGACTTCTGCTCACATTGTTCCTAAAATATTTTATTATTGCATTTTCTAAGTGCAATAAAGAAAATATAAAGTGACATATATACAAACTGTTGTATTTATGAGTATGATTGTTTGTATTGGTCTGGGTGTTTTCTTTGTATATTATGTATGTATTTACAGAATAAAATCTTAAGTATTTCTACCAGTTAGGTCTTGGGACTAGATGATGTTGTGTGAATTGTCCAGGAGTATTATTTATTATATGCGGCCTATGTTTGCGGTTTTGTTTTTGTTTATATTGGTCTGGTTGTTTTGTATATATATTACTATCTGTGCCTGCGTTTCCAACTCGCGTTAAATTTCAGTATAAAATATAGCTTATGTGTTATTCTAATGCATAAGCTATAATATTGTAAAGTTTCATGAAAACACGTTTAGTAGTTTTGCGTAAAATAGTAACAAACATCCATACTTACAAACTTCCGCGTTTCATAAAATTGTTAGATGTAGGCATTTACAAAAAAATGTATTAAGTATTTCTTTCCGTAGTCTAGTATCCATAATATAAGCTCTGATTGGGACAAGATGGCGCTGTGTTAATTACCCAGGATTGTTACTATTATTATTATTATATACATTTGCGTTCCAGTTGACGACGAGCCTCTTACAAAATTCGCCACCAAAGTACCAAAAAAAGAGTCTGTCGACCTACTAGACTTAATCGACAACTCCAAAGCGGCAGAGAAGAGGAAGTCCACCACAAAAGTGAAGGCGACACCCGCGAAAAAGACCAAGAAGGAGACCGTCAAGCCGACTAGTAGCAAACCAAAACCGGAGAAGAAGAAGAAAGGTAGGCATCTGTCTCTTTCAATCTTTATTGTGGAGGGGAGACGCTGTGAATTATTTATTTTTTATTAATTGAATAGAAAAATTATTTTTGAAGGTACATTTAAGTTTCGGTCCTCCACTCAGGTAGGCTTTGTACAAAATCGTCTGCGTCGGTAACTAGTTGGTCTTTTTAACCTTTTTTGTTACTAAAATCCCACGGCATGCTTCCTCGCCGACATAGTACAGGGGTCGAGCGGTGTTGCCCGCAGGCGTATTGTTGAATGTTGCCATAATAACCAGACTATTATGTAGTATCACAATTCATTCTCATAAAGTACTTGATAAAAACAAATTAACATCCAATTGGCAATTTTATGATTTATACCAGCTGTACCCGCGACTTCGTCCGCGTGGAATTTAACTTTAAGTTTCTAAAATAAAATATATATATTAATAAGCCTAAGTCACTTCTTATTACATCAGCTACCTGCCATAAAAAGTTCCGTCAAAATTGATCCAGCCATTTCAGAGATTAGCCGGAACAAACAAACGGACAGACAGACAGATAAAAATTGGTGTTTTTACCGTATTCATATGCATATAGTAAAAAATGGCTATTTCAATATTACAAAAAGACACTCCAATTCCAATCCAATTCAATATTACAAAAAGACAATCCAATTTTATTTATATGTATAGATTATTTAGTAATGCTCGAGAACATGTGGACGGGTCTGGAAATTATAATATTCATTTTGCAATAACAATTAATTTATTATGAATTTTCTCTATTCATCCCTATAAAGTTTTTAACCAACCAGAAGTGACCAAACAGGCATCGAAGTAATCATTCAGATTTTGTACAAAATAATCTATGTTTCAAACTCAGTATCAATTAATTCTCTCGACTATAACATACTTTGCCAGCTATGTTTAGGTTAACTAGTGTATAATCCATGATTAATGTATTAATATAATATAACAGTAATTTATCAAGAATTCACTGCGTATCTCCTTAACAATATTTTGTTGGAAAGTATTCTGTTCGAATAAAATATTATATATAAAACATTACACAAAACACAACAGGCATATCATCAAACATAAGCAATAATGACACATGTAACGAGGGCGTGTAGTATGTATGTATTGTAAATTTAAAGTCAAATTTAAATTAAAAAATCATTTATTATTCATGTATGAACGACTATAATTTTATTTTTTTTATCGTCCCCCTTACGAACGTCAAATTTACAATGTATTTATTTACATTATAACGTTTGTCACAAGTTATCACTCATTCTTTGCTCAGTAAATATGATTTAACAGATGTTTTAAATTTATTTAAGGGTAATACCAATATATCCTTTGGTATCTTATTGAAATTTTTTATACCTATTCCCATAAAAGACCTATTGACTTTTTCTAAACGATATATGGGGGTAGCAAGTTTGTCTTATAATATACACTTGCGAGGAAAAGTATGGAATCATATTTTTCTCACAGAGTCTTTGACGTCCATACACTGCTACCCCACGAACGTTTCGGAGCTCCTGTTAGACGTCGACATTAGTCAAATGTCGATTTTGAAGAAAGCTTGACACGATGAAACGGTCAGCGCTCTCCAATGTGTATGTAAAGGGATGCCAACTTTTTGAAAAAAAAAACGTATAAACTGGTTTGGATAGCAAAAAAGCTAAAAGTGCTTTAAAAATAATGATATTTCCATATAACCTTTCATTTCACCTTTGAACACTTTCTCCTTTTCGCATTAAAAGGTAGTCTTATGCCCTTTCTCAGAGTCTACACTATCTGTGTGCCAAATTTCATTTAAATCGGTTCAGTAGTTTTGGAGTGAAAGCACGACAGGTAGAGTTACTTACGTGCTTATAATATAAGATATGTATGTATAAGATATGTGATATATAGTAAGGATTATAAAGAAATAATGAATTTTTATTTATTTATGAAATTAATCATGTAATGCGTGATTAATTTCATAAATAGTTAGTTACTCTGATTAATGAAAACTAAACTAAGTTTGTATTATGGTTACCAAACACTGATAGATATCATACTGTGAACCTGCGACCATTGTCAAAGCGGTGTGCTAAATCGCTACACCACCGTGGTTGAATATATTTACTATACAAACCTATTGTATTACACACCTATACAAATTAGCGATAAGTCAATTCATGGACTTTTTAAATAACTGAATTGTTATTTATATTAGAAACAAAATTATACTTTAAATATATTCGAACAGAGTGCTTTTTATGTATAACTTGATTTTACTAAGCATGCTAGTGTATAATGATCATATGGAACATCCCACTAATGCTTCAAGTTACTTATGTATAAATAAATTTATATTTATCAATTTGTTATTCTGAATTGTATGAAGCATCTGAGCCATTTTAGATTTAAGAATTTGTCATTGCAGAGCTTGACGTTGTACGAATGTTTGTACATTAAATATATTGTCTACTAGCTATACTCGCGACTTCGTCCGCGTGGAATTTAACTTTATTTTTCTAAAATAACAGTGGTCTAAGTTACTTCTTATTACATCAGCTACCTACCAAAAAAAATCCCGTCAAAATCAGTCCAGCCATTTCAGAGATTAGCCGGAACAGACAGACAAAAATTGTAAAAAATGTTATTTTGGTGTATGTACGGTACATACGCCAAAATAACATTTATATTAATATGTATATAGTAAAAAACGGACACTCGTTTTATATTAAGTAAAACGTTATATATTTTTAATAATCTTTACATAGAAAAAATCGCTTTTCAGCGATAAGGCCGCCCATTGTTGCCTTTTTCTTACTCTTTTTTCGATTCTAAAGCAGTTTTCAGCAATAGATAGAGTGATTCAAGAGGAATGTTTATATGTATAATACATGCGTGTTATAGTATAGAACAAGACGAGAAATTCAAAGATTTGTACAGCATGCGTGCGAAGCCGGGTCGTGTCGCTGAGTGATAAGTTTATATAGCGCCATCTCGTGGAGTTTTGATGTACTTGTAATTTACTGTTTTTTCTTTATACTTTCGTACAACGTTAAGCTCTTATGTTTATGTGTTTTACAGCGTGTCTTCGTTCCTGATAACAGTTTTAAATGTGTGCACATATTGGAAACCTTATTGAATATTGATTGAATAATGATTGATTATGAGAATAGGGTTATAATTTGTATGTTTAATACAAAATTTGGTTTGTTGTCTCTGTCACACTGGTTATTTATGATTAGTCCAATAATAATTTTGTGATATTAAACTTTAAAGCTTTTTTTTCGGACTACTCTAATACTGTTGGCCGCAGCTGGTCTTCACAGCTTCACCGGACGATGGCTTTATAGCTTAGAGTATGTTGTTAGAACTTGACAAATGTGTTGGGTTCGATTCCCGATCACCTTTTCGAAAGATATTGTAATGCTGTTCATGTATATAGGCGACGGTTACCACTTACCGTCAAGAGTGCCGTCTGGATATTTGCCACATTAGTTACGAAATTAAAAAAAAGGATAGGACAGGTAGTCTACAGAACTTGCTGGGATTCAATTGGGATACAAAAGATCAATAGCGGGTTCGAATCCCGTGTCGACGTTGAAGACGCCACCGGTGAGTGCTAGATGTAGTTAGTTAAGCTGGCTCTGACGTCACGTCCGGGTGTAGCGCCTTTTTTTTATTTTTGACGTGTAACCCGGACGTTTGGATCGATACAGGGATATGTTCCATATGATGTGCACGGTGTTTCGAACCGTTATAAAGGGTATTCGGTTGATATGGTAATTTCGACCTTATTTGTATGGGACGAGATGCTATAATAGTTTTAAATATGTAATTTGTTTTCCTTGATTATCTATGACCTATCTAGTATATACATTTGTCTCTTTTAGGCAATAGGGAAAAAACTGATATTTTCTTCTCTACTGTCAAAAGACTTGTTAAAAAAAGAGATCATTATAGTAATTGCATCTATGTGAAGCAGGGACATATGGCTAGTTCATAAAATGCATAGATGAATCAATGAATAACTTGTGGATAATTGTGAGTTTATATAGGAATGAAAATTGTTAATCAACCGAATACTTTGATCAAATAAGTAATGCCTAATTGTAAAGTCGTAGTACTATTTGCTAAAGTAGATCACCAATCATCGATTTACAATTGGGCCCTGTGTTTTAGTTATAACTATATATCGATATTTAAAGATTCTTACTCGATTATAACATTAAACACTGCCTTCGGGCACCCTTTAAGCTTTAAAACCTTTGACCATATAAAACCTAACATGATTTTAAATATATGGGTTGTTTACCATAATCTTACGGTATTAATAACTTGATAGGAAATCACAAAATACCTAAGGAAGAATAGCGTTGTTGCGTAGTGGTTTACTACCAAGATTTAGACTCTAAATTCGTAAGTTCGAATCTGGACGAAACTAAAGCTATGTCTGTCAATAAACAAATTAATCTAAGAGACGCTAAGGTTGTCTTTTTCCACGTTAAATTCTAATATACCCAAGAAATTGTGGATATGTCAAGTGTTGCGTTGATAATGACGCCGACAGTTGATAATGTTGACTCATCTGGGAGGTTTGGTTTGTTTTAATTTATAAAGAAATGTAAATCGTGAATATTAGGCACATTGGTTTTAGAATCAAAAGTATAATCCATTAATCAATATTTAGTGTTCTTGTTGCTAAGTAACAGTTATGTCTAACGTGCAATTGTGGTGAAAACCAAATTAAATTATATTTGCTGCTGTATATATCCACTGAATATCTCCATCAGTGAACACTCGCCTCGCTACAATGGACGTTTTTCTTTTTATAGAGTGTCATGACCCAACGCGAGGTAACGCGGACATCATCATGCGTTCCACAACCGCCTACCCCTTCAGGGTCAATGATAAGTCCATATTGTGCGTCTACTGCCAGGAGTTGTACGATGACCCGGAGGCGTTCCGTCACCATATGGACGAGGAACACGACATGTTTAGTTACAA